AAATATTAAAATCTTAAGTTAAATGGGCCCTATAAGAACACGGAATGAAATCACGGCATCCAGGAAAGAACCCTGAGGTGCTGAGAGAAGTGAGGATTCTCAGGCAACGCAAGGAGAATTCAGATGAAGAACTCACATTGCCCTCTTAGAGGCCAAACTGGTGGGTGCCCTGGAGGGCAATAAAACCGGGACCTTTGGGGTTATCTTGCCTACCGGACGACTCATTTGCATGCCCTCTGGACAAAACCGGACAAGTTCATGTAACCTTGGGCCCTGGTCTCAATCACCGGAATGCAACCGTCCTTGGGTGGGTATGTTTGGCGGGGATGCCTGTGATTCTGGAAGAGCACGCACTCGTCTGGTTCACTCTTTCTAAGTGTTGGATGCCTTTGCTCAACATAAGACACAAATCTACATATTGGCAGCCGTGGCCTTCAAGTCTCCAAGTGGAGTTTGCTCTTAATATTAATCTGCTTTTCACCATCTCCTGGGTCTGTTTTCAATCAGGAGTGAAAATGAGCCACAAGCAATTCCAGAGATGCAATAACGCTCTGTTATAAAAGGCAAAAAAAAAAAAAAAAAAATCAATGTAACATTGTTTGGATACTCACCTTGATGGGCACTAAAACATTTTATAAGCAATTTATTTTTTTTTAATTGGGACCAAAAAAAAAAATCTACATATCTACTTTGAGCCGACGCCAGCTGGAGAACAAACACCGATTGCTACTGTGGTTCCAGATGTCTGTATGGACTTGGGAAGTTCCTGTCTTGGCCTCAGCTTCGTCCTCTGTGGAAACCAAGATGGCGTCCACCCCTCGGGTGGTACGCGTGCACACTGGCATCACTAACCCAGGACACAAGTGTTCTCTCCGTTTACTGTCATCTGTATATTCCCCGGCCCGACTTTCTAAACGTTTCTCACTTCTCGGTCTCCATCATTTGTCTTTTGCCCTTGCTTTTGTGGTTTTTTACGTTCCTATCATTTTAAAAAGCATGAGCTGTTGTTTAATGGTACCAAGGAAAACCTTACACAGGAAAAAAAAAACTGTATTTATCCTCCTCCTTTCTTGTTCATGGAGAGAAGAGTCCTTTGAGGTCCCCTAACACTGGCTAAGAAATGTTGTAAACCTCTTTCCCCTTTCTGCTCTGCTGCCATGTCAAACTGGGATGCTATTTCCCTGATTAATTGGCACATTTTTTTAGAAATCTAGAAAACACTAAAAGCGAAATCTAAATAAACATTAAAACCGTACGAGGCGCACAAAGCAGCAGTTCAAAGTCCTGTTCACGGGGTTCTCACATCACATATCTCAACAGTTGATTGAGTTTTATTATTGTCTATGTATAGGGGTCTTGTCTGCATATATGTCTGTGCACCATATGCATGAAGAGCCAGAGGATGCAGGAAGGTGGCATTGGATCCCCTGGAACAACTGGAGTTATAGATGATTGTGAGGCACCATGTGGATTCTAGGAATTAAACCAGGGTCCTTTGGAAGAGCATCCAGTGCTCTTAGTATCTAAGATGTCGCTCCAGTCCCAACAATTAATTTTTCAAAACAATCACTTGCTAACTCGAACAATCCAAGTAAATCTAACATTTAACATTATTGTTCCAAGCAGGTAAAACCCATTTCCTCTACTCAAGTTTCTAGCCAGAGACTATTATAAAGGTTTAAACCGTGTGGTACATTTTGGGAAAGCCAAGAGGGGCAACACCTTTGATCTGTCTTCCGCATGTGCTGTCTGAAGCATGCTTGTAGCTAGTCTTTAATTCAACTAAAGGTGTTTTTCTGCACTGACAAAGTATTCTTCAAACGCAAGACCATGAGATAGCCCCACCTCAAAGCCTGAAAATAGGTTTTTAAAAACTAGTGTTGAGGCCGGGCGGTGGTGGCGCACGCCTTTAATCCCAGCACTCGGGAGGCAGAGCCAGGCGGATCTCTGTGAGTTCGAGGCCAGCCTGGGCTACCAAGTGAGTTCCAGGACAGGCGCAAAGCTACACAGAGAAACCCTGTCTCGAAAAACCAAAAAAAAAAAAAAAAAAAACTAGTGTTGAAACTCTGAATGTAATTAAAACCTCCTAACTATAACTTCAAATGGATTGGTTGAATATGTAAATTATATCCCAATAAAACTGTTTCATAATACTTCAGGGAAAAAGTAAACATTGATTCTATAAGTTTATTGCCAACTGATCGTTTACACTGTTAGAGACACTTGTTGTCACTGATTTATTTTTCTATTTGTGAAAGTAAGTAAGTGGGGTAAGGTGGTGTCCACCTTTAGTCCCAGCATTTGGGAGACAGAAGTAGGCAGATCTCTGAGTTTGAGGCCAGCCTGCTCTACAAAGCAATTTCTAGGACAGCCAGGGCTACACACAATAGAAAAATAAATAAATAAATAAAATAAAAAAAAGAAAGTAGATGGGATAAAATAGAATGTATAAATTTCCAATTAAATATAACACAAACTTTCTCTTCATGGTTAATAGCTTTCACTCAGAAGCATTTTGGTTGACAAACTGAAGTCGTTAAGTAACTGAAAGATTTAACTATGTGGAACCTCAAGTTAAATTTGGAAGGCGTCTAGACCCAGCAGATAGAGACTTTGAGTCTTCGCACAGTATAAACAGTGAACTGGTTTGCCCTGAGTGGCAGGAATAAAATGTAGCATGCCCACTGGAAGATTTATGACCTCCAAAACGGCATACCGCTAACCCTGGAGGGTAGAGATGCCAGCGAGGGTCGGAGAACCCGGGAATGCCACAGGAAAAGCAATCAGATCACGTTTGAGGATGGAGGGCTGACTAGGAAATCTAGCTTGTTCCCTCACTGCTGTCTGCTGCTGTCAAATCAGTCCAGGGACTTCCTTCAGGTCCAACCTTGGAAGAGAAAAACAGCTCAACCAGTGCTACAAATCATTTTCTAAACTCGAGAAAGTAATTTAAATCCACTTAACTCCATTTTACTATCCTTTGTGAAACAATTTGTATAATGAACTGCAAGTCCTGTTTTGTTTTGTTTTGTTTTTTTGCAGAGGGGCGATGCCGGGGTAACTGAGTTTGGGCACTTTTCTAGCAGCTATGAGATGCGGGGCAATTGGAACAGTCATGAGGATAAACAACAGTTAACTACCCAAGGGATCCGTCAGCCAGTGAGAAACAGGCCCCGGCTGTGAGAAGCCTAGTTTTGGAGAAGATGGAACACAGTAAACATACTAGTTAGTTATGTCCAGTAAAAGACAAGGGAAACTACGTGTCGGCGAGGGTTGATACTACGCGTCAGTGGTTTTGCTTTTCTGAGAAATGTAGAAACTTTGAGTAATAAAATCTAGCAAAGCAAATGAAAATGTTTTAACAAGTTTTCTTTTTCATACTACATCTGACTCCAGTTGTAAGTAGAAAAGAGAGAGTAGGAGCCAAGAGAAAATAAAATTGTTTAAGTATTACTTGATTCTCTGGGTGGAAATGTGTTTAGCTCTCCCAAGGTCAGGACAGCTTGGGCTTTTTTGTTTTTGTTTTCTTACAAATGGGCTTTTTTTTTTTTTAAGGAGTTTTCTGTTTTCATGCAATATTATAAATTCTTGTAATGCCCTTCCCAACAGAGATAGGTCATTTTGGAAGACGTGAGCAATTAGGAAAAGAGAGCAGCTTTTCATTTCTGGCCATCGAACGTGATTTCCTCTTCACAGGCATTCACCTGCAGCACAAATTCTCCATAAATTTTGCCAGATATTATTTCCAAATTACCAACAGGGCAATTACTTTCTCTGCTTCATGAGATCACTTCAAAAAAGAAAGAAAGAGAAAAGATAAATAAATAAAGTTAAGGGTGTGATAGTGATGGCATCCGAAACCACGGGAGTTCTGCAGGGAGGGCTCTGAATGCCAGGCAAATGCGCTTTGTCTCTCTCCAGTGGGGGCAATTTCCATCCAGAACAGTGTTCCCACAGCAGCAATAAACCAGTTTGGGAGACCTCAGAGTTGAGGGTCTGTATCTCGGGATGCCAAACCACAACAATAAAAACAAAATTGTTGATGGGACGCGCTGGCTTTGGCTTGCTTCCTCCGAGTTCTTCCCAGTTCGTGAGAGCCCTGATGGTTGTCGGCAGAACCCAAAACAGATTTTTTAAGCTTTGCATTAATATATGTTTTTACTTGGTCAGCTCCCTCTTACCCCACACCATTTCATAAAGACTTTGAGCAGTATTTGAGAACTACTGATAGTGTCCATCATCATAGACATCGAGACAGAAGCTGTCTTCAATCCTCAAGCCCTAGCCTATCTCTCTAATGATTTCTAGACAAACATCAAGTGTAGGATGAAATGTTTCCCACTGCTCTCCCATAAGATGGGCACGTATTTTTAAGCCCAGGAGTCCTGTCTCTCAGTCCACTACCAAATGAAAAGTAAGTGAGTTCTCAAAGAGCTGTGGGGAGAAAATGAGGAGGGGACGACCCCAGAGGAAAAGACTCCGACACTGAGACATGAGAACATGACGCAATTATCCGAAGTCACAGGGGAAATGTGAACATGGCCTGGATATGGAGCATATTATAGTATTGTTTTTACTAGGTGTTACAGTGGCACATGGCTATGGAGAACTGTATTTAGGAAGATGCAGGAAGAACCTGTTTATGGGTGAAGTACTGTGACATCAGTATTTTATTCTCAAGTGGGTCAGCAAAAAAATCCGTCTGGGTACTGTGACATCAGTATTTTATTCTCAAGTGGGTCAGCAAAAAAATCTGTCTGGTTTTTGTCTCATTTTGTTGGGTTTTGTTCGAGGGTCTCTATAGCCTAGGCTGGCCTCGAAATCACAGCAATCCTCCTGCCTCAGACTTGGAAGTGGAAGGTTTTGGTTTTAAGAATACAGAAAAAGCAAACGTGATACGTTCACTAGTGAACCTATGTGAGGGAGTTTATGTCTGGATTGTATTTTACCAGCAACCTTTCTATGGGTGGGGAAAAAATTAAAATTCAGGAATAAAAATATGTAGTAAAAATAAAATCTTTACTAAAAATCATACATACCGATTTAAATATTTTGTTATTATTATAAATGTACATTGATATTATCTATTTACTCTATTAAAAGATCTATCCAACATGGTCTCTCTTGAAATGAGTAACTTTGATTAAACATATTATTTTACTTTCACTTCTAAAATTCAGTCTCTCACATAATCAAAATAGTTCCGTGCGTATCTTAGAGCTAATCAGATGTAGGTTTAAGGACCCTGAGTTAAAATTTCAAGAACTTAAGTTTCAGTAACTTTTCTCAGCATTTCTTCTTTGTTTTTCTTCTTTGTCTAAAATGGTCTGTTTTAAGCTCAAAACAGCATCTTGAAATCCAGGATTTAGGTCTAATGCCTTCTTGAAGTCTTCCAAAGCTTCATCAAAATACCCTACAGCAGAGTCCCAGAGATGAAAAGAAAAGGGAAAAAAAAAGTTGAGTATTTTCACAACTGCACAGTGAAGTTTGGATATACATAGTTTCACATTTACGAGCTTTCAAAAATGCCTCCAAAAGGAAGTTGCCTCTCTCGGTGATCTAAGATGCTCTGTCAAAATAATGTGTGCCCTTATGGAGCGAGGGACTCTAAAATCAGTGATGGAGGACAGGGAATGATGCTCAGCAACATTAGCACTCATCTACCAACATGAGGCCCTGGGTTCAATCTCCAACAACACAAAACACAAAAAACAAAGAAAATTAGTGATGATTTGTATCCGATTTAATAGGTGGGGAGCATATAAATGTCAACAAAACTGTATCAACCATTTTACGTAGCTGCAGTGAAACTGAGAAATAGATCTTTTTTCTTTTTATTTTCAATGGGAAACAGTATCCAAAGCCTCTTTAATCCAGGCTTCTAAAAACTTCACTTTCAACTGTGCCCTGCCTTTTCTACTAGAAAGTGTCGCAGGTGCCAGTCAGTATTACCCTCATCGTGAGGACAGAGTAATGGGGTCACCCTTGCTCCTGCATCCAGGTCCCATTCTCAGAGCATGCCTAGGAAATGCCTTTTAAACCTAAAAATCACCTAACTGTCAAACTTGATTCCTTCACAACAGTTGATCACTGTGAAGCAACAGAATACAGTCCACGAGAAAAGCAAAAACACTAGAGAAAAACAAAACCTTACCCAGCCTATAGCGTATCAAGCCTCTGTTGTAATACGGAACTTCAAAGTTGGGCAGGATTTCTATAGCAGACGTGTAGTCGTCCATGGCTTCATAAAAATCAACGCTGAAGTACTTGGTTTGCCCCCTGTTGTTATATGCGGTCGCCAAATCCTCGGGGCTGCATTCGCTTTAAACAAAAAGTCCACATTGAAAGCACATTGTTAAACGCCCCTCCCTTGTCCTGCCACGCTCTCTGGGGCACTGGCAGACGCCATAGCCTACAACACACTGTGTGCAAGCTGAAACGTCAAGTTGAAAAAGCAAAATGGGCTTGACAACCTGAAATCAATTTCTGTTTAGGGCCAGGGGCGACTTTCGTGGGGCTACCGCACAACGTGGGTTTGAAGTCTGGGGATTTTAGAATCTTCAAAGCCCCTGTTCATTACCAACATGTTTTGCTCAATACTAAAATGATTGCTGAACATTTTCAGAGCCCACACTGGAGGGAAGAAATGCATGCTGGTCAAGGAAAGCCCGCCCAGGTTACCAGTGTGCTACCTAAGTGTCACAGCCACTTTTAATTCACTCTAAAATGTCAGTGGTCTTCAAACAATTGGATCTGAAGTCAAAAAACACTGGTTAAAGAGTGGGTTAACCATCGGCAGAATATTCCACAGGTCTTCCCTTCCTGTGAGAGTTCAAGACACCGGCAGCTGGGAGCAGCCTGGAGGTCTGGTCAGGACACTAGCTGAACTGCTGACCCCAGACTTCAGAAAGAAAATCTACCTCAGTAAAATTCTCTTTATTCATTTGAGGTTTCAAAGCTTTGTTATCAAGTCTTATCCTCAGATAATCATAGAATGTTAGATTTCATTAAGGCAAATTTTAAATCCTACTTTTCATGAAAGCAGACATTTTGTTTGCAATCTTAAAGACACGGGCAGGGGCTGGAGAGATGGCTCAACAGTTAAGAGCACTTGTTGCTCTTCCAGAGGACCCAGGTTCGATTCCTAGCATTCACATGGTGGTCCACAACCACCTGAACTCCAGTACCAGAAAATCTAACGACCTCTCCTGGCCTCTGTGGGTATAGCACGCACTTGGTACACAGACACACACGTAGGCAAAACACCTATACAGGTTCATAAGAAGTCTATTTTTAAAAAGAGAGAGATGGGCTAATACTGAACATTGACTTTCATTGTTACAATACTGGTATTTTTTAAAGATAGTATTTCTTTTTGTATGTGGGTATGGTAGGAGGACACATGCCACCATGTGTCTGTAGGGGCCAGAGGACAGTTCTGAAGAGTGGTTCTCTCCTTCCAGCCTCACACACAATCCAGGATTTGAACTCAGGTTATTAGACTTGTACACCAAGACCTTTACCCACTGCAACCCACATTAGTATTTTCTGTACTGCATTTAACCAAGTTACCTAATCTGAATATGGAATTTTAGCATCTGCTAACTTCGGACAAGATAAATATTTGAAAAATTAAATTATGGCTAAAGCTGCTCCTTGAGTATTTGAAAAAAAAATGACAAATCCGAGTGAAAAGCAATCAAAGGTTGCAAACACCGTTTCAAAATGATTTAGCCACTCGATATTTTAAAAAACAAATTTAAATTTCCAAAGATGTATTTAAGGGGGAAAGCTGAACTGATGCACTTCAAGTTCTGAACTCTAAGGAAACTGAAGGCTCATTTTACAGATGAGAAACTGGCCAGGGACAAGGCGCCAGCGATATAGTGATGCTGAGACCAGAAGGTGAGCATGCTGAACTCTTACAGCTCAGCCGGGCAGGTTTTTCCAGCCTGCACAGGACGGAGATCGGCTTGCTGTGGTGGACCGAGGTTCTTGGGCTGAGATGTGCAAAGGAGGAGGATTAACACGCCCAAGTAGCGTCCACACACCTCTTGCTGATTGTTTCTGAAACTTCCCGGGCAAGCCCATTCGAGCCTTAACCAAGAGGAGAAACGGAGTCTCCTGTGTTTGCTGGCGTTGTTTATCGGGAGTGGTGGTGGAGGTGAGAGGGGAGTGGGAACATCATTTTGGCATCTCTGCAGAAATTTCTATTACCAAAGGGTCCGTGGAAGGTTCCGCCTACATCAACGCCCCTCTCCCACTGCCAAGGCCCAGGGGATGGGGAAGAGAGGTCAGAAAACCTGGAAGAGCCTGGGGATGAGAAACAGTGAAACAGCCGTTTCTGGGCACTGCGGGACCACGGCATTCGCGACTCACGACAGCTGCGGTTGTCTGCACACGATCAAGCCAGTTAACACTCCAGCACTGATGAGGAGGGGCTCAGAGTTCCAGCCCCAGAGGAGCTACAGACAGTTAAGGGAATCTGAGGGAGGGCAGGAGGGCAGTTTTCTTTAAGGGTATAGCCCCGGGTAGGTCGACCTAACTCCTGGATGGCCCAAATCCTTGAGAAATGGGCAGCACAAAATGGGACTTGGTGATTACCAAAAAAAAAAAAAAAAAAAAAGGCAGAAGAAGTGGGAGGAGAGCTGAGTGGAGTTAAGATGAGTAGTAGGGAGTGAGTGAAGATTATCAACATACACTGTATGAAATTCTCAAAGCACTAATAAAAACACTGGATTTTTTAATAAAGAAATTTCTGTTAACTATCATGTTAATGTAGTGTAGTGTTAAAATGAGAAAACAATTTTGGCTTTCTGACTTAAATCCACTTGAGTCTTACAAACAAGTAGGAATGCAGCCTTCAGTATTAGATCTCATACAAAAGACAGGCTTGCATTTCATTTTAAAAAAAAAAAAATCTTCCAGGACAAGCCAGGCATAGTGGCTTTAATCCCAGCCCTTTGGGAGGCAGAGGCAGGTGGATCTCTGAATTCAAGGCCAGCCTGGAGTGTCGAGGGAGTTCCAGGACAGCCAGGACTGCATGGGGAAACCATGTCTCAAAATCAAACTCCCAAGCGAGAGAAGGGTGATGATGCAGGTCACACAAGCGTCGAGAAATTGCCCAACCAATTTCTCTGTGTTCGCTCCACACCACCCACAAGCACAGCAATGTAACTAATGCTACATACCCGGGCGTCAACTGAGAAGTTAACGAGCCTGCTAACATCACAAAGAGTAAAACCAGGCTTCAAATGTTCACAGTGGAAGTGTGAACCCGCAGACAGAAAAGTTCTCCTTTCTGAGTTGGATCAAGTCTCCAGATTTAACCACCAGTTCACAGTCAGTACAGGGAGACTGGGAGCTGAGACTTCCCTGAGAGGTAGAAGGATCAGGAGAGGAGCCAGGACAAGCTGGCCGGCTTCTTCCTCACCCTGCAGACCTGAAACAAAAACCTGGCAGCCTAAAAAGGAGGCCTGGTGGGACTTTTTTCCCACCAGGAGGGTCCCCTGCTGATGGATCTGCTCTTCCCCTACACAAGTTCGAAGCTGGATCAGGACATGTTTAGGCCGAAGTTGAGGACCTTTCAGCCACCCTGTGTTCAAACTGACCAACCCTCAGTCCCTTAACACCCCCAGAAGACTGGATTTGGGGGTTCCTGAAATCCCCCTCCGCTCTGCCTGCTGCATGTCTCCTCACCCCTAGAAAACCCTCCCTCGTTATAATGCTGTCGTTAGCTGTCATTTCACTCATTAGCTGTTTTCACTGCTGCCATCTGCCCTGGCTTGAGATTTTTTTTACTGCCTTTTAATTCTTTAACTGGCAGAGAACGGGAACCCAATCAAGACCCCCCCCCCCCCCAGCAGATGTCAAAATCTTAGTAGACGGACTATCACAGACATCTGGCTCAATTCAGCAGCTCCAAAATACGTTCGCTCGAAACACGGCCCCGTTTTCTCAAGACTTAAAAGCGGGGTGGGCTTAACAGCGGGGGTCAGAGGTGCAGCTTGATGATAAGCTCCTCTAACCCCAACATCCAAGTAACAACGAGCTTTACTGGCCCATTAAAAACGCCATCGACGGCTGGATTCTCGCTAGAAAGGAATCTCGCGGTGTGATGGGACGTGTTCCCCTTAAGAATCCTCAGCTTCTGAACGCGAACCCTCGCACCGCCCTCGCCGGGGGGCCTGAGGACGGCATGAGCGGGGCCGCCCGGGGACTCCGAGGACCGCGTCCGCGTCCGTCCGTCCGTCCGTCCGTCCGGGGACCAGCACCATCCCCGCCCCCGCCACGCCATCCCCGTCTCGCGAGACTTACCTCCCGCGACTCGCGCACTGCCCGATGAAGGCGGAGTAGAGCGCCTGCGCCTCGGCAAAGTCGCCCCTGGCGAAGCGAGCCTGGGCCAGCGCCAGGGCGGCCGGCCCCTCTCGGCTCTCTCGGCCCGGCGGCCCGGCCATGACCGAGGCCTCGCTCCGGGGGAGGCGGAACCACAGCCGCCCGCCCGTCTGCCCGTCCGCACACGGGACTTCGGAAGCGAGCCGCTCGCTCCAGAATGAGGAAGTTTGTCCTGTGTGAGGACCTGTAGTATCGCGAGATAGACTGGTCGCGCCTGGCGGAGCTGGCGGGAAATTAAAATCTTTGTGATGTGTGTTTACATACATACATACATACATACATACATACATACATACATACATACATACATACATACATACATACATACATACATACATACATACATACATACATACATACATACATACATACATACATACATACATACATACATACATACATACATACATACATGATAAAGATAGATGATAGATATAGGTAAATGATAGAGATTGATAGAGATATAGATGATAGAGATTAGATTAGACAGACTGATAGAGATGGATAGATGAATGATAGATAATAGATACATAGATGGATACATTAGATAGATAGAGAGAGAGAGAGATAGATAGATGAATATATATTTATTTGAGGAGCCTGATGCAGAGATCGGGAGAAGACTGGCCTTAAGTCAATTTCTTTTGTTTAAAGAGAGGGTCTTGTGTTTTTTAAGGAAGCACTTAAGATACGGTGCTTATGTGCTGATTCCGGGTGAATTAAAAGCTAAATATTTAGAACATTAAGTTCCAAAAATGAAAAGAATGTAGTTGTCTAAATAGAGCAGAGTTCCCAATGCATAAAAAAGGAGTGCTCCGGTTTGCATGTATTCCCCCCAACTCAGGAGTGGGAATCTTAATGCAGTAGTGTGTTGATGTGGGACCTAACGCAGGTGGGCTCCACCCTCATGAATGGAGGGGTGCCACTCATTTAAAAGGCAGACTGCTGCACACCTGTTCTTTGTGTGTCTTTTGCCATGCTGTGGTGAGGCAAGAAGGCCTGTATATACGTGGACTTCCCAGCCCCCAAACTGAGTCGAATGAATTTATTTATAAGTGACCCCGACTAGCACGGTTACAATGATACAAAATAAATAATATGAGGCGTTTGGTAGAATTAGCTATAAAAATACAGGTCAGAGAAGAAAGACATCAACTGGGAAAGTAATTGTCATTTTTAACATAGAACTTCCTGCTGAAAGAATATATACACACACACATTTTAAAACTGGGATTAATACAATGAACAAAGCTTTTTGTCCTCAGTACCTTGCAGCTTAGCAGGGAAACTAAGTCGTTAAAGGTTTTTTGTTTGTTTGTTTTCTGTTTGTGTGTTTGTTTTGGTTTGGGTTTTTTGGTTTCGTTTGGGTTTGGGTTGTTTGTTGTTGTTGTTGTTTTCAAGACAGGGTTTCTCTGTGTAGCCCTGGCTGTCATGGAACTCACTCCATAGACCAGGCTGGCCATGAACTCAGAGACCCGCTTGCATCTGCCTCCTGAATGCTGGGATTAAAGGCGTATGCCACCACGGCCTGGAAACAAAGTCTTTTTAAATTAGATGATGGTTGGTATCATGTAGAGAAGGAGAACAGCATTTTTTTTCTATAAAGGATGGATGGAAAAGTAAATAGAAACCAATGCTGAATCAAGAACTAGAAAATGCCAACAGACCTCTAACTAGGAAAGAGGCTGATATTTTTAGATCTGATGGCTATTCCAGTTATTATAAGCATTTAAGGAAGAGTCAACACCCGCCTTTAAACTCTAAAAACAGGAAAGAACACATCTTACATTATTCTGTAAAGCAAATATTGCTGATGTCAATGCTTGCCAGACACCAGAGCACTGGTTCTCAACCTTCCTAATGCTGCGACCCTTTAATACAGTTCCTAGTGTTGTGCTGACTCCCAACCATACAATTACTTTCATTGCTACTTCATAACTGTAATTTTGCTACTGTTATAAATCGTAATGTAAATATCTGATATGCAGGATGGTCTTAGACGACTCCTATGAGTCATTCAACCCAAAGGGATTGAGACCCACATGTTGAGAACCGCTTCACTAGAGGAAAACTACAGACCAATCAACACCCATTGTGATTGGCACTTATGTGAAACTTGGCATTTTGGTTGTGGCATAGCCTTTAATGGCTGAACCATCTCTGCAGCCTGCATTAATAGAAAACGTAACAAAAGACTACCATATCAAATGCAGCAGCAATTGAAAGAACTATGCACTGTAACCAAATGGGAATTACTCCTGAAATGCAAGGATAACTCAACACATGAAAATTAATCAGTGTAACATACCACGTGATCAGAATGAAAAGGGGGAAACTGTGGTCTTCTCAATTCACATAGAAAAGCACTTGAAAAATTAAAACCCTTTTTATCAGTAGCTGTTATTAGTGAGACCATACAGGCATTCTTGACCTTACCATTCGCATGACACATCTTTTCTCACCCTTTTAACTTCTGCTTTATTTTTTAATGTGTCTATATGGGTCTGTGTGCATGCAAATGTCTATCTGTGTCTTTTTTCACATGTGTGTGCACATGTTTGAGGGTATGAGGCCAGAGGTAGAGGAGTATCTTCCTTGGCCGCTCTGCACTTTATTGAGACGGTCTCATGCTGAACCCCAGTTCTTGCTAACCGTTCGGCTAGTCCAGCTAGCCAGCTTGCCCAGGAGATGCCAGCTGAACCTCCCAGCTGCTGGAGTTACAGGCAGGCTACTATCACCTGTTTTCATGTGGGTGCTGAGAGCCTGAATTCCATCTTCCCAGGCTCAGATTTCTCGAAATTTTACTAACCAGAAACGTAATGTGTACCGTATCAGAAGGTGCTTAAATAAGCTTAGTCCTCTGGTGTGTTTTTAACTGGAGAGAAAAGAGCTAACGGTTCTTGTGGGGAGACACTTGTCTGTGATACACTCATTTCTTCAGCTTCACTTCTTCTGAAATTCATCTCAAGTGTAAATGAACACTGTTTTCAAAAAGGTTAAGGCTACTTTTATTTTCTCATCCATATTCTCACATATTTCTGAAAATTAATCCTATGAGCCTGTGACTTTTATAGTTCAATTACTTTCTTAAAACGTTGAGAAAATAATGACAGAAATAGACAGCAGAGGGCAACATAATATTGCTTTTGCATTTGGGATACCCAGGATGAGCGTTTCGAGCTACATCAACAAAGTTAATACTCTGTTACTTTGTAATGATTTTTTTCCTTGTTTCTGATGTGAACTTTGTGTGGTCTCTGAGGGAACAATTCTCATAATTCTCTGCCATGTGCATAAAAAGACTGTTAGGTTTTTCTCTGTGTGATAACAAATGTGACATGAGTGGTGTGGTGTGTGTGTGTCTGTGTCTGTCTGTCTGTCTGTCCCACCAGAATAGCTCAACAAAGACAACACAAGTAACTAACATGGGATAAACATGTTATGAAGGAAAAACTTCATAATTTATTGTTTTCATGTTTATTTCAAATAAAATCTCTTAAGAACCTAAGATCTGAACTCTGGAAATACAGAAAGGTGACTTTTAAAGTATATTTTAGCAAAATATGGTGACCTTGGTATCATGGATGACAGCAGGTCCGCAATGCTGGCTCAGGCTCACTGCTTACCCGCACGGCCTTACCTGTTGGTTCCGCGCGTCAGCACCTAGGCCTTCGGAGTTCTTGGAACCATAGAATAAGTGGGGATAAGTTTGATGGTAAGGAACAACAGCATTACTCAGAATCAGTTCATTCATGTTTATTACAAGAAAAGTAATAAAAAGTCCCAAATGCCTCCTCGTGAATGAGGATAAAATATTTTTTAAAACTTCAAATAATAAAAAGTCTTAAAATGCCATCTCCTCAGTTATGAAAATAAACTACAGAAGACTTTAATCCTCAAATAGAAATAGAGCTCATTCCATACAACAGTTGCTTCACCTCCCTGAAATACAGGCTATATCGACTCTCTGCCTCAGGTTTGCCCCTCCCCTGCCTCCTCCATGTCCACCTGCCTCTCGAGGGGTCTCTAATGAACTAGTAAAACCTTGACAATATGAGAAAAATTGCCCTGGTGGAGGTATGTCTGTGGTAACTCACCACAGACTATGAGCTACATAAGTGACAAATGGACAGACAGGAAATAGAGAAATGAAGTTCACACCTGTAAGTCTGACGTGAAAAGTCATCCAGTGCTCTCTCCTCATTGCACTGTGATGCCCGAACTATCTTTTTTTTTTCCAGTACTGACAGTGGACCCAGGGCCTTGTGCATGCTCGGGAAGCACTCTACCACTGAGCTACACTCCAGCCCTCATTCTGTTTTTAATATATATTTATACAAAAGTACAGCGACAGGATGATGGAGCCTAAGGAAATGAAGCGTTACTCCATAGAGAGGTGCAGGTAAGTATGCGTGCCTCACACACATTACAGTTAGGGTAGTTCCGTCCTTTATTCTACCGAACTGTGGCACAAAGGGCAGAAGTTGTAGTTACTGATCTCCTGAGCGAGGACATAGTGTTTGCAGACTTTGCACACCCAGAACTGATACTCAATGATGGGGCTTCCGGTGGCGAGGCACGTGGGCAGCTTTCCTTCTCCGCTGTAAAAATAAGAGAGAAAGCAATTAGACTTTAAAATACGTGTCTAGTCTAGCTATCTGTTATATTTTAAATACTGAAGAATGAAAAACATTCCAAGACAAACTTCAAATAAAATACTTTCATCTCAAATTTTTTTAAATAAAACCCTTATTTTAAATACAGCATTACTGCACCCTTGTAGGATAAATAAAATTGGTGTTAATATGAACATAGACTCCTTCAACATTCAGTGCTTTATTATATCCAAGCTTCTAATTAGGTAGACGGCATCTAAGTACGCTGTACCTACCCTTCCAGAAGGCTGTTCAACTCGGACTTCCTGTTGTCTTTTGGTGTGTGTTTGGTGAAGATTTCCAGAGCCAAGTCTTCATACTGCTGTTTCTGTTCTGCACTGAGTGTTTCCAACGATTCCAATTTAATAAAAGCCTTTGAGCAGGTCCCAAAAGCTCTGCTTGCACAAGCACAGAGCGCCAGCAACGAGTAGATCTCAACGGGGGGGATGATGTCCTCATAGTCTCTCAGATGAAGAGCTAGAAAAGATGGGGGGGGCGTTAGAGTCGCAAAGACAAGTACAGGATGAGCCTGTGTGGGACAGGATCCATGGACGCTGTTCTACCTTAACCCACATGAGCTTCATCAAATGCAGAATAATGCTGAGAGGCAGGTACACCAGCAGGAGGAAGCAGAGTACATAACCCGGTTCTAAGAGTGAAGTCACTGAAATAACACAGAGCCCTGCTCACTTCCAGACCGAACGGGTTCAGTACTGAAATACGTGGCTTCTGTTCTATTTGATCAACAGTAATTTCTGGGGCGTTCCAGACAAGGGGAATTAGTACTACGTTAGCTGTTATTCTCAAGGCGATGTACTTCTGCTCATGAAGAAGAAACAATGCAGTATGAGGTTCCTTATGTTCTTTGTCCTGCTGAGAGAACGGGACTGAGTCAAAGAGCTTCCCACTGTCAGCCCAGACCGTTTATTTTGACAGCTGCCACATCTTATCTATAACTCTTCTGCACTAGAGACAGAATCTTTTATTAAAATGCACTGCAGAATCAGCATCAGATGGGTCATCAATTTCTCTGTTTCTCCTCTCTAGACCCTGAAATTTTTAAAAAGATCCTTCTGATGGTATAATTTATGACAATACATCCATTGCATCTTATCATTAGAGTCCACCAGTTGGCTCTTTCTGTAGCCCAGGCTGGCCTCGAACTCACAGAGATCCACCTGCCTCTGCCTCCTGAGGGCTGGGATTAAAGGTGTGCGCCACCACCGCCTAGCCCCTCCAGTTGGTTCTAAGGTCAAGTGTTAACAAGAAGTTGATGGAATAATTTTATTTTAAAATATATTCATTGAGTTATAATAAACAAGAGCCTCTAATTTCACCTTTGGAGCACAGCAGTTTCACAGGCAATAGTTACAAGGTACACACTATTTCTAATAATTTTACACTGAAATAGACAAAGATGAAGGACATGGATCTCTTGACTCAATAAGTGAAGAATCTCAGAAGTCTGTTTTCTCTCGGCCTAGAAGTGGCACATAACTGTAAAATATTTAAGCTGCATAACTTGTGTCACATTAATTAAAATTAAGTAATTTGCTATAAAATAAGTTAAAAATAAAAATGATTTTCTTTATATAACCAACAGCCAATTGGAAAACCTTTTTTACAGACCTATTACTAACGACAATAAAAATGGGAATAAACTCCAAAAGAAACATTCAGAACAAACCAGAAGTAAACTAAAGCTCTTCAGAGGAAAAAGAAAAAAAGAAAGAAAGAAACAGACACAGTAATGATTTTTAAAAGTTGAAGTTTCTGGGGGCTGGAGAGATGGCTAGTGATTAAGAGCACTGGCTGCTCTTCCAGAGGTCCTGAGTTCAATTCCCGGCAACCACATGGTGGCTCACAACCATCTATAATGGGATCTGATGCCCTCTTCTAGAATGTAGGTCTACATGCATACAACACTCATAACAAAAAAAAAGTTTTAAGTTTCTGGATGAGAAAACTCATTAACATATTAGTGATCCCATGTTGGTAAATTAATGTCCTAATCAAAAATCCAGTGAGACTTCACTGAAATTCCCTCATCAAAAAGGTGATGAGTTCCTCTGGATGGACAAATACAAAAGGATGGAGTACCTAAAGTTCTTTTTAGGAAAAGAAAGACGCTGAAGAGCTTAAATATTAAAGGAAATATAAGTAGAGGCTGGAGATGTAGCACAGTGGTTAGACCCTTGAAGCTTCTCCCAGAGGCCCTGAGATTGGTTCCCAGCATCCGTTCTGAGTGTTCATCACCACGGTTAACGGCAGCTCCAGGGGATCTCACGCCCTTTCTAGCCTCTGTGGCACCTATGCACAAGTGGTGTACAATCACAGACACAATGATAATAATAAAGTACAAGTAAGACAAGGACAGTACTGGGGAGGAATTAAGAATTCATCTGCTGAAGCATGATGGTGGTCATGCCTCTAATTACAGCACTTGGCAGCCAGAGACCAGAGGACTGCAAGTTCTGTCTCACCGCACACACATGAAGCTAGAATTCCCAATCTGTGAGGGGAAAATACATTTTCCTTGTTTTTTAATTTTTTATTTTATTTTTATTTTTTATTTCAGGGCTGAGGACTGAACCCAGGGCCTTGCGCTTGTTAGCAAGCGCTCTACCACTGAGCTAAATCCCCAACCCCAAATTTTTCATTTTTATTGTGTGTGTGTGTGTAAGCACATGTGTGTGGGCGCATGCCAAGGAGGCCAGAAGGAGCTGTCGGACATCCTAGAGCTGGCGCTATAAGCATCTGGGTGCTACCCGACCTGGGTGCTGGGATCAGAACTGTGTCCTCATGACAGAGCGGCGAGCGGTCCTAACTGCCGAGCCATCTCTCCAGCCTCCAGGAAACATTCTAAATGAATGGTTTCAAGACAGTGCTTTGCTCTACTCTGTTCAAAGGAAGAAAGGGAAAGACTGACGAGCCTGTGGCCACCACCATCAACTCCCTCCTCACGGCTGCTGCTTACAGAGGCCATAGAACCCGGGCTCCATCAATAAACCTCCCTTTCAGGAGAGGCTCATGTGATCGACCACGAGCTCATCTCTAGGAGGCAGGGAAGCTCATCTCCACTTTCATACAGTGAAACTGGAGCTTGAAAAGACCGAGTCATGGGGTAAATGGTAACAGACGTTCACACTGCAGTCTGTGTGTGTGTCAGTCAGTCGTATACTTTAGTTTACAACAAAATCCCAACTATACTCATTGGAGTTAATAAACAGAAAATGTCTAAGCCCTCAGATATTGTTAATCCAGAAGATGTACATTTATACTGCATGTATATACTGAAGAAGCCTATTAGAGTTCCTATTCACTCAAGTTTCCGATGTCCCCACCCGCCAGGTGACATGCCCACCTGTCTTCAACGCAGTGTCAACGTAGCCCTCGTAGAGCTGCCGCTGGGCGAGTATGAAGAAGTGGTAGGCCTCGGCTCCTCTCCAGGCATTGTCTGTGAACCGACTAGTTGTAGAGAGAACTTCCTCTTCTAGCAAGCCAGCCAAAGCGGAAGTGGCCTGGGGGAAAAGCCAGTGCCCTGGGTCAGCGCAAACACAGTCTCACCTCTACAGAAGATGAGGTCTGCAACTAAGACATTAATAACGCAGCTACACGAGAGATCTCATCATCTTTCCTGTCGTCACAGATTCAAGTTCTCCATCACAACCCACAGCTTTCTAATTAAGACCAACGTTTAAATAGACCTGAGTAAACTTTAAGTCAATGTGTAATTTATTTAATGTAATGAGATTCATTTATAGTAAAAATAAATTTACATTCTAAGAAAGTTTTTTAATTCTCTGATTAAAAACTCTAACAAAAGTAAATTACAGCACCCTAGAAGCTAGTCTTAAAGAAGAACAGTTCTCCATATTTCTAAACAGCAATTTCTCAATCTGCATCCTTACTCTAAAGGAGGCGTTATTACTCTTCAAGCCCCTTAAAGAAATGAACACAGCCTAGAGAGGAAAGGGCTTGTCCAGAAGGAAGTCTGAGATGACTTGCCATTGTGTGCTATGTGAATAATCGGAATGGTCTGCTTTACCTCCGAGTTCTTCCCTTTGACTTTCCCTCGCTGGGCATTTTTCATCTGCTCGTGATACTGCTCGATGAGCAGGGCTGACAGGACGTACAGCTTCTTCACACGCAGAGGCTTGGCTCTCTTCTTCGCCTCCTCATCTGCAATCTAGACATTTCAAAATGGGGAAGACACTTCTTGGTGTGTATCCGTACAAATAAAACCATTTCCAAACCTAACTGAGACTTGATTCTTTAAGAGGAGGGAGAGTGTAGGATGGAGTATGAGTTTAATTATGTTTTAGATTTTAAAAGTCATTGTCTTTTCTAGAGAACTTAGTCACCTGAATAGAAACTAACAATCTTAAAAATAATCTCTATTAAGTAACTAAATCAGAGTGGAGAAAGTGGTGTGTCCTTCAGAAGTTTAAAGTTTTTTTTAAAGCAGTAACTAGAACAAGATAATGTTCAGCAGGACTGTGCATTACCTTATACATCAGTGTAGCCTAGAACAAGATAATGTTCAGCAGAACTGTGCATTACCTTATACATCAGTTTAGCTGCATCAAAAAAGTAGCTGGCTTTCCTATAGAGCTCAATGGCATCCAGAGTCTTGTTCTTCTCCAGTAAATGTGACGCATACCTAGCTAATAGAGATCCAATTTCCTTCATACTGTGACTTTTAGCCAATTCCACAGCCTTGTTCCACTAGGAAAAAATCATACCATTCAGTCACCCGAATATTTAAAGAACTTACATCCTGAAAGTCCCACAATAAGCTCCTAAGTGTTCAATAAATGCTAACACTACTTCAAAATAGAGCAAAACCAGTACACATTCTAAAAATCATTAAAAATCAGAGCAATCATAAGTTACACAAGCAAACATTTCAAAATGATTGAACCATCTAAGATAGATTTCTTGGTGAAGTACATTTGAAAATCAAAGTCTCAAAATATATAATCACATTAATCTTACAATTCTCTTTGCACATATTATAAGCCAGAAAAAGAATTCACTTTTTAGTGTTCGTTATAAAATATACAGTTCCATTTAAAAAAACAACCTATTAGATTTAACATTTACAAATTGTGTTTATAAGGTAAATTGATCTTTATAAAAACACTTCAAAAAATGCTTAAAAGAATATACTGATAGCCAACAGTTTCTGTAATAATTCTGCACTTTTAGTTACATTTCAGGGTTTTTTTAAATATCAAATACATGTTTTCTATAAAGGAGAAAGGAAATAGACCTGCCAAAATAAATATTGATCAAGTAACTCAATTCTTTCCCTAGGCAATGAGTGACCATAAACCTAGTCCTTTCCTGGAAACCAAACCCAACCCTAACAAAATGCAGACAATTATGAAATTACTTCCAGACAAACACTTGAAAGCACAGATCTGTTCTGTGCTCCCTGGTTGGCAGTTGGGAGCAGTTCCCCCCCGCCCCCCATGTGGTAGCACAAGAGGTTAAGTACAAACACCCACAAGCTAGGCTTCTTTCCCCGAACCACACCTAGCCCTCCACGCCTTACACTGGAGACCATTTCAGTGACCTTAATTTTGCTTTCACTTAAAAATCTCTAAAGCGACAGGTTTCCCAGACGGCAACTGTCAGTTCCTCACCTGGTTGAGGTGTACGCAGGTGTCCACCGCTGCCTTGGGCTGGTTACACTTCAAGAATGCGCTCACGGCTTGTTCACACATTCCAACTCTCACAAACATCTGAGCTATTTCCTGTAAGCACCAAACACTATGACCGGATTTCAGGGACCCGGGAAATCACTTAGATTTTAAGTTACCAAAACTCCGCAAGGACACCTGAATGATAAACTGGTGGGGACACCTGAACACTACATCGGTGGTTAGAGTGATTTTTCTTTCAGACAGGGGCAGAGGTTACAGGTCAGGACGGATGCCACAGTGCCTCCTTCCATGGAACTAGCGTTTCATTGGCTCAAGACACTGTCCTGCCTTCCTTTAAATCATAACCCTGAGGCCAGATTCTGTAAGTTCAAGACCAGCCTGGGCTATACAGTGAGACTGTCTCAGAAAAGAAAGAAAAAAGGAAAAATGAAAGCATGCATCCCACTGGGTAGTGTTAAAAACAATAATAACCTGTAAATGAACTCATATGGTACTATGTTCGAGCTCCCAATCATACTAAGAAATACCCCAGGACTTGGGAAGAGGCTGGGTTAGTAGAATGTTGCCTGGCAGGCACAAAGCCCTGGGTTTGGTCCCCAGCACTGCATAAACTGCCATGGTGGTCATTCCCACCACTCAGAGGCTAGAGGCAGCATCATCAAAAGTCACCACTGGCTACGCAGTGAGTTCAAGGCATCCTAGGATACATGAGACACATCAAATCGAATCTAAGGAGCACTTCATACCATGCCTGTGGGCCACGTCTCTAACCATAGTCACACAGGAGGTAGAGACAAAGAGGATCAGTTGGGTCCAGGAGCTGATGCCCTCGACAACAAAGCAAGATTCCTCTCAAAATAAAACAACTAGATAGATACAGATAGATAGATAGATAGATAGATAGATAGATAGATAGATAGATAGATAGATAGATAGATAGGTAGGTAGGTAGGTAGGTAGATAGATAGATAGATAGATAGATAGATAGATAGATAGATAGATAGATAGACAGACAGACAGATAAATGCAGACTGGGGTGGGAGGGAGACAGTTTAATGGTCAAGTGTCAAGTTTGAATCTTAGCATGGCAAAAATCAAAAAGCAGAAAAGAAATGCCCCCTTCATCAGTTCTCGAAGCTAACCCCAAAACAAGTTCCCCAGAAGCTGGCAGGAGGCTGGGGCATCGAGCACCACCACACACCTTCCTGCCATCTTTTTGTTTCTCTCTTTACTGGTTAGAATTCTTCTCACCCCACCCATCACTTCAAAAATAAGCGATTTCTAAGAAATTTCCATTTCTCTCCTACTTAAGAAAATACACAGGGTTGTAAATAAGAGCAAATGGAACCATCATGACAGTGGAGCCAACTGCTCCTTTATAAGAAACCTGAACTGCCAGAATTCTATACTTGTCTATTAATTAACAGACAGCTTTTAGGATGGAACCCACAACCCATATGTGTATGACCCTGCGGCTGAGAGTGACTAATACCACAGATACTGAGTTATACACTAAACAAGTAAAATACAGACATGAGAGGCACTCAACATCAACTCAGAGGCCTAAAAGTAACAGTCAAGGAAGGGACATGCTGCTTTTAGTCGTTTTAATGGTGAACTTCACTGTTGATGTGACCTTTCAAACTAATTAGAAGCAAATTCTTAGTGACCTTGGACTCTGGTGAGGAACCACACGAAGCTATGCTCTGGTGAGGAACCACACAAGGCTATGCTCTAGTGAAGTACTAAGGATCTCAATAATTTCTCTCTGCAGCTCAAGAATTCGGTAATACTGACATATTGATTCTAAAATAAAATTAAAGCATCACCCCATGTCTAAGAAACCATGAAATTATAGATTAACTTTCAGTTTTTGTTACTACAGGGGATATTTCTTGACTAAAAATAAAAATATAGAATACCTACTGGAAGCAACTTGTGGTTTTCTGGAAGTGAATTGGCAAGATTCTCTAGCCCCTCATAATCTTCTAGCATATAATAGCATTCTGCTAAGCGCTCCTGGTTCCTGCCTTTGACATAATACTGTACAGCATTCAGCCTGTGGATGAAAGAAAAACCTTCATGACCAGTACATGAGTCTCCAGGTAACCAAGAACTTCCCCCAAGTAGTCTTGCATTAGGATTTCTAGTGCTTGTCTTACTTCATCGTCTTCAGTTACACACTACCTTTAAAGCTCACATTCTTTTAAATCTAAAGACAATGTAGCAAATCCTACTTGTAATATTCTCTGAATGTTCTCACATTGTTTAACTTACAATATCAGAGAAGTACTCGCATCATTGACATAAATAAGCATAGTAATCGCAATGAAAACTTGGGAATAAAGCAATGCTTTCTGAAAAAAAAAAATCTATAACCAAAAAGTAAATATACTTTGTTTTTTACTATGTTCACAAATAAATCATATACAACATGGTTGTGGTCTCAAAATAGTAGAGTGTTTTCTGAAGCTAGGTACAAGTGTCATGTGTATAGATGGCAAAGTTATGCCAGGCTTATCTCTCAGCTCAAGAATGACTTGCTCTCCAGTGTGCATCCAGAGAGCAAATGCATCACAGGGCCATTTGCATTTCAGGATTTAGGAGAAGGGCCTTCACTCTGACAGCACTATTCCCTGGAGAGGTAGTCTTCGTAACAGAATAATTCCAAGCATGCAAGAATGAACACATCAGGTACTTCAGGTAGCCCACGTACCACTTTTGTCGATCAGCAAAGTAGTCTCCAATGGCATTGTGGGCTTGTTCAAGGAGACTGTCATCTGCGTCACCAGACCCAGTTTTCAGGAGTTGCAGTACTCTGAACCAATCCCCCAATTTCAGCCTCAGACCAATAGCGAGGTCTCTAAAAAAAAAAAAAAAAAAAAAAAAAAAGTTTCATTCATTCATTCATTCATTCATTCACTCTACAAAGTTTGTCAGTTGCCTGCTCCGTGCTAGACACAGTTCTAGGAGCTTTGATTATCTCCAGACACTCTGGAAACAGCCTGACCAGTAACAGGCAATGGGGAGAGAGCAGAAGTTATGATCTGAAGGCATGTCCTCTGAAAACCTCATGTTGAAAGTTAATCCCAATTGTGGTAGCATCAAGACACAGTATGTTTGGGGAAGTGATCAAGCCTCTCTCATGAGACGATGAATGCCTTTGTAGTAGAATATTATTTTTAAGGTGTGTCAGTTTTGTTTATGTTGTATTTGTTTAACTCTGTGAAGCTGTGTTATTGTGCCTGTCTAAAAATACCTGATGGTCTAATAAAGAACTGAACGGCCGATAGCAATGCAGGAGAAAGGATAGGCGGGGCTGGCAGGCAGAGAGAATATATAGGAGAAATCTGGGAGAAGAAAAGAGATAGAGGAGTGAAGAGATCTAGGAGCCAGAGAAGGAGGAGGACTCCAGGGCCAGCCACACAGTTACACAGCAAGTCACGGTGTGAAGAGTAAGATTTATAGAAGTAAGAGAACGGGAAAAGCCGGGAGGCAAAAAGAGACAGGTTAAGTTAAGGTACATTAAGCTGGCTAGAAACTAAGCCAAGCCAAGGCTGGGCATTCACAATTAAGAATAAGCCTTCGTGTGTGATCTATTTGGGAGCTGGGTGGGGGACCCCAAAAAAGAGTAAAAAAGCAACAACAACATGCCTTCTTTTTTTTTTGTTTTTTTTGTTTTTTTTGTTTTTCGAGACAGGGTTTCTCTGTGTAGCTTTGCGCCTTTCCTGGATCTCGCGGTGTAGACCAGGCTGGCCTCGAACTCACAGAGATCCACCTGCCTCTGCCTCCCGAGTGCTGGGATTAAAGGCGTGCGCCACCACCGCCAGGCACAACATGCCTTCTTAAGAAGGGCACCAGAGGCCGGGCGGTGGTGGCACACGCCTTTAATCCCAGCACTGAGGAGGCAGAGGCAGGCAGATCTCTGTGAGTTCGAGGCCAGCCTGGCTACCAAGTGAATTCCAGGAAAGGCACCAAAACTACCCAGAGAAACCCTGTCTTGAAAAACCAAAAAAAAAAAAAAAAAAAAAAGAAGGGGACCAGAGAAAGCTGATGTCCTTTTACCCTTGCTTTCCACCATGTGGAAATTCAAGGCACCATCCTGGAGGTCCAGGCGGGGCTCCCAGCAGACATCACAGCTGCTAGACCCTCAGCTGTGGACTCCCCAGCCTCCAGGGCTGTGAGAAATAACCATCTGTGCTTTACGAATTAGCCGGCCTGAGGATTAGCCGGCCTGAGGTACTTCCATCACAGCAATCCAAGCAGAAACGACACCGGAGTAAGAAGCTGTTTCTAGTCTTCTTTCCTAGATTTCCAACTTACTGAGCAAACTAACAGCATAAATAATAATTACATCTTTTCATGGATTTCTTAGACACAATGGGGTTTATTTCAAAATGAAATATATAGTATAAAGCCTTGGTTCTGTATTTGTTCTCGGGGCTTAAGATGTATAAGGGATCTCCTGGGAGTATAAATACCAATTAGTGAAAGTTAGATTACATGCTTACTGCTGAAATGAAGTTCATACATTATATAAAGAAAAACTAAATATAAGTCATAAAACAATCTCTTTTGACTTTTATTTTATCATTCCTGAGAGAAGAAAACTAAATAATGGCGTCAACAATCAAAACTCAAATTATGACCTATCTAATAAATAATAAAAGTCCTCAGTCTTGTTGGGCAATGGCGGCACATGCACTCGAGAGGCAGAGGCAGGAGGATCATCTCTGTGAGTTCAAGGCCAGCCTGGTCTATAGAATAAATTCCAGGACAGGCTCCAAAGCTACACAGAGAAACCCTATCTCAAAAAAACAAAAGTGTCTGGTCTCTACAGACTTCTCAACTGTTTTCTTTACTAAATGAACAGCATCTCCATAGTAATGTATTAACACATAGTAATGTATGAACAGAGCAATCGGCTGAGAAATGGCTCAGTGGCGAAATACTTGTGGCACAGCATGAAGACCTGAATTCAGATCCTTGGCACCCAAGTGAAGGCTGGGCATGGCCACGGCGTCTGTGACCCCAGCACTGAGCACACAGAGTCAGCCCCTGAGAACCTGCCAGCCAGCTAATGTAGCCAAAATGCCAGGAACAGGTTCAGTGAGAGACCCTGTCTCAGTAAGGTGGAAAATGGTAGCGGAAGACACCCAGCATTCACCTCTGAGCTCCACAAACGCCTACATGTGCAAACACACGCACACATCATACACACATACAAAAAAAACATATTTAAACATAATAAATCAAATAAAAGCAGAGATGAAAAATGCTCCCAAATTATAAAATACAAATTAATGAGGCACGTGAAATGCCCAGTTGTATTCCTAATTGAAAACTATTTCCTAAAAGAAACAGTACAATATATTTAGTCTACTTTATGGTCTCCATTTGTAAAACACTATGAACTGAAAAATACTTGGGGATGGCCAAGTATAATTTACCTTCTGTCCATGTCTAGATACATTCTTTCAGCTTCCTCAAACCTGCCAAAGTAGGCGATGATCTCAGCCTGCTTCATTGCCTCACTCTGCAGGTTCCCTAGGCGCTTCACAAACTTGATGCCTTGGTAATCCTTGCAGCGCACGAACGCCTGCTGGGCCGTGTACAAGTCCAGCTTCTGCAGGGCGGCCTCAGCCAACAGGCGCCTGGGTTTTCAAAAGAAACAGAAAACCTATTGCATAGCACTAATAGACAAGTCTTATATCAGAATTCAATCAGTGAAACACGGTTAAAAAAAAAATCTGGTGGATTTCTGGTAAAAAATGATTGTGTTAGCACATGCAAACATTTTTCATATAAGATGCTTGAAAAGAAGAGCAGAAGAGATTTCAGTTCCCCTGAGGAGGCTAGTAGGAAACAGGGGGTGATAGAGTTGGGACTTTAAAAGCATACTGACTTTGAGGAATGCTGAGGTTTTTTAAATACCAAAGTCGGGGATGTGGATTGTCCTCTATGAATTGAGACGCATCTTCAATTCCAACCTTCTCAATCAATGCTCGACTATCTCGAAGGGACCGGATCTCAAAATTCATTATGTAATCCTTGCTAGGGTGCTCTGGATTCTGAAAGTGAAGAAGAAATACACGAATTCAAAAGGCTGCCTGCAGAGGGTATTTCTTCCCTACAATTAAAAAGAAGATAATAAAATAAAACAAATTAGTATACTGTGAGCAAAATAAAGAAAAAGAAATCCCCGTGTTTGGATCTTAAGAGTTATTTGGAAAATAGACAAACGAAGTCTCCCATGGACAATCAGGCTTCCTACACAGAGGTGCAGACAATGCCAGAAAGGGTCCCCCAGGTTTCTCTCGGCTCCATTTCCCCCCAGGTATAATTCTGTTGTTGTTAGTTACCTTAAGAATCTCATCCAAAAGAACAGATTTAATTTCTAAGTCTTCAAAGTTGCAAATATATCCAGAGGTCTGAATGGGTTCCTTTAAAAGCAAAAATGAGTGTTACGTCTCATCATATAAAACACCCCCCAAGGAATCCTGATTTTAACCTGTATTGTCAAAACTTTCAATTAAGAAAAAAAAAAAAGAATGTCAGTAATGCCATATGCCCATCACCTAAATAGTTGACATTCCACTGCATATACGCCACTAAATTTCTGACTGGTACCATATTTCGGCTCTATAATTCTATACATTTCTCTAAAAGAAAAGGATGCTTTCTTACCTAGCCACATGATGAACCGAATTCTTAGTAAATATGATAAACTTTGTATTTGGATCTAGTTAAGAACATCTACCATAAAAATTCCACAGCAAACTAAAATCTGCCTCTTTGTACCTGATATACTCCCTACATAAGATTTTACTTGCCAACATGTAGATATATGGATGTTACATGTATGTCTCCTATCCTATAGACAGTTGTAGAAAAAAAAGTGTAGGATCTACATACTGTAAGGTAAAGTAGCTGCCCTATATCCTAGCAGAAAACAATATATACAATATTATATAAGACAAAATAAATAAACTGCTAATCTGCTTAATGCCACCAAGAATACTATAGAAGAAACAGGATAATAAAATCATCAAAATTACATTTTTCATAATATATGTACACATAATTATACTTACTATCTATTACATAATTATGATAAAAGAAAGATGCCAAAATGATGAAAATAAAAGGTAAAAATTCATAGTTTGGGTTCAGTATGCCTAAGACTGAGGCTCTCATAAGCACAGTAGACCTATCCAATGGGGCTTCAAGTATCTCTTCTTTGAAAAAGCACAAGTTGTTAGTTAAAACATCAAATCATATGAGAAAAGCTTATAAAATCTTTTAATTGCCTTTAAAAAGGTGATTTTTTTTTTGCATGCGACAGATAACATGTTTTCATGAGTAACATGCTCACATAAACAGAGCCAGGCATGGCAGTGCACACCTGTAATCCCAGCACATGGGAGTTGGAAGCAGGAGGATCACAGATTAAGGGGCAGGCCTTTGTTATACAACGTGACCCTGTCTCAGGAAACACCATCACAGGTGCACACACAGAATCACAACAGAATTTGATTTGAAAAAAAGAACATGTAATGAGATATTTCTCATAGGGTCTTTTTATGTTTCGATTATTTTGATACTATCCTTTAAACCAAATATACTTGTATAAACCTGTTTATTACTAGAAATAATTTTAATTAGATACTACAACAAAGCAAATGCTGAAGTCATAAAAGGTAATCTATAGAATAAAAAATATGTCATAACCCTGGAAAAATAAAGTATTAAAATGTAAGGCATTCCTGCTGGGCAGTGGTGGCGCATGTCTTTAATCCCAGAGGCAGAGCCAGGTGGATCTCTGTGAGTTCAAGGCCAGCCTGGTCTACAGAGTGAGATCCAGGACAGGCACCAAAACTATACAGAGAAACCCTGTCTCGAAAAACTAAAAAACTAAAAAAAAAAAAAAAGTAAAGCATTCCTTTAATTTTATAATTCTTCACTGTGGGATACCTTAAGATGTCAGCTCTGTTTTATGTAACAGAATTGATAACTATGCAGAAAAATACAATTTGAATTTTAAAATCATAGCTTTAATAAAAGTTCTTTAAATGATGAAAAACCATGGAGAAAGGGAGAATGGGAAAGGTGAAGGAAGGACAGAAGTGAAGAGTTTTCACGATAGCTTATAAATGCTGGCATATAAGTAATGTAAAAAATTTGGGGGGAGTTCATCTTCCTAAAACTCAACTTCTGCTTGTATTATGCTCTGGCTTCTTCTCTGTTGCTGTAATAAACACCGTGACCAAAAGCAACTTAGAGAAAGAAGCTAACACTTCCAGGTCACAGTCCACCCCTGGGGGAAGTCAGAGCAGGAACTCAGTGGGAGCTTGAAGCAGAAACCACAGAGGCCCATCGCTTGCTGGCTCCCTTGCAGGCTCATACTTAGCAAGCCCTGAAGGACTAGCCAGGGAACAGCATCAATCAGAGTGGGCTGGGCCCTCCTACGTCATTCAACAATTAAGATAATCCCCCACAGATAGATCACAGGGCAACGTGATCTGGACAACCCCTCAGTTGAGACTCTCATCTTGGGTAACTCTAGGCTGTGTCAAGTTGACAGATAAAGCTGTAAAGGCCAAATTACATCAAGCAACTTTATTTTCCAAAATACAAAAGCAATACCTCAACTGAACTCGGTGTGTCACACTAACGAGCTACGAAGCAGGGCACACTCACGTAGGCAGTAAGCAACCCATTACTGTATCAAGAAACCCTGGGACCCGACTCAACACAGTCAGAGGCCTCACAGCATGTGGAATACAACAGTTGGCTTCCTGAAGTGTCCTTATTTAGCTACTCAGTTTTAGCACACGGTGACACACTGAGGCTTGAATACACCTATTTAACTAGATTGGGAGATTATATCAAATTTTACCTTCACCTCTACAGGCTTAAGCATTCTTAGAAAGAATCTGCTGGCCCCAGGGATCACTTTAACACAAGACAGGCAACTATGGAATGGCAGGGCTGACTCCTCCTTCCCTCCCTCACAACATGAAAACAGTGATCTCCCATCTATCTATCCTCACGTGGAAAATCATATCCAGTCACTAAGACCACAGCTTGCCTCCTGAGTGCTAACGCAGATAGATGGCCGTGTCCGGAAGGAACATATCCTGCAGCTGTGTCCAGGCATCTTCTCACAGCAGCTGGAGGAAGGACCAGCAGAGCAGAGACAGAGGCCTCTGTCCTCAGGAATGCGGAAGACAGAACAGCACAGCATACAAACAATTCTTGACAGTGCTGAGGTTGTTTTTAAAAACTGATCTGGCTCTAAACTTAATAGAAATTGGGTTCTATACCAAGCAAGAAAGCAAGTTCAAGTAAAGAAAATAATGTGTGTGTGTGTTTTAATAAAGGCTAGTCAGTTAGAGCTACTTATTATCTTCTCCAGACAAAGACTTCCCTTGGTGCTAGACTGACCGCACTCTGCACACATTATGCAACCTTAATAAACCTCCACTCTCGGGGCGTATGACTCCAGGCTTACCAGGAGTGGAGCCAAGACTACGAAAAGGACTCTAGCATTCAGAAAGCATTCTTACATCTTCAAGGTTATCCTGTGTACACCTGTCAAATTCCCACACTGATTTTGTGGCAAGAGCCAAACTTCCTTCGGGTCCTTGCAAGAAGTCATGCAAGGGCAACAGTCAGGGATGTCTTTTCTTTGAACCATTTCCCAGGGCTGTAAGAGTTACAAAGACCGCGAAGCTCCTTAATGCCTTAACAGAGCCTTTAAGAGGCAACTAACATATTCTCTCATGACCCAAAGAGCCCCAGCAGAGCTCAGAAGGGGGAAATGCACAAACAGTGTGGTGTCTTAATGGGGTAACAATGCACCACTGAACAGATGGCTACAGAAAACCTTTGACAGCTCAAGTCCCTGCGTACGCAATTTCTTCTCAAGAACGAATAGAAATGGATGAAGTAAGGCATTTATTGACTCGTCTCTTATTATTTACTCTAGCAAAGTACAATACAAAATTCCAAACTGAAAATCATTAGTAGTCCAAAAATTGTTTTTAAAAAATTCTTTTTGATTAAGCTACAGATCAAATTATTTTGCAAGGCCTAAGCACATGGATAAGAGTTGGTCCAGAGTAGCTTGAGTGACAGGAGAATCAGGAACATAGAAGTCAGCTGGAGTGATTCTTTCTGAGTACATCTCTTGTTCTCTTAATTCTCATGCTTCAATTCTATACTAAAATGTTTTATTGTATGCTTTAATACAAAAAGCCAACTCTCAAAAACATCATCTGATGTGAGCTATAAATAGAAAAGACCTGAAAATGAACAGCAGTAAAAAGAGACCATGATGAGTGTGAGGATAGCCCAGAGAGAGAGTGTATGGATTAGCGCGTGGCCCGGAGAGAACATAAGAAACATGAGGCAAGCATAAACAGTTACATCAGCACAAGAGAATAAAAAGACAAGGCCATCTCAAACATGCATATTTAGATTGCTTCAAGAAATTTTGGCAAATAAACCTGGTGATTTTCTTTTCTTTGAATTTTGATAAGAGACAGAGAAAATAAGACAATTGAGTGGCCACGATTCCATGTTGGTGGGCTGGGTTTTGATTTCAGTTCTCACTACATGGTCCAAGTTGGCCTGGAACTTTCTAGATAGCCCAGGTTGGCCTTAAAAATTACAGTTCTCCTCCCTCAGCCTTTCAGGTACTGGGATTACAAGAATATGCCTCCATGTCCAGATATGAGTTCATCTTTTAAAAGAATAAATAAGTACCTAGGAAGTGCCTTTTAAAGAGAGCAAAGGTATTTCAAAGGTATTATTCCCACTATGAAACAATTTTTTTTTTTAATCCTGGCATGATTAGATACTGGATGGCCTGGGAATTGAACCTGGGTCCTCTGGAACATCAGTCAGTGCTCTTAACCGCTGAGCCATCTCTCTTCCCCTCAAAACAAATATTTTTAAACACCACAGAAAAATTTTAAATTTATTTTCACAAACTTGCGCAGTAATGGCAATAAATTCTCAAAGAAACAAAGGTAGAATATCTAGATTTTGAATTTGACTCATTATTTATGGACTGTTAACATTCATTTCTTGTTTTACCTCAGGATCCAAGTTTCTGAAGACATACATTCTCGTCTTCTCCATCATTGCAAACAAATCGGGATTATCCTTGGCCCACTTCATGTCCCAGACATCTTTGCGCTCCAATTTTAACAATTCGCCGACCACTTGCTGTCCTGTACTGTCTGTCACCCGAGTGTCCAAGTCAAAGAAAGTCAAGACTCCCGCGATGTCGATGATAGCGAGGCGACTGAAAGTCACACAATTGGGGAAGGGAAAACTGTCAAATACTATCAGTGGTCATGACGTCGAATTGCTTACAACCGTTCTTCAAGACCCCTTTATCAGAAGTCTGGAATGTATTTAAAAAGCTTTTAAACAGCCAGCTGGGTGGTGGTGGCGCATGCCTTTAATCCCAGCACTCGGGAGGCAGAGGCAGGTGGATCTCTGTGAGTTCGAGGCCGGCCTGGTCTAGAGAGCGAGATCCAGGACAGGCGCCAAAACTACACAGAGAAACCCTGTGTCAAAACAAACAAACAAACAAAAAACTTGTAAACAAATTTAACAGAAAATAGAAACTATTCTTCGATCATCCAAAACCAGCTAGTATCAAAACATAAAATAGTTAATGTTAAGCTTCAAGATTAAAAAAAAAAAGTACCAAGATTTCTATTTAAACAAAATACAGTAAAGTAAAACTATACGCAACAAGTTCATAATAAACATATCTGTCAGCACATTTATTGCATAATGTGCATAATGCATAACCACCCCATCCTAAGTCACACCCCCGGAAGGAGTTGTCTCAGGCCACACCCCCTGAGGGGGAGCCTCAGGCTTACCTGGAGTTGCAGTTCAAAGATAACTGGCAGGCTCGGCATTCCAGCGAGTATTTTTGAATCAAAGCAACATTAGGAAAGCTGTACCTCTGGATGATGCCAGATTCACGCCCCTGTGGAAGTGGCCTTTAGTTACGACAGTATATTTACCATAAGAGCTTCAAGTGTAAACACAGATCTCTCTAAATGTCCATGTTTTTAAAACCAAAGTGACACGTCCTAGCAAGTTCCCAATTCTGCTGCTGAACTATGTCACTAAGTACATGTTTATCACCTACTTTAACTGAAGTCTTTCAATAGCAGCTGTAGGTGGTCTAATTTTTCCTCACAGAATATTTAAGAAAGAAGTCAGGAGCCTAGATCTTTGGTAATACACAAATTCTTATCTGACAAGAAAGAAAGATCTAAGGCTGCTTATACTTCTTCAGGTTAATATTTAGAGTAGACTAAAGACTACCAAAGTATCTATTCAATTAAATTCTACATACATGAAATGGAAGGTCATGGTGTGGAATAGCCCTTACTGGAAGCCTAGCTCTCCATCCTACAGCCTTTATCTGATAGCACTAGCTTTCCGCAAGAGGAAAGATAGCCTAAAAGCAGTAATACCTTGAGTATTACTTAAAAACTGACAAGGATGTGCATTTCCTGGGCAGGCATGACAGTGTACAGAGGGGCAGCAGATTCGGCAGATGGAGGGAGGGTGCCGTGACTGGCTTTCAACTCTTCTGTGCCTGAGCCCCGTGGGGTGATGGGCAATAGAAGACGGTCTACATAGCTCATCTTTCCCTCCTGCCTTTCAGCCAGAGAGCAAGGCTTCCTCAGCACAACGCTCAAGTGGGGCCTAACAGAGAGGTGGGAAAGCCACAGGATACAGGGTTCTTAAGAGCCTTTTCCCACAAAACGAGCTGACTCCTAGAGAACTGACCTGGAAGCAGTTAAGCCTCTGCTGATGTGACTCAAACATACTGCTGTGCCACACAGTTACTTCTGAAGTTACTGTTTTCAATGTCTGAGCTCAAGAGAAAACCTTATACCATTGCTTCTATTTTAAAATTTAGCAAAATATTGCCACTTTGCTGGCTGGAAAATACACCACGTCATTCTGTTTTATGAAGGTGGTTCAGCCAGAGCCAGTATGTAGCCTGGGCTACATACAGGAAAAAAAAAATCCTAAGTCCAACACTTTAAATACAGTCCCTGCATCTACTGATTCTTTGTGGGGCTTTCAACCCAGAGTCAACTCCATGTATGTGTTCCATCACCCTACTGGCTTTATAAATAGTTAACATTTTTGCAAATGATTAATAATATGTGCACAAGCCTTAAAATTTTCTCATTTCTTCTGTCAAACCTGGGAAAACTTAGGACATCCACAAGATGATAACCTAAATCCAAAACTCTTGCTTTACCCTAGCTCTATAATTTAAACAATCATTATTCATAAAATTGGTTTATTTCAGCTTACCACAATCAATGTCTTATCAGATGCAGTAATGGCACAAATTGGATCCCTCGTACCCTAAAATTAATCAATAATTTTATGTAATATTTATTGAATGACAAAAGAAGTCCAAACTAGTATGTAATTTCTAAAAATATACAATAAATCATTTGTTAACTTAAAAATTTATAGTACCTACTATGTGTCAACCACTGAAGTACTAAAGATACGCCAATCTTGAGCCCCAAGGGATTACTTAAAAATCAACTTCCAAAGACTATGAACCATACATCTAATTATAGTCTGTTAAGAGATACAAATGGGTTATAAAAGCACACAGAGAGAACTGTCTGACTTACACTAGATAGACAGAAGCCTAAGTTTAGATATGAAAGATAAACTGAGGCCAGGCATGGTGGTGCACACCTTTAATCTCAGCACTTAGGAGGCAGAGCCAGGCGGATCTCTGTGAGTTTGAGGCCAGCCTGGTCTACAGAGCAAGTTCCAGGACAGGCATCAAAACTACACAGAGAAACCCTGTCTTGAAAAACCAAAAAAAAAAAAAAAAAAAAAAAAAAAAAAAAAAGAGAGAGAGAGAGAGAGAGAAAGATAAACTGAGATCAGAGAGGCCATGATATGCCACCAGAAGGGTAAAATAGGAGAGTTCTGCAACCACCTGGATGGATCTATATAAAGGGTATTGTGCTCAGTGAGAAAAGCCAGTCCCCATAGGTTACACTATATATATATATATATGTGAGTGTGTGTGTATACATATATTATATATATATATACATACATATAAATATATATATAATCACTGACAAACCAATCGTACAGAAATCAGACTATTTTATCTAGAGACCTGCCAGGGACTGATGGTTCTCTAGGCTGGGGAACAGATAAATGAAAGAGCTTGGAGAAACTTCTTTTACAGTGAAAAAATTATGTAACAGTTCACAACATCTACAGTCAACACAACTAACAGACATGTCCAGTCTGTGACCTACATGTGTGGCCCAAGATAACTATAAATGCAGCCCAACACAAAGTCATGGAGTCTGGGGCTGCAAAGACGCCTTAGTAGGTAACATGCTACTACACAAGCAGTAGGACCTGGGTTTGGATCCCTAGCAATCGTGTAAAAAGCAGGTGTGGCAGTTTAATGAACTGTTTAAAAAAATGTCCTATGTACTAGAAACAAATTCTTGTTCAAGTCTCTAATAAAATCACAATGTTTCCTTATCTACAGACACTGACACTTACTGATAAAAGTCAAACCACCTACTTGAATGGCTTTACTATAATCAAACACCCCATCCACAGATCCAGAAGGAACATCATCAACGTGATAAATTCTGTTTAAAAAAAATCAAAATTTTGAAGAAAGAGAGGTTACATTATTTCGTAATCTTTGTAATTAAGAATGGTATGACAACAATGAGCACTATTATTTAATAGAAAAACCCTGATTGTTTAAGGAGTTCTTGATACAGCTGAATCTCATAAAAGCAGAAACTCTCCATCAAATATTTACCGGTTATATAAGTGACCTGTCAGCAAAGTCAAGTCCCACTGTGAACACCCAAGTTACGCATTCCCAACAAAGAGCGTCAAGCTGTGGGATAGTTTGCCTGGCGACTCAGGAGTGACTGCTTGCTTGCTCGCTTATAAAAACAGTTTCTCTATGTAGCCCTGGTAGGACTCAAACACATAATCCTCTTGCCTCAGCCTCCTGTCTGCTGCAACTTCAGGCTTGTAGAGGAATAACTTCCAATACACGAACTTTCTTTTGTTTACCAAACACATTTACACATCTTCATGCTGAAGCTTCCTACAGGAGCCCAGTTGCGGTGATATATTGGGTACCCTAATAAAATTTGCCTGAAGATTAGGGGACAGGAAAGCCACTAGATTAAACATAGAGGCCAGGCAGTGATGGCACACACCTTTAATCCTAGCCCTCATGAGGCAGAGATCTGTCTGGATCTCTGTGAGTTCAAAGCCACCCTGGACTACATGAAATTGACTCAGTCTAGGAGAGAAACAGAGCCAGGCAGTGGTGGCACACACCTTTATTCCCAGTACTTGGGAAGCACACACGCCTTTAATGGCTGTGTGAAGAAAGTTACATAAGGCCTGAGGAGACAGGAACTAGAAGCCTTTTCGGCTGAGAAAGCTCATTCAGCTAGAGGCTGATCGGCTAAAGCCTTTTCAGGCTGAGGAGTTTTAGAGGTAAGAGGTAGCAGTGGCTTGTTCCTCTGTCTCTCTGATCTTTCAGCATTTACACCAATATCTGGCTTTGAGTTTTTTATTATAAGACCATTTAGCAATTCGTGTTACACCCCACCGTCCAGGCTCCTCACTTCTCTGTGTGGCAGAGGCCTCTTCACCCCTCAACTTACCAGAAACCACTCCAATTCAGACTCCCTGGAAACCAGGGCCAAAGAAAGAAGCCACCTAAAGCCCCCCTCCATACCTGTGTCTGAGGACCTGCATCTCCCCTGGTGACTAATACTAGGATCACCTCCCAGAAAGACCCATACCACTAACCTATGGGAATGAAGCTTCAGTTAGACACTCGGATCTTAGCTGAATAACTAATTTCAATTTAATATGTGGAATGGGTCACATAGCCATTTCCTGACCAAAAATATCCCACAGATTTCCAGCCTTTACCAATAAGGGTGTTTTGTTTTGTTTTGTTTACACCATGCCAACTTTCTTTTACTTCAGTAAATTTAAACAGATCCATTTAAAAGATACTCAAATTTATTAAAAATGTTTCTATTAATCAAGGCAACATGTATTCTCAAGAACAGCAACGGATAATTACCTATGTTATTATCCTATGGCTTCGATGTGGTATGGTTGAGTCACTAAAAATACGTATCAAGAGACATACCTTTCTCTCCCTTCTTTTCGTGACCGTGTGATCTGATTAATCTCCAACGCTGTGAGCTTCTTCGCCACACGATACTGCCAGGTATAAAACGCTTCTTTGGAAGCTGCTATCACGTGGGTTTTGGTCATTGCAACAAAGAGTGGTACTATTCAAAGAATGTGAAGACCATTAGGCTATGGTTACGCAGAATGTGCTTCAAAGCACTTCAACACCCCCGAGTCCAGCTCCTCATTTCAGAAATAGTAAACCCACAGTCTCGAAACATGCACACAGTCTCTCAATTCAGAGAAGAATCTGAAGTTATTAGGATCATACAAAAGTATTAAGTAAAATGGATCTACTATCTAATGGACCAAGAGCTAAAACCTCCAAACCTTTTAGAGAATACTTAGGAGTATGAGCTGTTGCTGTAGGTCGATGGAAGAGCACTTCCTTAGCACGTGAGAAGCCACAGATTCAATCCACAGTATCACAAAAGTAAAAAGGGGGCAAATTTTTAATGATTTATTTATTTTTTATTTCATATGCATTGGTATTTCTCCTGCATGTATGTCTGTGTGAGGGTGTCAGATATTCCAGAGTTACAGACAGTTGTGAGCTGCCATGTGGGTGCTGGGAATTAAACCTGGGTCCTCTGGAAGAGCAGCCAGTGCTCTTAACCACTGAGACATCTCTCCAGTCCCAGGAGCAAAACTTTGTGAGCCAGAGATAGGCAATCGTTGGTGCCTTAGGTGTCACACCAAAAATATGTAACAAAAACCAGTGAATTAGACAGCATGAAAATTAAAGACATGTGTGTTTCATGTGATATCAAGAAAAGGTTAAAAAAATTTATAAATCATATATGTGATAATGAACTAATGCTTATATACATACATATGAAATTGTTCAAAAAACACATTTAATAAAAGAAAAACTAAAAAAAAATGACAAAGAATCTAAGTAAACATTTTTCCAATAAGATACACAAATAACCATTAAAAGATGACCAACATCATTAACCATCAAAAAACTGAAAATCAAAACTACTACTTCATATCATGTGATCCTCACTAGGATAGATAGACTTTTAAAAAGTCAGATAACAAGAATTGATAAGGTAATGGAGAGAAAATGACAATATAAAATACTCTGAAAAGCATTTCGAAGTTCCTCGAAATGTTAAATAAAGACTTTCACATTACCTAGCAGTTCTACTCCTAGGTATAGGCCCAAGAGAAACTAAAACACACATACACACCAATTTACACTTGAATGTTCAAAACAGCATTCTTCATAATAGCCAACAGGTAGAAACAACTCAGATATCCATCTGATGAACAGATAATTAAAACCCAGTCACACACACACACACACACACACACACACACACACACACTACCAATTACATCTTGGTTTAAATATTACTCCTTTTTCTTGACCCCATTTGTCTTGTATTCTCCTGAGTCCCTTGCTTCTAGGTAAATACTTCTTTTCATTTGCCCATTCCTTAAACAGCATCTAACAGAACACCTATCCGGTGTGCTTTTCTGAAGCAGAGCGTCTCATCAGTTCCAACTGTGGATTTAAAACCAGGAGCTAAGCAGTGAAATCATCATCTAAAGTCACAAAATACTAAATAATATAAAATGAAATATACAATTTCAAACAAAATATATAAAAGCAAAAGTACTCCTTCATAAAGGGGTATTACTCCTTGTTTTCTAAACTCATGAATAGCCAAAACAGTGTGACCTTTTTCTATTCATAAGGCAAAGCAATAAAAGAGCAACGTCAGCAAGAGCAGCTGCTAACGGAACTTTCGCCACAGCCCGAACAAGGGCACTTTGGGCAGCAGGACGCTTAGAAACTGAAGTCGAGAAACTGGGCTGGCAGTGCGGTGTTAACTGAGTGGGTTGACAGCTTGAGACTTTAAACTCAAGATTTTTTATAGACTGAGTATTTCAATATAAGTGAGTCCGATTTTTCTTTAAATTCCAGCCATAAAGGCTTTTCTATTCAAAACAAAACATGTATTATTAATGACCCCTAGAGGGAGCACAGAGCCTTCACTGCCTTGCACAAAACTAAGGCCTGGTGAGAGCAGCTGAGCCTCCAGTGGGTGCTAAAGCCAGCCAGGCTGTGTTCTCACTGACTCCTTTTACTAAATTTTAATAAATATGGTAAAATCCACCATGCATATTTCAATTCTGGTAATGACTATGCTCTTACTGATTCGAGGTTCACAAACCTTTACTGCTTCCTGGTTTAAAAAAAATAAATAAATTTTCCTAAGCATATAAAAGCATTTTCTCAACCAAGGTTTAATTACAGTTATAAGTTGCATTCATGTTTTTTATTCTTTTTTTTCCATACAATTTATTCTGGTCACACTTCCCTCCCCCTGGCCCGTGTTGTTTATTCTTGGTACTTCATAAATAAGAATTTATTGCTATCCCGATTAACTCAAAATTAAAATGTTACTGGTTCAAAGGACAAGTCAGGCTCCTTGGATTAAAATTGCAAACACTTTGTAACTATTAATGTTATAAATTATTTCCTCTTTCCAAGCCTCAGCTTTCTTGTTCCAGTTGAAGATAACAATATCAGCCCTATATAGCTGTTTTAAGGATTAAAAGAAACTAAAGCATAACACAGTGCCAGGAATAGAGTAAACACTTAATAATTTTTGATTTGGTTTGGTTTGTTTTTTTCTAGACAGGGTTTCTCTGTGTAGCCCTGGCTGTCCTGGAATTCACTCTGTAAACCAGGCTGGCCTCGAACTCAGAGATCTATCTGCCTCTGCCTCCCGAGAGCTGGGATTAATTGCCACCACCACCAAGCTTACACTTAGTAATTTTAAGTACATGTCAGGTGCTCTTCTAAATACACAATATGTACTAACTCACAACCACTGTATAAGGCCAATATTGTTATCATTATTTAGCAGATAAGAAACTGAGGTATGAGAGAGTCATAACTTGCCTGTGTTATATAGCTGGGAAGTGGGCAAGTGGAACACAGACCCAGGTACTCTACTGCTCCTGAATCTGTGTTCTTAATCGCTGAAGCAGAATGCCCCGCAATATACATTATGACACATTAGGCATGGTAGCTATCTTTGTTTCTTATTTTTATTTTCTACATGGATTTTTATAATAAAACCAAGTACTCCAGTCATTACTCAGAACAAATGTAACTACATGTGAAACATATTTTCGATTAATATAGTAGAAATTTCGGTAAATTCACAAGGGAACACAATGCCATCTATGTAAATTCTAATAGATTTTTATTAAAAGATTAATTAAACCCCAACTAAGTTTATAAGAAAAACGAAGATGAGGTTGCCCATCACAATTGGATATTACTAAAGGCATCACAGAGTTTGGTCAGAGGTCATGGGAGAAATCAATTGGTACTGACCAAGAAGCTCCATCACTCTTGCAAGCTTTCCTAGGACTGGAAGGTGCTGCAGAGACTTCGGATAGACAGTCATCAACAGTCCCACCCAGCTGGGAGCCCTATGAACTACAATAATGACGGGCATGCAAGATATGCCTGGGACATAATGGTGATATCAACAGTCTCACCCAGCTGGGAGTCCTATGAACTACAATAATGACGGGCATGCAAAATATGCCTGGGACATAATGGTGACACAGATGTTTACCAACAAACCGCTTCCTGATTGGATTTAATGCCTGATCCACAGGAGGAAAAGCATGCCTGGTACTACAAATCTGGTTAGGGAGGTTTGCAGCCTAGGGATAGACCTAATGCTATTATCCTGCTAAATGGACTAGTATCAAATTGCCCTCTAAATTCATACCCATAGGACACATATCTTCATACTTAAAAACTAGAACAGTCCTCAGTCTTCATCAGAGAAGTTTCTTTGTGCAGTGGACAGAAATTCACAACTGACCAAAGTACAGAGAATATGTCCATGGGAGTGCTCGGCCACAACTGGGACATCAATACGATCCCCAACCCCAGCCATAAACGGGACATCAATATCATCCCAGTGCTGATGTTCAGGGACCATCGGGGAAGAGGCAGAAAGGCTGTAAGAGTCAGAGGTCAGAAGAGGACCAAAGTAAAAAGGTGTCTTCTGGACATGACAGGCCCACTGCACTCGTGAACTCACAGCTGGTGTGGCTGCCTGCACAAGAGCTGCTCAAGATCAAGCCAGTTAACACCTGGCACGGAGCGGGAGAGGCTATTGGAAGCTGCCGGCTTCCGTGGGAAGGAGAGTCAGTTGTCTTAAAGAATATGGTAGGTCAGCTCCACTACAGTGGACAGCTTCACACCAATGAGGATATGGACAGCACAAGTTAGACTTAGTGGGTTATTAAAAAACAAAACAAACGAACGACAGAAGAGGGCGTAAAGACGGGAGGACGTGAGAGCGAGGAGGCACACCCAGCAGTCATTAGGGCAAGGCGGGAAGCTAAATGGGATCAAAACACATTGTATGAAATTCTCAAGGAGTTAATTAAAACATATTAAGAAGAAAACGAGGGCCAACTTTGTTAAAGATCTATTTATTTTTGTTTTATGTGGCTGGGTGTTTTGCCTGCATGTAAGTCTGTGCACCACTTACCTGCCTGGTGCCCCTGGAGGCCAAAAGAGGGCGTAAGAGCCCCTGGAACTGGTATTACAGATGGTTATGAGCTACCGTGTAGGTGATGGGAACTAAGCCCAAGTCCTCTAGAAAAGTATCCGGCGTTTTTAACTGCTGAACCATCTCTCCAGCCCCAAAGATCTTTAAGAGATAGAATTTTTAGGGGTGGGGGGACACAGTCCATCTAAAAACACTCAGTCCCCTTTTAAGCGGATTTAAGGATGAAAACAATTCAAACTATCAGTGCTAGAGAGATGGTTCAACAAGCTAAGTGCCCACATGAGCATGAGGAACTGAGTCTATATCCCCAGGACACACGTTAACAAAAGACAGGCAGACATGCCAGCCACCTGCAGTCCCAGAATTCAGGAGGTGAAGATGGGGTCCCTGGAGCAAGCTGCTGGCTAGACTAGTCAATATTGGCAAACTCCACGCTTAGCAAGAGGCTCGGCCTCAATAAATAAAAGTAGAGCTATATCAAGGAAGACTCCCAACTTTAACTTCAAACTTCAACATGCACATACACATGTGTGCCAACACGCGTGAACATGCATATACACAGGCACATATACAACACCCACATACACATGCAACACATGTCAAAATATGTAAAAGGTTACTGAGGGAAAATTTTAAGGAGTTATGCTTCCGTCAGCTGAGCCGTTAACACTAATAGGCAGTCATTATTAGCCAAGCCAGGATGTAACATAATTTAAAGCTATCTAGGAATTCACATATAAGAAAACCCTGCTTGTAATATTTTAATGCTGAGGGCTGAATAAATTCCTGCATCTAAAATTGCTCCCCACTTTGCCACTTACTCATTCCTTAGCACTTTAAAGAGCTGGGAAACTGAAACGTTGTCAGCAAATTCACTTTCTCTGGAATACATGAAAACCATCATTAGAAACCTACCAAAATGACCGCCCCCAGACAGGCTGCTCCTCTCCATTCACTCTGTGTCTCCATCCTTCGCTCAATGCTATCCTCTCTCCGTAAAATGCCACTTGAAGACATGCTTACAGGTATCTCCTTTTCTCTCTTTTCTCTCTCTCTCTCTCCCCTCCCCTCCCCTCCCCTCTCCCCTCTCTCTCCCTCCCTCCCTCCTTCCCTCCCTCCCTCCCTCCCTCCCTTCTCTCCTCTCCCTTCCCCTCACCTCACCTCACCTCCTTCTGGTTTTTCAAGACAGGGTTTCTCTGTGTAGCCCTGGCTGCCCTGGAACTCACTCCATAGACCAGGCTGGCCTCAAACTCAAAGAGACCCACCCGCCTCTGCCTCCCAAGTGCGTGCGTCACCACACCTGGTACTTACAGGTATTTCTTAAAAGACATCCTTCCACACCAACATCCACTTATCCCAGTCACCAGCACAAGACCTGGCGCATGGCACACAGCACAGAAGCAGTCAATTATTGCTCAACTAATTAACCAAACCTTTTGTATTTACATAGCCCATAAGGGAAGTCATATTTTCTATAGTCATTTTCCCCAGAGACTATTACAGTGTCTGAAACAGAATATTTTTGGAGGTTTGCTAAATAATCCTTTCGATTCATATGACACGAACACTCTCCACAAACATTTGTCAGGGCAAGCACACCGTTAGGGACTGGGGCTCTGGAAACTAACTAGACACAGATCTTCAGACAGGGAAAGCGAGCCCAGGGCAGGGTGGGCAGCGCTTTGGAAGAAGTACACAAAAGCGGTTGTGAGAGCTCCATGGGGGAGCACCCAGTGAGGGCACCTGCACTCCTCATACTGAGTGAGCGCACAAGAACTCTGCCAACCAGACTTCCTAACGTCAAGTTTCTGTAGGTGAGTATCTGTCACATGACACTGTTAGTGTTTGTTTCGGTTCTCTACCTTCATGGAAACTTCGTAGAGACTTTCAAAGGGAATTGTGTAGGGTATATATGAAACAAAATGGTGAGTCTTTGCAGCTGTTTGCTGGGGGCCAATGAACGAACTGTTGGTTCAAGTTTCATCCAGTGAGGCTATAAGCCAAAAAGTTCTCGAATACTTACCATTTTATGAAGAGGAAGGATTTACACTTAGTTTTGTTTTTAAAACAGTCTACCTGGCATAAAAATTACTATGAGTTTAACTCTATAACAAATGATTCTGCATTAAAACTTTTAATATTGAAAAAAAAATACAAGCTGGGCGGTGGTGGCGCACGCCTTTAATCCCAGCACTCAGGAGGCAGAGCCAGGCGGATCTCTGTGAGTTCGAGGCCAGCCAGGACTACCAAGTGAGTTCCAGGAAAGGTGCCAAGCTACACAGAGAAACCCTGTCTTGAAAAACCAAAAAAAAAAAAAAAAAAAGAAAGAAAAAGAAAAAAATACAATCTCAAGGTTAGCAGACTTCACACCTCAAAGACATAGTACTTTGAGACAGGGAGATGGCTCAGTGGGTAGGGAGTCTTGCTATTGAGCCTAACGAACTGAGTTCGGTCCCCAAGACCCACACAGTGGGAGGAGAGAATGACTCCTAAAAGTTGTCCTCTGGCCTCTAGATGCATGCCATGGCACATGTACACACACACACACACACACACACACACACACACACACAAGAATATAATACTTCTTTTAATAACAAACATATTCACATAACAAGTCTTTAATAATTACAAGCTATGCCTTTTATTAACAGGGAACTTAACACATGTATACATATAAATATGCATACATGTACATAAACATACCTATGCAACAATGCATGTGGACAACATGTTAAATGTTCCATTATACCACAGTGAGTTACCAAAACCTAAGCACGGGGCCAATACTCATCTTTCACATTTGCTTGTCTTACCAAAGACCGCAGCAAAATGCAAACATTTAGGAGAAATAAACACAAGTTTTGTCTTGTTTTATTTTTGTTTTTCAAGACAGTGTTTCTCTGTGTAACAGCTCTGGCTATCCCAGAACTTGCTTTGTAGATCAGGCTGGCTGGGAATAAAGGCATGTGCCACTACTGTCCAGAGATTTTTTTTAGAATTTTTCATCTTATTTTATGTGTATGAATGTTTCACCTGCATATATATATGCATATGTACACCACATTCATGCCTGGCGTCCAGGAAAGTCAGAAGAGGGCACTGGATTCCTAGAACTGGAGTTACAGATGGTTGTGAACCATCCTGTGAGTGCTAGGAATCTAACCAAAGCCCTCTGCAAGAGACACGAGTGCTTTTAACCACTCAGCTATCTCTCCAGCCCACTAACATGCCTTTGAAGACTCAATATCTAATCTGAAAATAACTGACTAGTTCTCGGGGTCAAAAAATAATTCAATGGATTTTCAATTTTTTGGACTGAATTATTTTTGTCACACCATTTCCAATATGTGACAGTACATTTTACAAAAAAAAAAAAAAAAAAAGAAAGAAATAGGGAATTTTTAAGACTTTCTCTAGCAATAGACTGGTTTCATTAGAAAGCTCTGGAAAAATCAAGCCTACTTTATAAGCAGCTAAAGTGTTTTTATGGCAGAGAAGTATTTACAAGCAGTTTATTAATAATAAAAGTGGTTTAAGAGCAAAATTCTTTCTATAACTCTGTTTATTACATACTAATCTTGCATTGCACACCAATTCCTATACAATTATATTTCCCTTGTAGACAAATGACAGCAATTATGGAATTTCTATGGACTTTAGACAAAAGAGCCCTACAAGTTATTGTATTAACCATCACACTTTCAGAGTGAAGGGAAGCCTGATAAATCTGCCGTGAGAACAGGTATCTACTAGTACTGCTCATGGCAACCAGAGACATGATCATTATTATTTTAGAGAATATCATTCTAATTAATACCACTAGTATGAGTAGGAAGGTATGTGATCCGTGCACACATTTGTGTGTAGGTGTGCACACTCCTGTGTGTTCATACAGAGGACAAAGAAGGATGTGGGGTGTTTCTCTCTATTATTATCCACCTTATCTTTTGAGACAGGGCCTTTCACTGAACTGGACGCTGTTGGAGCTAGGCTGTCTGGCTGGTGAGTTCCTGGGATCCACCTATCTTAACCCCCCAGTGCTGGGATTACAAGCATGTGTGGTCATGCCCAGATTTTGTGGGGGTGGTCAGGGATTTGAACTCAGGCCTTTCTGCTTTAACGGCAAGCACTCCGACACAAGGAGTCACACCTCCAGCCCTGGAGGATTTTTTAAATTAGTGTTACAAACAAAACCTGATCAGAAAGGAAGTAAATAGTAACATTTACTTACCAAGGTCAATGTATTTAGGGTCCAAGGGTGTGCCAATAGAATTGCAAAGAACTAACACAAACTGTGAACAAATAAGGAAAAAGAAGATCAGAATCCTTGCTTGCAATGAATAAAGGACATACGCTTTATAGAGCATGCTTATCTTGTTCAAGTATCACTAACTGAGAAATAATTGATAAAACTGTACAAAGAAGAGCAGACCAAAAAAAAAAGACCATCTACAGCACTGACTATTAAAAGGGCTGACTTCTCACTGTAAGGGAGCACCACATTTTAGGAGAACACTTAAGACACACAAGTGGACAAGCTGCTCCCAACATTTACACGTCTAAACTTCCTGGTACCACAGCAGCACAACTCATCCTCACCCTCACCATCTATCCAGCCACACAGAAGCTCAAGTAATGTGTTACCGTTGCACCAAACGTCTCCATTTCATTCTCCTCCTTGGAAGCAATACATGAATAGTATGAAAAATTCAAAAAAAAAAAATTAATTCAGGAACAACGGCTTCTATCCCAACAATCATCATGACGGACATTAGGAGAAACACGATGTACATTTTATATCATGCTGTTCTAAGTTGGTAATTCCATCTTAACTGTTAGCCACCACATCATATACTAACAATACTGTTCTACTCAAGTGTTTTCCTAGCCAACTCAATAATTTCATATCAGTTCTCTGTTGTTTATATATTTTTCTATCAATGTCTCAAAACTCGTTTCATTTTACAAACATAACCTAAGTGATAATAGATTAAAATCTTACCCTTCTACTACTCAAGATAGGCTAGTCTGTTGCCTCAGCATAACACAAAAATGTGCTCTAACTAGTCCTGTTTAGCAATCGTGCCGGTTTGAACGTTTTCAGAATCCAATAATCCACAGGAGTCCTTAACTTAATAATCCTTAATAATCCATCTCCCTGCTTCCTACTCCCTCTAGAGCAGTGGCTCCCAACCTTCCTAACACTGTGACCCTTTAACACAGTTCCTCATGTTGTGCTGACCCCAACCATAAAAAGATTTTCATTGCTACTCCATAGCTGCCGTTTCGCTCCTGGGATGGACCACACCGTAAATACCTGATATGCAGGACTGCTGATGTGTGGCCCCGAAGGGGTCACGAACCACTGCTCTAATGTGTCCTACTTATGGCACAGCTCTGAGCAGCAGAATTTGTTTGTTGGCTGTTGACTGGTTCTTCCTTTGGGGGTTTTCTGAGCCAAGATTTCACATTGTAACTCATGCTGGCCTTGAACCCCCGGCAAGCTTCTGCCGAAGCTGCCACAGCCTCCTACACTAGAATTACAGGTCGGAGCCACAACGCACAGCTTGTAGGTATGATGTTCCCAATGCTCCCTCTTGCCTTGTTTCATCTCACTCGAGCATTATTTATTGTTTTCCCAATGTGAACCAAACACATTTAGCTCTCTGTCCACTTTCCCATTCCCTTGCCCCACACGTCAACGACCACAGCTTTCTACTTTGAACAGAACTTTTTCAGATTTCAGATCGGAATTCAAGACTGACTATTTGGGGTAGGAGTTTCCGAAGTGCGAAGCTCAGCGATCACACAAAGGCTCTCTCTCCCAGCTGATCCCTCCACCACCCTTGACTTCCCTATAGGCATACTTCACTGTCCTTGTTAAGATAAACAGGTTTGGAGGTTATGTTTGGTTTTTCTCTCTATGCTCAGCTTTCTATGTGTTTATTGATAACTTGAATCTCCAGTTATGACCCAGTTAAGCACATCGTCTCTCAAGGGATCTGGCACGAGGCACCGTAGTGGCTGATCCACCTGACTTCCCTCAGAGCCTGCCCTCTCCCTGGAGTCCCTGGGTATGCCACTCAGTAGTCAGCTGGGACACCCTTCACCATGGGAGCTGGGGCTTCTGGGTTTTCTCCTCTTTCTTGATTTATTCCTCATTTTAATGTCTTCACCCTGAAATAACTCCCTAAGACAGATAAGTTTGGGAGGAAAAATTTTGGTGACCTTGCATATCTAAAAAACGTCAGCATCCACTCTCACATTAGTAGTTTGCTTATGCTGAGAAATCCTACACAGGTAATCACTTTCCCTCAGAATTCTGAGGGCAATTCTCCCAAGCTTTGCTGTTAACTAGCTGAATGCCAGGCTGACTTTTCATCTTGTGAAATCTGCTTTTCTCTGGGAAAGCGATAGGATTGGGGGTGGGGCGGGGTGCTGTTTTATGGATATGTTGTGTTGTGTTGTGTTGTGTTATGTTGTGTTGTGTTGTGCTGTATCAGTTTAATCGCTAGTGTTCCGAAACTCACAATGACAGGCTTTGATGTGGAAACATTTTCAGTCACTGAACCACGTTACTTCTAAGGGAAAACATCAAGGAAATTTTGCTTTTTTTATTCTCCTCCATTTGGGGTGCGTATATGCATGTGTGCTCACATGTGGGAGTACATGTTTGTGCACACACATGTGGAGGGCAAAGGTTGACTTCCTCATCATGCTGCACTTTATTTACCGGGGCAGGATCTCTTGCTGAACCCAAGACTGACTGATTTGGCTAATCGAGGCAGTCAACTTGCCCCAGGGACTTCCTGTCTCAGCCTCCCCAGTGAGGGGACTGCAGGTACACGACCATGCCTCCCAGTGGGTGTCAGGGATCCAATCTCCAGCCCTCACACTTGCATAGCAAGGCTTTACCCACAGGGCCATCCCCCAGGCCCCGTCCACCATTTTGCCCATTCACTCTTTTTAGTACTATTATTTGAATGTTAAACCCTCATGACATTCTCACTATTTTCCATTTCCTTGTCTGCTTGCTTCTTTAGTATTTCCTTCATTATATTGTCCAACCTTCTGGGCAAACTTTTTAATGGGATTATCATCTTTGTAATTTCCATATCTCTCCTTCTCTGTGATATTCTTTTCTTGTTTGATGGGAGGAAGTCTCTGAACTGTGTAAGGATACCAATGACTGTTCTTATGAGACAACGGTGCCTTTGAATTGTTCTCCCTGGGCCAGAGCGATGGCTAGATGGTTTAGAGCACTTATTGCTCTTGCAGAGGACCAGGGTTCAGTTCCCAGCACCCATCCATAACTCCAGTTCCAGGGGTTCAGACAACTCTTCTGGATTCTGCAGGCACCTGCACTCATGTGCTGCACAGACAAGCAGACACACATATGGATAGATAGATAAGATAGACAGACAGACAGATAGATAGATAGATAGATTAAATGACAGCTGGGCAAGGTGGCATGTGCCTTTAATCCCAGCAATCAGGAAACAGAAGCAGGAGGATCTCTGTGAGCTCAAAGCCAGCCTGGTCTGCATAGTGAGTTCTGGGACAGTCAGGGATACACAGAGAGATCCTGTCTCACAAAAAAAAAAAAAAAGACGTGAACTATATCCCTCCTAGTTTTTGCTTCCCCCAAGTTCTTCTCTGCTTGAGTTTATATTTAGCATCTTTTGCTACCTTGGACATCCCCTAAATGTCTGTGCTGCCTTTCCATCTGCTCTATTTAGGAGTAGGATGCTAAAAGTCTATGTGGTACCCACTTCACCATCAGTGAGCCTCACTGACCATGACGTTACTGTGAGGTGACTGGGCAGGTCTGTTTTAAGAGATTCTTAATCTGTATGTGGTCCTTTCTCCTGAGCTAACGAGGCTGCCCAGGAAAGACTCTCCCAGCCTGTAACCTCAAATCTGGAAGCTTGGCTGCCTGTGTTCTGAGAACCAAGCAGGAGAGCACGGTGGGACCGGGAGGGCAGTGCTTGGAGGTCAATGCTAACACCTTCTGATTTGCAGCAGAGTCTGTCCCCATCAGCCACTCTGAGGCCTTCAGCACAGAAATTCTTGTTTGTTTAAGATTTTATTTGGGGTTTGTAGCGTGTAAGATGGCTCAGCAAGTGAAGGGCTTGCTGCCCAGCCTGATGATCTGAGTCCAGTCCTTTAAACCTACATGGTATAAGGTAGGAACAGACTCCTGAAACTTGTCCTCTGACTTCCACAAGTGTGATGTAGCATGAAAGCACAAACACACACTAAATAAATAAATGTAAAATTTTTTTTCATAACTCTGTTGTGACTTTTTAGGTTTGTATTTATTATTTTTTGAGATGATCACTATATCATTTCTTCCTTCCCTCTAAACCTTCCCATATACCCTCCTTGCTTGCTTTCAGATTCCTGGCCTTTATTTTCATCAATTGTTGTTTTACATGCGTGTGTGCATGTGTGCATATTTGTTTGTTTGTTTGACATATGTGGATGCTTTGCCTGCATGCAAGTCTGTGCATCACATGTGTGCAGTACCCACAGAGACCTGAAGAGGGCAATGGATTCCCTAGAACTGGAGTTACAGACTGTTAGCCACCATGTGGGTGCTGCGAATCAAATCCAGGTCCTCGAGAATAACATCCAGTGCTCTTAACCACTGCCCCTTCTCCCCAGCCCTTACTCTCACTTTGGTCTCACGTGGCGACCAAGCCTTACTCTTGGTAAATGGCAACAAGACTCTGTAGGCTTGGTCTAGAGGAGGAGACCTAGAAACTTGCTTGTTCCTGACTTTTTTGTAATTTGGGGAGATTTTGTTTCTTACATTGTCTCTGGTACTCCCAAATTGTCTTTGCTCAACCAGGCACGCCAAGTTCTAGGCTTCTTCAGCATCCTATAACCAGTTGCCTCTGCCATACTTCAGGAATGCCGTTCTCAGGTCTATTCAAGTGATCGCCCTGGTCCACTTACTCTCCAACCTCCACACTTCACTGCCATTACCTATGTTTACTGGCCCAATGGGCCTCTGATTTGTTTGAAAAATACTTGCACTGCTGTGTTAGTGTGTTTCAAGAGAAAACAAAGCCAAACGGGGCTATCCAAATAATCACCTTTAACAAAATCTCTGTACTTTTACATCATAACCCAGCCAAAGACACTTAGAGTCTCCTTCTCAAATGCATGCTTTTGCAAATTCTCAAATTGTTGACATGCTTTACAAAAACACCTCATTTATATTCTTTATTTTCTGCTATGAGATATTAGTTTCTAATGCATTATATCTCCAACTGAGAAATAGATTTATCAAAGTCAAAAACTACCCAAACTCTTGTAATTTCATCAGTATTTCTGCTAGACATCCAGATATTCATTTTTTACTTGTGACATATTTCAGAGGCAAAAGCTTCATTATAGATGCTGTTAGCATGAACTGTCAATGCCTGAATGGTAGGAAAAAGAACCAAAGAATATAAAAACATGGAGACAGTTTTCCAAAACAGGTTCAGACAAACATGGTCAAGAGAGCCAATGTTCTCTCCTTACCAGTACCCATGCTTGAGAAGGCGGGCAACTAGAGCCCAGCTCTGCCCATTGCTAACACATCTGTACCTCAGAAACCAAGAGTCCCTACCTGAGGGTGATTTTCATCCGCTTTTGTAGCCAAGATGCAGAAATCGCCACAAGTCGTGATGGAAATGAGACTCTTCACGTATTTAACATGTTTCTCGTTGTTCTTTGTGTCCCAAAAGACAACACAGTACTCAGGACGATCGGGTCGGGTATACGCATAAACCACGGTGTTTGAACAATAGCCCCACTGGGACCAGAGAAAGGGAAGGAACAGACGTGGGGAGGGGAGAAAAAGGAAGATAGACTATTCAGTTTGGGAGAGAAAGTTATTGTATTTTTACTTTAGAACTAGTGTGACAGTTGCTATATCAGGGCTGAAAAATAGATCCCTTCTTACTATCAAAACAAATCTAAAAGTCACAATAAAAGACATTTTGAAAGAATGTTCTACAAAAATGAGCTTAGCTTGTATAACTTTCCTTAATTTGTAAATGTTAAGCTTCAGTGCTAAAAATCTTCAATAGTTAATCCCTGCTTTGGGGATGAGCCCAGAAAGTGAACAACTCCTATCAGGAGTTTGAATTCTGGGTCTCCAAGACGAAACTCAGAAAGCAGGTCCTTTGTCTTTTCCTGTCCATATATTTTACAAAATGTTTTTATAGTCAAATCCTTCTACATTATTTTTCCAAAATACAGAAGTCCCCACCCCAACTTGCTGAGTAATAATCGTGTACAACTTTTAGCTACAGCTGTTCGATGAATGTCTACATCATGGTCCTACTGAGAACAGAACATGTACACTCACAGCTCTCCCTCTGTCTAACGTGCGAGGACACTCATATGGAGTCTTGAACACATTACACTCATCATCTAATGTTACTATTAAAAGTCATGCAGGCTTTTCATACCACTTACTAACATCAACTTTGGCTTTAAATGACTTTAGATTTACAAAAAAAAAGTTATATACAAAGTTCCCAAACACCCCTCATCCATTTTCCCTGTCGTCAGCATTATACACAACTGTGACACATTTGTCACAGCTAAGACCCCAGCCTCACTGGACTCCACACTCTCCCTTAGCTTTTCCCTAACGTCCTTTGAGATCCCAGAATCTCAGGGTGGCTACATTATGTTCCGCCGTCATGTCTCCTTGGGCTCCTTTGGGCTATGATGGTTTCTCGGTCCCCTGTATTTGATGATCTCGGCAGAAATCAATGCCCCTCAGTTTGGATCTGTCTGGTATTTTTCTCATGCTTACAGAGTAACTGGTGTGTGGAAAGACCACCACTGAGGCAAAATGCTCCTCTCATGTCATATGAAGGGTTTATGAGCTCCACGTGACATCACTGAGGGTGTCACCCCTCATCACTCGGCCAGGCTCTGTCACTGACGAGCTCCCTTCTTTTTCCTTTCCCAAGCTAGAAGGATAGGCGACTTCACCTCAATGAGAGGCAGTATGTAATCTGGAATACTTCTGTAAGAAAATTCTATTTCCTACTGTCTACTTTACTCAAATAATATATATCTCCACATCAACGCACAGGCTCTTCTTTTATAACCTGGGCTACAACAGACTGCTACATTGCTTCTTTTTGTTCCTCACACACACTGGCCCACAGTCCAGCCTGGCCACTGTAAGCTAGAGTGGGCTGTCCGCCATGTCCTCATCCTCTTACATCTGAGCACTTTCTTAGTGCCCAGCACCATGAGATGCTCCACGCATAGCTCACCTTTTCTCTACCCTACTTCGAGAATCAGCTTTTCTCCAAGGTGTTTGACCCTTACAAATTAAATACACAAGATCAGACCCTCCTCCCCTCCGCTGTCCTGTCTGTGCTGTGTGTGTGCTGTGTTGTGTGAACTGTGTGGACTGTGTTGTGTGCACTGTGTGAACTGTGTTATGTGAACTGTGCTGTGTGTGCTGTGCAGTGTGAACTGTGCAGTGTGAACTGTGCTGTGTGAACTGTGCTGTGTGCACTGTGCTGTGCTGTGCCGTGTGTGCTGTGCCGTGTGAACTGTGCAGTGTGCACTGTATGAACTGTGTTGTGTGCACCGTGCTGTGTGTGCTGTGCAGTGTGAACTGTGTGCACTGTGTTGTGTGCACTGTGCTGTGCTATGATCAAACCCCAGGGTCTTATGCATATGCTCAACCTCTAAGCCACATTCTCACCACCTCTGAACCTTTGGGGATTTTTAACAGACCCTCACTAGATAACCCAGGTTGCTCTCAAACTCCCAGTTCCTCTGCCTTCATCTCCCAAGACATGATATTGTAAGCATGAACCACTATGCCTAGATTGCGTAATGTTTTTCATAAAAAATAAATGATCCTAAGCTTGTTGTAGATAGTGTGTTGTTGACCTCACTTTCTTTTCTGGTCCACTCTGCCCTTCTCCACCTTCTCCAAGCCTGGAGGGTGATTTCTGTGAGCTCCGTCACGTGGACTCCCTTGCTCTCAGGTCCCTTTGGGGTGACCATCAGAAGTCACCGGGAGGAGGGAGAGGAGGACCGGTTATTCACGAATCCCTGTCCAGCAGCAATGGCCTGGCTCATGGGTTCAGGGAACACGGTTCCCCTACTGTGGTCCTCAAGCCTGTGGCTGGAGACACCATCATTATTAAAGCCTGCTTTATCTCCTTTGCTGTTCCCTTTCATCTCAGTCACACCCTGGAATAAGCCCATCGATTACTACCGTGAGTGGCTACCTGTTTCCAGCTGAGATCTTGACTCTTAAAGGCATTTTAACTATATGTGGTATTCAAGAAAAAGTTGCTATTTACTAATTTTAAGAGCTTCACGCACAAATCCCCCTTTCTACTAGTTTTTGCTTAAAAAGCTGTAACAGGTTGACTTTTAAAAAAAAAAAGTTTTACAACTGCTCTTAATACCTTATAATCAGGTCGAATATTTGCAAAATAAATGAAGGAGTCCACGGCTAGAGCAATCTTTAGTCCACCTCCTTCCCAAGACAGTGAGCACATCTGCTTTCCCGGAACCTTCAAAGTACCTAGATGCTGGGGCAAAATGAAATGTGAAGTATTATAGTGAACACATGACTACTTGAGAGTGCCAAAGCTACCCCAGAAAATTCTAAAAGTTAAATATATCAATAACACCACTGAGAAGGACACTATATATTCATGAAAACAATGCTGACATTTTAGTCTCTGTCACTTGTGACTTATTATTAAGATAGATTTTTTTTTTAACGAATAAATCATCATGCCAGATGTAGTGGCGCACACCTTTAATCCTCACACTCAGGAGGCAGAGGCAGGTGGATCTCTGAGTTCAAGGCCAGCCTGGTCTACAGAGTGAGTTCCAGGACAGCCAGGGCTACACAGGGAAACCCTGTCTCAAAAACAAAACAAAACACAAAAAACAAACAAACAAACAAAAAGACTTTGCACTAAATTAAAACTATGAGAAATTTAGGACAGGCAGATATATGTTTAATATCCAAAGACATTTAAAGTATCATATTAAAACCCAGAAATATGAACCTAAAGTAAGTGCATTACATTAAAATACTAATCAAGTCAATGATTAGAAAGAGACATTTATTTGGATCACAGAGAAAATATCCTAAATAGCTATTTCATGGCATTTCCTACATCAAATGTTTAGATTTCTAAACATACAGATTATAAGATGGTAAATATAATAGAGACTTATAAGATGCTCTTCAGACACACAGACATCCCTCCCACCCCCCACTCCTCCCACCCTTACCCACCCTGCTTACTGCTGCGCCTGCTTTAAATGGGACGGTAAGTCTGAAATACGTTTACCTCACCAAATGGCGTGTAAAACTGCACAATGTTGACATCCTTGTCCTGAGTGACGACTTTCTGAGAGCCTGCCACAGCAAGCACACTGCCAATGTGGTTCCACTGGATACCAACCACATACATGCCCGTGTCGATCAAAATCGGGTCTAGTCAAAAATAAATCAATAAATCAAATAAAAGGGCAAATGTGGCAGCTGTGGTCACAGCTTGGTCTAGAGAACTTTACAATCTTAAGAATAATTTTTAAAATATTTTTAATCTTCCCCAAATGAAAAGAAAAGATGACTTACTTTGGTCATTCTCATGTCTCATTATTTGGCACCTCCCATTGTCAAAACAAATCGCCAGGCATGGGCAATCGGGCTCCACGTAGCCTTCCGTGCCATGGTACCAGTGAATCCCGGCGATACTGATCGCTCCGGTGACATTCACCAAGCAGTTCAGTTTCATTTTCATCTAGGGAGAAGTGGTTAGCTTAGGCTTAGTAACTGCATTTTAAAATGTGCAACTGAATCTGCACAAGTATTGAAGCAAGGACAGTGAAAGGAAGACTTGAAATCTGGCTGTAAATGTAAGCTTCATGACTTACTGGGTCACCAAACCTAGATAAACCCCTCACCCGCCTTTCCATTTTTCCCATGTATAAAACAAGGACAAAAGCACACAGAGATGTGTGGGGATGTATGCTTGCTATTCCAGCACTCCAGAGACTGAGGCAGGGAGATCTCATGTTTGAGGCCAGCCTGGGCTACATAGCAAGTGCAAGGTCAGTCTCAATAATATGAGACCTAATCTCAAAACACACACACACACACACACACACACACACACACAAAAAAAAAAAAAAAAAACAACCTACACTCACACTCAGAGTTTTCAATAAGACTCAAATGTCAGTAGAAGATCATGAGTTCAAAGCCATCCTGGGCTATGTAGTCAGCAGCTCATGTAAAAGAAAGAAAGAGAGAGAAGGAAAAGGAAACTTAGCAATTTTAGTTCCACTAGGAAGTGGAGTATGGGATGTAATTCTTCCTCCAAACAAGAATGTCCCATCAATATATAAGAAATATCTCATGGCTAAACCTCTCAAAGCCTGAACTTTCTCCAGATCACACTACCCAAGCTCACTGTCTGTTTCCTTCCAGTTGTGATAAAATATCCTGACAGAGCACCTTGATGGGAAGGAACTCCTTTTGGTTCACGATTCAAGCGGACAGTCCATCACAGCAGGAAAGTAAAGGTAGCAAAAGCATCTACAGTCTACAGTGGGGCAGCAGAGGGATGGGAGCCAGCACAGGGAATGGTCCATCCCACATCAATGAACGTAACCAATCCCTCAGAGACACCAGAGGCTGACCTCAGTCTCCATAATCTGTCTCCAGGATGTCCTGAGCTTCGTCTCCTAGGTGAATCTAGATCATGCCAGGTCCACAATCAACACTAACATCATACTACTCACTTTTACCTTCTTCCTAGAAATTGATTTGCTTCCCTTATGTAGTAAATCAGCTACCATTCTTTTTGCAGACAAGCTCTGGTTGATACAAAAGTATTTTGGGTATCCTGCACATAAACTTTGACTCAGGCACCAGAAGACTAAAAAAAACTTACACAGCACACTCTCCTACTCATTATCCTTCACCTTCAATGCACTGTCATCCTGTCCCATCCAGCTACAGGAAATCAGGATGAAGAGCTACACTCTGCTACCTTAATTCCCATAAAGGAACTACCCTTGGGCTAGGAATGTAGCTTCAAAGAATGCCTGCCTACCATTCAAGAAGCCTTGTGTTGGATCCAGTGCCTGCAGAAGACTGAGCATGGTGGAGAAACCCGAGAACTCAGGAGGTGGAGGAAGGAGTACACAAAATTCAGCCATGCAGCAATCCCAGCCGGGTCCACATAAGACCCTCTCTCAACTCACGAGCAAGTAGACCCACACTGGCCCTAGTCACTGTTCTATTGCTGTGAAGAAACACCATGACCAAGGCAACTGTTAAAAAGAAGGCATTTATTTGGAAGCTTCTTATAGTTTTAAAGGATTAGTCTGTGATCATCATGGCAGGAAGCAGACAGGCGTGGGACTGGAGCAGTAGCTGAGAGCTTTACATCCTGATCCTCAGGTAGCAGGCAGAGAGAGACACACTAGGCCTGGCAGGGACTTTGGGAATCTTGAAGCCCATCCCCAATGACACACCTCCTCCAACAAGGACACACCTCTAATCCTTCCCAAACAGTTCCACTCCCTGGTGACTGAGCATTCAAACAGATGAGTCTATGGGGGCCATCCCCATTCAAAGCACCACACACCCCCAAGAAAAGCTAAGATTTGTCTTTTAACTTTTAAAATTATTTAATGATTAGAAAATTAAAACTGAAGAAAAATTCTATAAACTACTGTAACTATAATTAGAGCATACATATATAAATGACATAAAATAATCATATAAAATTATACTAATAGAATAATGAATATAGAGGAGTGGGAAAATTTTTTAAAAAAAAGAAAAAACAAAGGAAAAAAGAATGATGAATATATATATACTTACTATGAAATTTCCTTGGTTATCATAAATGTGTATTTCTCCATTTGCCATTCCAAAAAGTAAGATTTTACTATCTGCAGACCAGGTCACGTGGCATAACTGTATACCCTTCAGGTCTTTTCCCCAAATCCGGTTCCCTACAACAAAAGAGAGTCATGGTTACTGTAAGCTCAGAGTCTGGTCCTCCAACCCTGCTTTGGAATCTTGATTTCCCTAAAGATTTCTCATATTCCTCACAGCATCCATGCAGCCATTCGATTTATTTGGTCAATCAATATTTATTGGCACTTATACATGCTAAATGCCACAGAGACCCTTTAAACAGCAGCTCTTTGAAACCTTCTGCCCTCTCTTCTGAACTCCCAGGCAGGGAGGGTCCTGGGAGTTCAGAATTTCACAATTATGAAATCACCCGTCTACTCTGGGAAATACAAGATCTCCAAAATCAGTTCTTCCTCCGCTTGCATCCCCAAACATTCAGAGCCAAGAGAACTCAAGCTGGTCCTTTCTGCTGTTCCGATACAACGGAGAAGGGAGCTGCTCAGATGAACTCTTCCACAGTCAATCCTTCCGTCTGCGCCCACGACCAACCTCGGATGAGCTCTATTCCCACCAACCCCTCCCAGCCACATTCTTTATTTATTTACAGAGTATTGCAGGATTCACTTCCTAATTGTTCCATCAACCCTTAAGTCATCCCAGTCTGTCCTTCTGTCCCCAAATCTGTTCCACAATTCCATTGACACTTCCTGTACGGAGGCCATGACCACCTGTTGCTGAAGCCAATTGACAATGAGTCTTATTCTATGCTTTTCCTGTCTGTTTGGACCAAGCCCTCTGAGAGTCTTTACTTCCACAGAACTTAGGGACTCCTTTGTCTCCAAGACTTCTACTTTCAGTGTCTTGTATGAAATCCTTTTTTTCTCCTCCAAAGCTATTCCTTAGCCCTGAGACATTCTACTCATCTACCTGTGGCTAATGCTTCAGCATGCATCTCCTCCTCCAGGAAGTCCTCCCTGATCTCTCCCCATCTGCATCTGGTGGTTTCCCACATGTTCCTGTATGCTCCCTGTTGTATCATTGATCTCTGCTGAGTGACTGCCTGTTTTCCCACGACCATTTCTGATCTAGGTCAGGGATGCTTTTCACTTCTGTGCCATTAATTCCCAAACTATAGCTACTGCTTTGGAGGCTCAGCAACACTGGACGACTACAATAAACACACACAAATAAATAAATGAAAAATATTTTAAAACACTTTCTGTAAGAATTTTTTATATTAAAACCAAGATGCAGACTCACAGAAGACCCAGTCTCATGTCTGTACTATAATTTGGAAGAAATGGATTTAAGGCTAGAAGATATGACAACGACATGTTCTGTTCAACTGAAAATACAGATTTTTGTAATTTTATACCTCTGACACTAAAATCTACATTTCTATACAATCTAACAGATATGAAGATCAATTACATAAAGGCCATATTTAACATGATACTGAGAAATTAATTCACCTTTTTTCAATACCACTGTAGGAAACTGAAACAATAGATTTGTCTTGGAAACACTTAAAGGTAAGTGGTTAGAACTGAAAGGTGGTTCCTAATGTCACCAAATTATATAACAGGTGCTTTCTTCTTTGGTGTCTATTTTTCAATCAGAATGACAGCTTAAATCTTTAAAGGCAATCAGTAAGCCCTGGTCTCTGGCCAGTGGCCAGCAGCTGGATTACCGTCTACTGAGCCGACTATCACAGCCCCGTCTTCATACACAATGCAGATCTTCTGACCATCCGCGTTCCAGCTCATGCTTCGGACCACTGATTTATTGCGATTGTTGATCATCTCCTCATACCAGGAGCCTGTGTTCACAAGTTACAGAACGACAAGTCAGAACGTCCACACTTAGCAGGCCAGGTGTGGCGGTGCACATTTCTCTGCGTGTGGGAGGCAGAGGCAGGAGGATCTCTGAGTTTGAGGCCAGCCTGGTCTACAGAGCGAGTTTCAGGACAGCCAGGGCTACACAGAGAAACTCTGTCTCAAAAAACCAAAAGAAGAAAAAAAACTTTCACATTTATCAATTGATACTTAAAGGTTGATAGTATTTTCTGGGTATTGTCATGTATACCATTAATCCCAGAACTTGGGAGACTGAGGCAGGAGGATCAAAAGTTTGAGGTGAGATTGGGCTACATGTAGCAAGACCCTGTCTAAAAAAGAAAGAAGAAAAAGAAAAAGTCACTAGCATTCTAAAAATACACTGTTGGATAAATTATTATAAAGGTGTCTATAACCTAAAGGCATTTAACTTTGAAGTCTTCAAACCCACCATAAACAAAAGTTTGATTAGGTATTGTTCCCAATTACTTCAAGATTATCATTGAAAATACAATAAATATTCCTCTTTTATTTTTTATTTCTTTCTTCTTGTCAGTTAAGAAAATGAAATTTCATTTGCTTTTCCAGGGCTAAAACAGCTGATTTTTCTATAAGTTCAACTTTTCCAACAGAGTGGTACATTTCAGATAGGAAAAAAACGTAACAATAACAGCTTTACATGTATACATAAGCTCTCTGTGATTAACCATTAAATTAATTAGGATTAAAAATAGAAACATATTCCATTAAAGCGTGTAGACTGACTACTAGTTAAAACTCTAAGCCTGCTTTTGAAATTTTTAACCATAGCTTCAGAGAGACAGCTCAGCAGGTAAGTAAGGGTGCTTGCCACCAAGGCTGAGGACCAGGACTCCATCATTGTTCTGCACATGGCAGGACAGAAGTGACTTTGAAAAAGGTGTCCTTCATCTCCACACAAACATTGTAACATTGCCTACACACACACACACACACACACACACACACACACAGGCACACAAACTTAAAGCAGAGTTCAAGCAAAACATATTTTTGTAATGAGGAATTCATAAATGGGAGGCTTGAGAGACTGTTCAGCAGTTAAGAGCAGGTCAGCTGCTCTAGAGGACTAGTTCAATTCCCAGCACCCATTCACAACTACCTATAACTCCAACTCCAGAGGGACCCGACACCCCTGGCTTCCTCAGGCACCTATTCTCACATGCACATACTCCCACCCAATGGGCACACACATACACATAAGTAAAAATAAGTCTTTAATAATAATTTGTAAATGGGGTATCCTGAATCATTTTACAACTGTACATATTTAACTAAGCCTTTCCCAGCCTCGAAAAGAATAAGTATTGAGTTGTTTTTCCAGTGATAGAGCCAAAGCTAGGTTAATCCTTCTCTTCCTCTCCCCTCCCCTAACTCCCCCCTTCGCCCCTCCACCTCGTTCTCTCTGAGACAAAAGGCAGAAGCTGTGAGTCATTCATCAGAGATGAGACCAATTGAATCCACAAAAGGAAGCTAACTGCCTCAATACAGGAAATACAATAAAGGCAGTCTCGCCTTTGACTTCTTCATAAATGTGTTTTTATCTAATACTAACTCCAGCTGACCACACAGGAACTAATTCCTAGTGGAAATGTCGGGGGAGGAGCTACTTCATATGGAAACTATTCTAAGCGTCTCCGTTCACTGTGGTAATGTCAACAGTCACCTGATTCATTTTCCTAACGCAGGGTCACAGATCAAAGGAGCAGGATCAAGTTTTCTGTTTCAGAGATACTATTTCCCCATCCAAACGCTGGGCTCAGACCTTAGTTTGTGAACGATCAAAGCCGCGCTCCTGACCCATCAAGATGGCTGTCAAGCCTGGCGTCCTTAGTTCAATCCTGGGGTCCCACAGGGTAAAGAGAACCAACTCCCACAAATGTCCTCCAATGGCCACATGTGTGACACATGTGCATACACACACATATCCACAAACGATAGGTATATAAAATGTAATTTTTACAAATTTAGAGTAGCTCTCACAGGCTGGAGAAATGACTCAGTGGGTAAGGGCATTTGCTGCTCTTGCAGAGAACCAGAGTTCAGTTCCAAGCACCCAAATCAGGCAGCTCACAACAGCCAGTAACTCCAGCTTCAGGGGATCCAACACCCTCTTCTGACCTCCAAGGGTAGCCACACACAAGTGTGCATACACACACAAATGAGCATACACACACAAATGTGCATACATACACACACAACAGTATAATAATTTTTTAAGCAACTCTCCTAATATACCTTTATACAACATCCAGACAATGATAAGCCCATTTTGATCACTGGTAGTCAACTTCTGATACTGTTCATTCCATGTCACAACTTGAACAGCACCTGGAACATTAAAATAACAATTCAGAACCTCTAAAATGACTATAATTCATTTCAAATTTGTATCTTCGTGTAAATGAACACCAAGAGGATGTAATAATCAATATAGTTTGTGCATAGTCAGTCTTTAATATTAAAAGTAAAATATGAATATAAAAATATTCATGGGATGCAGTTACTGATATTACTATCTGCAACAATGCAAAATACTCTTTCATAGGTACCCCTGTCTCAGTGGCCCCTCTCACAATCGGCTAACAGTGCTGCCATAGAGCTGATGTGGAACAGAGAAAGGAATGATTACCAAATGGCCTGACTCCCAAGCATAAAAATGTCCTCAAGATGCTGAGTTGTCCTTTGGGGTATCTTGGTCCTCTCGGTTGGTATGTCCCGTACTGTATTTTCCCTTTTCCTTCCACCCCAGTTTCCCATTCTGCTCCACACTCCTGAGTATAGCTTCAGCCTCTATGTCTGTGGTTTTCAACCTGTGGGTGGTGACCCTTCTGGGTCAAACACCCTTTCACAGGAGTCACGGTATCCGGCACAGCAGATGTTTACATTACAATACAGCAGCAAAATTACAGTTTTGAAGTAGCAACAAAAATAATTTTATGGTTGGGGTCCACAACATGAGGAACTGTATTAAAGGGTTGCAGCATTAGGAAGGTTGAGGACCACTGCTCTAGGCTGTATGAATGGCTGGTTTCATTTTCTTATCCCTAAATACTTTAGTGTCTATTTCCTAATGATGTTCCCTTTACAACCAATATTACAAATTAACACTGATGAAATATCATCTAATACAGTCCATTCAAACATCATCAGCTCTCAAAGACATGTCCTGAACAGGTATTGTTTTTAATAAATATTTTAAAACCCACAGACAAAAAAACCCACAATTTTGTAACATATAAACTAACAGGCAGGTTTTTCTTTTCAGGTCTATCATAGATTAAATTTAATTTCCGTAAAAGTGTTGAATTATTCTGGGACATATGAATTATGGCTCAAAAAATGATTACTTTCAATACCATTATTATCTAAATAATAGTATTTGATTTAACAAATATATTTTTAACATATACATTAAGTAGATGATGACCTAAATGTCTAAATGCTATTCAAATATGACAAATTAAAAATTAAATGACTTACCACTATGACCTTCAAGATTCTGGTTCATGGAAAGGTTACTCGGGGCTGCTAACCCTCTCAATTTTGAGTCATCTAAAATAAACAAACAAAAAAGCCTATGATTAAATATATAAAAGCAAAAAAACTACAAGATTTTGACATATCTTAGGTTATGAGAAGGGTGTGTATCTGTGAGATAGTATGTGGCTTTTGTAAAGTGTTCTTCATTCTGACCTATCTTTCTCCTGGTACAAATGTGAGCAATAATATACAGATCCCTTGCAAGACATTATTGTAGGAAAATAAACAAAGTGCATAGAAGACTATTAGCTCAGTGCATTAAATACACAATCATCATTACTTGAGGCGGGTAAAGCTGAAGTACTGGGCCATGCCCTAAGCAATGAGCTGTGGCATGTGCAGTGAGCGTTCTGGCCAGAAGAAACCTGACCCATAAGCTCCAAACCAGAAAATGATGACATGCATCCCAGGGCCAACCAAAAAACGCCACAGCCACTAGGAGCAAAAGCCCGCCAAAAAGCCCCATGTCTATACCTCAGCCTTTTGTTCAATAAACAAGCTTGCTTGCAACCTCCCAGAGTCTGTGTCATTGCCTTCGTGTCTACTCATCCCCTGCCCCCGGGAATCAGGGACAGCAAGACCCAAGTCCCAGTGCCAGTGACAGTTACTGAATATTCTATCCTAAGATATCATAAGTAGAAATGTCTATGAACATAAATTAAGATCTGTAAAAACTTACAAGGGGTTAAACAGCCAAGATTTTAGAGTCTAGTTTTTACTATGTTCCCCAGAATGCATGTTCACTCATGCATTTATTCATTCAGTCAACAAATAGTTATTGGATGTGTACACTGTGTCCCTACCAGGAGCAACTCCATCTCAGGCCACCAGCCCTTAGATTTTTTAGCACAGAAATGGCATGATCTGCCCCAGTCATTTTTGTTTATTACTGATTAGACTGTGAACAACTGATTTTCACAGTAGCCTACTTGAGGGCTGGAGCTAGAGACACTGAAGAGATGCAAAGGAAGGAGGTAGAGACAGACACATCTAGGAGACAAAAGCGACAGGATGCTGGCAGAGGTGATGAAGGGGATGCTGGGGGAGGGGCGGCATGAGCAAGTGAGTGGAGGATATCGGCTGAAATGGACAAAACTGGAGAAAGGATCTGGGAGACGATCAGTTCAGTTTTAGAGATAGTAGGTCTGAGATGCCTGTGGAATTCTCCAGTGGAGATGCCCAGGTCTAAAAACGCACAGCTGAGCTGGAGGTATAGACGAGGATCACCCCATCCATGACATTGAAGGCTGTGGGAACGAGACAACAAATCTAGAGAGCAAAGGAAGAGCCTACATGCAAGTTCTCAGGAATTCCAACCATTAAAGAGGAGGAACCCAGAGAGCAGACTGCAAGAAAGAGGCCGAAGATTTCTCCTGTCTTAGAAAAGTAATAGTTGGGGGAAGCAGGGATCTGTTCATTAGCTTTGGAACACCAAAGTCCCTGAAGAGGGAAAGAAGAGAACAGAGAAACTGCTACTTGAGACAGGAGAATTGCATGTTCAAGGTCAGACTGAGCTACATGCCAAGTACTAGGCCAGTCAGAGTTATATAGATATGCTCTATCTTTAAAAAATACACACGGATGTGGAGGCATTAAATGTTCAACACTAGAACTAGTGAAACAAAATATAATGGAATACCAAATAGCAGCCACAATGCCATGGAAGATGACAATTTAGCTATTGTGTTTTGGCTGAGCTGTGACACAGTAATTACAAAGTCACAACTTCAGAACAATTCAGAGCACCACATGCAATATGTAAACAGTACATATGCAGTGTCTGGTAAATGTTACTGATGGGTCTGTTGGGTCTCTACTACTATTATTAACTGTAATATAACGGCATAATTAGAACCTTCCAGCCATATTTCTTACATCTGTCTCTTAACATTATCCACCATGATTATTAAGTTCCAAAACAAATACCTTTCTCCATTTCCAAACTTCCAAAGAATGTACTTGCCAACTTTCTCACTAAGTTCATTAACTACCCTAGTTTCCACGTGCTAATTGCAGCTAATCAAAAGTTCACAGCCATAAAACGTGGTGGTGGTGGTGGTGGTGGTGGTGGTGGTGGTGGTGGTGGTGGTGGTAGTTGATTGAAACAATGTCTTGCTTCTATAGTTGACCTTAACCTTATAATCCTCCTGCCTCTCTGCCTCTTATCTGCTAGGTTTACCAAAAAAAAGTTAATTTCTTTTTAACCTTCCACAAATGAGCTGGCAAAGCAGATATAGTGCCCAGCTAATCAGAAGGTAGAACCAAGAAGATGGTTTGAGCCTGAGAATTCAAAGCCAATCTGGGCAACATAAGCTTTGTCTCAAAAATAATAATAATAACCCTTTAAGGTTAAGCAAACTGAATGCCTTTTTGGATATAACTAAAACGTGTTATATATTTTAAGCAAAGTAAATAATACATACATAGTTACATACATATGCATTTAAGAAACAACAGGGGGAAATGTACTTTTTCTTAATACAGTTAAGAAAAGCAAAGAACTGAGTGGTCACACCACAAGCCAGAAACCAAGCTTTAACTAGTACTGATGCATCTGTCTTCCAAACAGACCTCTGCCTTTAGGTGGGCATGAGCAGGAGAATCACCACAAGTTCAATGTCAACCTGATCTACATTTCAAGTTCTAGCCAAAGTTACTCAAGAAGAAACTGCAGGGAGGTGGGGGTGGGGGTGGGTCTACCTTTTATTTCACGTAACTAAATATAGCACACCAAAACTATCCTTCTCCTTTTGGTTAAGTCTGTCCACAAGTCCTTTATACAAAAGGCTGAATACAAGGACTGAAAAATGGGACAAACTTCGTTTCAAATCTGATCCCTGTCACTTACTAGCCACGTGACCTTGGGCAAATTATTAACTGATCAGGGCTAAAAATTTTCTCATCTCGAATACCATCCTCTTAAAACAACTTACGGTCAAACAGCCACGGCGAAACATGGCAAACACTCAGTAAGTGTGGTTTATCCCACAGTAAGAGCTGTAAGCCAGCTACCAGTACAAGGGACACAGTACTAGCATCACAAAAGATCAAATGCTTATGTCATCCCAGATCTACTCTGTGGTGTGGAGCCCAGTTATCCATTTTTACCTCTTCTGTAATTCTTATGGCTCATGAAGTTTGGGAGACGATGCTGTAAGGAGCCTAAAACTGTAACTTAGCTTAATCCCCCCCCCCACACACACACACACCCCGTTCTACAAAAGAGTGAAAATCCAAAACAACCAGCAACTCGTTGAAAGTCATTCGGTAATCATGTGACCTATTCATTCCCACTGGCATCTCTCCGTCTTGATCCCCAAACTACCTTACTACTAACAAGATCCTCAAGCTAGGGCCATCGAGATGGTTCAGCAGGTAAAAGCCCTTGCCACACAAGCCGAACAACCTGAATTCAACCTCCAGATCCCACAGTGGAAGGAGAAAAGCGACTCCCAAAAGTTGTCCTCTGACCTCTACCCACAGGCTGTGACACATGCTTACAAACACACATCACACACACACACACACACACACACACACACACACACACACACACACACTAAATAACAAAGTTTGTTAAGGCTTTTTTTTTAATCTACAGTAACCCTAGAGAAGTCAAAGAAATGCAAAACTTCTGTGATTCCAGAGAACTAGAAAAAGACAACTTCAGGAAAAACTATCTCATATTTACATTACACATTCTCTGACCTTTATTGCAAAGGTACTCTGGGAAAAAAAATCACCACAAAACACTTAAGTTTCTTTTCAGAAACTGTTAAAACTTTATAATGACAAATACCAGAAGCAGGTCTCACTGAAGAAATAACACTAGCCATTTTTTTATACCAATTTCATACATGGGAGTGGTGATGATCCCTTACCTGTCTGTGTCTCTAATCTCAAAACTTTCAGCAATCCATCCTCACCACCACAAGCTATGAACCCTTGGTCCTTGTTCCAGGATATGCATTTCAGCTTCACGTTATTGGGCACAGCAATCTGTAACAAGAATCACAGTGACGCTAGCTGCTTTTCACGAAGGAGCTGGGAAGGTCACCAATCAGGAGATGTAGACTGATGAATATCTTCCAGGAAAGAACCTACACGAATCTGTTGTAGCCCATGCTGACAATCCCAACACTTGGGAGACTGAGGCAGCGGGAATCTCAAGTTGGATTGCCAGCCTGAGTTATACAGCAATACCCTGTCTCAGAGAGAGAGAGAGAGAGAGAGAGAGAGAGAGAGAGAGAGAGAGAGAGAGAGAGAGAGAGAGAGAATGAAGGGAGGGAGAGGGAAAGAGTAACAACCTGAAAAGAGATACTATGAAAATGATTGTGGTCTCCCCAAAAGTCCCAGGCTCTAGTATTCCGTAAAGAAGTGCACATAAGGGAAGGAGAGTGATTGCCAAAGCCTGGAGTCGGGGTGGGGAGGGGAGTGGACGACCTCATAAATTATATAAATGCGGGAACTGAGGCATAAATCCGTATCACTGCTCTTACTCCCTTTCTCCCCATACAACAGTTATCATTTCTTTCCACTGGCGGGACAGCCTGTGATCATCCTATCATCTGGATCAACAAGTGGCCGAGGAAAGACCCAGCCGCGCCTGGTGGTCACTGTCTGTCACTCGAAAGGGTTTAGGCAGGCCAGGAGTGGAAAAGACTCCTGAGAAACGGGTGCTGGCTCGGCCAAGGACTACCAGGACTCAGAAACCCGCTGGAGGAGACTGGTGACGGGGAGATGGAGAAGCAGCCGGGGGAGCCGTCTGCAGTCCCGGGAGGATGCGAGCGCCAGCGGGCTGCAGTAATGGTAATGGTAATGCGGGCTGCGCTATGGCTGGTCCCCGGGCAAACTCACTTTCTTGCTCAGATAGAAGAACATCGTGGGAGCTCGGAGAAGACGACCCTCAGTGGTCGAGGCCCGCAATAAATAACCGGTTCTACGTTCCCATTCGGGAGCCGCGGTGGCTCGGAGAAGCTCCCGTCGCCTGGCAACCGCCGCCACCCAGTCGCATCCGGGGCGCTTGGAGAACTTCCGGTGTGGCTCTCCGGCCGGGCGCCGGTTGTCGTGCGCCTGCGCGGGCGATGGGGCTGCTGTGGACTCGGTGTCGGGAGAGGTTGGCGGGTACCCTCTTGGCTAGTGGCCCGGTTAGCGACCTGCCACCTCTTGTGCGCGCCCAGCGCTCTACACCGGGACAGGCGCGCATCAGGTATCAGTATAAGCTAAAGAATGGAGCGCCTTCCCAAAAGGTCTTGAGAAGTCTGTTGTTTCCTATCTAATCTCCCCCCTCATCACCCCGGCCCAATATCTTTGAAAGGGAAAATCGATTGTTGCATCTGATAGGCTGGGCCATGGACCAAATAAATGGCCGTGCAGATGTGCGTTTTTTGATGATTGCCTTCTCCTTTGAGGGAGGGAACTGGAGAACTCTTGGAAGCAATTTGGGAGTAGGTGCTATTTTATTTTGCTTTGGAATCTGTCTTAGGGTTTCTATTGCTGCGGCAGAATACTATGACCAAAAAGCAAGCTGGGGAGGAAAGGGTTTATTGGGTTTACACTTCCACATTGTAGTCCATCACTGAAGGAAGTCAGGACAGGAACCTAAAGGCAGGAGCTGATGCAGAGTCAATGGAAGAGTGCTGCTTACTGGCTTGCTCCCCATGGCTTACTCAACCTGCTTTCTTATAGAACTCAGGATCACCAGCACAGGGATGGCCCCACTCACCATTGGCTGGGCCTTCCCCCATCAGTCACTAATTAATAAAATGCCTTACAGCGGGATCTTTTTTCAGTTAATGTTTTCTCCTTTCCAATAACGCTAGTTTGTATGTCAAGTTGACATTGGAGTAGGCAGCACAGAATACCTGTAACACCTTATGGACCTCAACAGTTCTTATGAAAGGAGTATTATGACCTTTGGGTCATTAAAGCTATAATTGCATTGGAGCATACTCTCTCATTTAAAAATATTTGAGCTGTTGGGCTTTTCTTGTCCAGGGAGCGATTTTCATATATTGTCTTAATTATTTTTTATACATGTGGCGAACAGAGATCCACATCATGTGCCATCTTCTATACCTCTCCTAAGGCAGGATCTCTCAATAAACGTGGAACTTAGAGTTGAGCTAGACTGCCCATTCAATGAACTCCAGGATCACTTGCTCCCCACTCCCAATCCTGGGGTTACAGATGTGCCACAGCTAACCAGGCTCTTAGAGGTGCTGGGGATCCAAACAGAGGTCCTCACGTTTGCAGCAAGCACTTTATCCACTGAGCCATTTTCCCATGGCCCCATTGTCCTTTTTGGAAGCCTGAATGTCAACTAAGTCCCCAAATCTAGAAGTTCAAGTAGAGCCACTCCTGTGGAGTTATTTGGTCTCACCATCTTCTTATTGTTTGTGGTTTTCCTCTTTTCATAATCTGCAGCTATCAATATTGGTTCATATACTATAGCATGCACTTTACAGAAGTGTTAATGTCCCCGCTGGAGACTTTCCCCATCCCAAGCACACACCTTTGAAGCCTTTGACTTTGGTCTATTGTCTCACTACTTCTAGAATTTAAGAGTCCTGGGTGTTTTTGCCTTCAGTATGGAGGTTCCTCAAAAAAAAAAAAAAAAAAAAAAAAAAAAAAAACTAGAAATATATCTACTATATTATCCAGGCACGCCACTATTGGGTACATACCCAAAGAATGCAAGACAACAAACAATAGAAATGCCTGCACATCCACATTTAACACAGCACCATTTACAACAGACAAGTGGTGCAGACAGACTAGGTTCTCATCAGTGGATAAAAAGGTGGCATGGATACACACTGAATTATTAGTCAGCCACCAAGAAGATAACATCATTTGCAGGAACACAGATGGAACTGGAAATCACGTTAAGTGAAATAAGTCAGGAAGACAAGTACCACGTGGTTTCTCTTGTTTGTGGGATGGGGAGGGGGACACGAAAAATAATAAGGTGAGTTTTAGAGCAGAGGAAGAGAACGAGCAGACGGAGACTACAAGAGTGGAAATGGGAAATAGAGGTGGATGTGATCAAAGTTCAGTCATTACGTGTTTGTCTAAAAATGTCACTGTGAGGGGCTGGCAAGGTGGCTCAGCAGGGAAAGGCACCTGCCTCCAAGCCTGACGACCTGAGTTGGATCCCTGGAACTCACATGGTGGAAGGAGAGAACCAATTCCAAAAACTTGTCCTCAGACTTCCACATGTGCACTGTGGGCATGGCATGTGTGCACCCATACATACACACACACACACACACACACACACACACACACACACACACACACCACACACACACACACACACACACACACACACACACACTCACACCCAAGCACACATACAAATATGTAATTAAATTTTTCACTTTTATTTAGGAACTTTTTTTCCATTTACCCTGAACTGACTGACGTTGTAAGCCTCAAGAGTGTGTGAGATTAAATTATTGAAAGAGTATCATCATTTTGTTCTGTTTATCAACTGTTACATGTTCAAGAATTTACTAATTCAGTACAACACAAATACATTTAATAAAAAAAATACAAGAATCACCAAAAAATCAGCCATGACATTAATATAGAAAGATAGGAACTTTTATTATATTAAAAACAATACAGACCAAAACAGATCAAGTAGCACAAAGTTTAAAGAACTGTTTTATTCCAAAAGTTATAAACTGCACTTAAAAAAGTACATGTATTAGGTATATTTTGAGTGAAAAAAATTAGACTTATTACCGACATTTTTAAAAAAGATAATATTAGGTCTTGTTACTTGTTACACTAGTTTTATAAATATGTAATTTTGCCAATTACATGCTCAAAAACAAAATGATAGAATTCAGGGGGTTTTTCCCTTGGCAAAAATCTTAGCACCCTAAGTTTACATCCAGCTCTTGTTAGTTTTAATTTCTATGACATAAATGAATCAAAACTGTCATGTAACATTCACTTAATCTCTGTAAATTATTTTTAGATACATGTATTATAATCCCTTGATTGTAGCTTTAACAATATTTCAGCAAAAAAACAAGTATTAAACAATTCTAAATATATTCACCTCGGTTTAATTATTTGAACTTTTTCTATGTAAATATTTCATAAAATTTGCACTCTGAATAGTAAGGCTGGCTTGTATTATAAATATGACCAAGAGAAAAGAGTCATAAAGTTTTATGAATATGATCATCTTACTAATATAAACATTTAAAACTTACATGGCTCAATCAGTAGATAACAAAACATTAAACTTTTCACTTTTCATCTCATTAATGATTTCACAGTCACAGCTTAGAGACACTAAAGCTTGCTCTTTACAAGGGTATGCACATTTATTTCCTTGAAAAATGATACTGATTCTCCAGGAAACCCTCATACTGTTTACTGAATAATAGTCAAGCATTTATAATGGCAGATTATTAGCAGGAACATCAGAGATAAAGTGTATTAGAGAATGAGTGTTGCGCATACCAAGCACTCCACGTTTCCAGGCGAGAAGTTTTGAGCAGTTTAACGATGCACTTGCCCATATTCAGTTAACTTGCAGCTTCTTCAAAATGTTGTCAAGTGGCTAGATGTTAAGGCCAAAGCAACTTATTTTTACACATTAGAAAACATATAAGCACACTTTCAAACACTTCAACACAAAAGAAAATTATGTCCCATTCTAAGTGAACAAAACGATTTTCTCATCAAAAGCCTAATGTAAAATTCAAAAATTCAGCATGAAATTACACTCCTGCAGAGGTCTTCAAGTATTTCCCATCCAAACTTGAGTTGGAACAACATCTCTCAGTGGGGAGCAATGCTTATGAAGTCTTGATTAAAGGAATTGCTGAACTGTCCGTTGGTTTGGCTCTCTGGAGATTTTACATTTCTAGGAAACAGACTTCAGTAGATGAGGGAAGAGAAAGGTGTCTTCCGTGCGTGGTGAGGAGAACGGTAATACTAATATGGGAAGATCGAACGCCAGCTAACCACCAATACCATCTAAAGCATGTGAAAGATTGGGAAACTGATTCCTCCATGCTGCCTGGACCCTCCCCTCCTTCAAAGTCTGACTCCTAGGTCATGCCTACCACAGTCTGAATTCCATTCCTCTGAGGTGTATAAGAATAGAGTTGTTAACTTGAGCGATGCTGAGATAAAGCTCTTTTCCAGAGCTAGTGCTCCAAGTACTGACTTTGAAATTTTCAAGACAGTGTCATGTTACATTTTGAAAACCATCTTTTGACATCTTGGCTTGCCAAATTGTATAACCATGTGTCGTCTGAGGTTCAACATCCAATAGATCCGCTGATTTTTTTTTCTGGACATAGGAAGATTTTGAGCTAAGAATTACTTTAAAATGGACTGGAGAGATGGCTCAGCAGTAAACAGCATGAACTGCTCTTCCAGAGGACCAGGGTTCAATTTCCAGCACTCATATGGCAGTTCACAACTGTCTGTAACTCTGGTTCCAGAGGATCTGGCACCTTCACACAGATATACAAAGAGGCCAAACACCAATGCATATGAAATAAAAATTAAATTTAAAAAGAAAAACATTACTTTAAGAAATCATAGCTTAGTTGCACTGTTATGTAATAGCTGGATTGGGCCATTTTTGTATAATATATTTGTAATAGTGCTATTACAAAGCACTAGGGGGCTGAGCAGCAGTGGCTCAAGCCTTTAATCCCAGCACTTGGGAGGCAGAGGCAGGCGAATCTCTATGAGTTCAAGGCCAGCCTGGGCTACAGAGTGAGATCCAGGACAGCCAGTGTAACAGTTGTTACACTGTAACATGAGAAACCCTGTCTTGAAAATAAATAAATAATAAATAAGTAAAAGGAGAGATGGCTCAGAGATTAGGAGCACTGGCTGTTCTTCCTGAGGTTCTGAGTTCAATTCCCAGCAACCACATGGTTCCTGCCTCACAACCATCTATAATGAGATCTGGTGCCCTCTTCTTGCCTGCAGGGACACATGCAGACAGAACACTGTATACATAATAAATCTTTTAAAAAAAAACACTAGGGAAAGAAATATGTGGTTTTTATAGTTAAATGTTGAATGAGTAAAAAGGATCTATCATGCCAGTGAAAAAGAATTCTCTTCAAGTGCATTGCCATCTCTTAACTTACAGCAATGAATAAGATGCTTGGCAGTAGAATCTCCGAAAATGTTTGGCTCAGTTGTAGTATCTAGGCTGGCGTCTAGAAGCCATAACCATGGCATTAGTGTGTTTACTGCTGTACAATTAATGTATCAGTCAGAAATTGAAATTCATAAATAAATTATAAAAGAAGACAGGGTCCAGATTGTAGCACAGTTGGTAAGAGTGTTTGCTCAGCCTGCTGAGGCCCTGGGTTTAATCCCCAGTACCTCATAAAACGAGGCATGCCGGCATATACCTATAATCCCAGCACCTGGGAAGTGAAGCTAGAAGGACCAGAAGTTCATGGTCATCTTCATCTGCATAGCAGGTTTGAGGCTAGCATGACTATATGAGACCCTGTCTCAAAAAAGACGAGGAGGAGGAGGAGGAGGAGGAGGAGGAAGAAAAGAGAGAAAGAAAGAGAGAGAGAGAAAGGAAGGAAGGAAGAGAGAGAGAAAGAGAAAAGAGGAAGAAGAAGAGGAGGAGGAAGAAGAGGAAGAAAGGGAGGATAGGGAAAAGGGGGAGGAGGAGGAGGAGGAAGAAAACCTTCCAGAAAGGATATGTTTGGTGTTCAGCTTCTGGAGATGGGAGCTGACCTTCTCCTGGAATGCCAGTGTGGCTTCACAGCCACAGGCGTCTTCTACGGAAATGAGGCTTCGTGCTTCCTCAATGTCTGAAGACAGCAACAATACACAAAACGTTATAGCTAACCAGAGATTACGACAAAGTGGGGGCCGGCGGTGCAGAACACCGGCCTAGCACAAGAGGAAAAACCAAGGAATGATAGCAAATTAGGAAATCGACAATTCACTCCAACATTGCCACTTATGTAAAAGCATATTTCAGCAGGTAAAATCATCTAAAAGCAAACAGAAAAGAGAACATATTTGCTAAAGTAAATTTTACAGAAACCTCTATGAGGAAACGTTGGGGAAATGTTTATATTTGTCAAAACTGGGTGACGCTTATGTGAGAGTTCGTTGTATTTTTCTTCATGTTTTTGCCGTTGTCAGAAATCAGCCATGATATAAAGTTCCTTCAAAGTGTTTGGTGAAGCCAGAGACACAGAAACAAGACAGTCACTGGGAGGCAGTGGCACACGCCTTTAATCCCAGCACCCAGGCAGCAGAGACAGGCAGATCTCTGTGAGTTCAAGACCAGCCTGGTCTACAGAGTGAATTCCAGGACAGTCAGGGTGGTTAACATGGAGAAATCCTGTCTCAAAAAACAAACCAAAAAAGAAAAAAGAAAAAGAAAAAGAAAGAAAAGAAATAAGACAGTCTTCCTACCCTACTGGTTCTCTTAAGGAATGGACATGAGAACAGTTAGCTATTTGTATAACCAAAATACTTCAAAGATTAAAACTAGTTAACTCCTGACTTCCTGCAAAGGATTGTTGTTCTGTTGAATGATTTGAACTAAGAAGTGTAATTTTTACCCTTATATACTTTGGAGCTAAAAATTCAGAGCTATATTGACAGCCAACCTGGATACCCATAGTGTGTGCGTGTGTGTGTGTGTATGTGTATCTGTGTGTATGTGTTTATATATGTGTGTATGTGTGTGTATGTGGTGGGTATGTGTGTGTTTGTGTGTGTGAGATGGGTGTGTATGCATGTGTGTCTGTATCTGTGTGTGTATCTATGTGTGTGTGTGGTGTGTGTGTATGTGTGTGTATATGTGTGTATGTGTGTGTATGTATGGGTATGTGTGGTGGGTATGTGTGTGTGTGTGGTGTGGGTATGTATGTGTGTGGTGGGTATGTGTGTTTGTGTGTGTGTGTGTGTGTGTGTGTGTGTGTGTGTGTGTATGTGTGTGTGTGTGTATGTATGTATGTGTAGACCAGGGGTCAAGTGTCTTCTTTTATCACTGGCCCCCTTATATTTTGAGACAGATGCTCTCACTGAACCTGGAGCTCACTGATTAGCCAGCAAGCCCACAGAATTCTGGGATTACAGGCATGGACCCCCACACCTGACCCTGTAGTGGGTGCCTGGGATCTGAACCCACATCTTTACTTTCCCTCAGCCATCCCCCCAGCCCCTGTCTAATTTGTGAAGCAGAGTCTCAGACAGCCCACGCTGGCTCGAACTACTGATCTACCTGCCCATTCCTGGCCATAAGTATCTGCCCAAATCAGCCACATGCCAATCATCTCTGTGCAGACTCTAAGATGGACAATCAGTCCAGTGTTCTTCCTTCACAGATGCTAAGAGCTGTGAAGCCACATGCCCAATGGGATATTCTTACTAAAACATGCCTTAGAAAATTATAGAGCAGGGGGTATAGCAAAATTGAAAGTAGAGAAAGATCCACTCGCAGTAACATAAAAGAAGAATAAAATACTTAGGAACGTTTTCAAGTATATGACTTGTACACTGAAAATCACAGAACACAGTTCAAAGAAATTAAAGAGGTAAACAAGCAGAAAGAGACCCACAGTACTGAGTGCACTGGGAGACTGTTAAAGTGGCAGTACTCCCCTAAGCTAACCTAAGGAGGCCTATCAAAGTCCCCATTGACATTTGGGAGGAAGCTGACAAGTCTCTAGCAGAGTGGGAAACACCTGTCACTGTCCTGCAAGTGCAGAGCTTTAGACAGAAAAGGCAAAAATACTCTGGAGATGAACTCTGGTGATCACTGTTGGAAACGGTTGGGGTAGTAAATTTGCCGTTATGCATAGTTTATCACAATAGCAAAAAACAGACTGAGAGACATTCACGAGGAAGGAAAGTGAAAGAAGAGGATGGGATCAAATCACAGGGAGCAGACTATGTGGCTGAAGAGGACAGTAACTCGATATCCTAACAATTAAAAAGGAAAGGGGCTTCCTCCTAGATTTTCCCATTGAACAAAAACCTGCTTAAAGGGCCAGTCTTCACCTGAACATGTCCTCTTGTCGTCGTTCAAGGTGTAGCCCGGGAAGCAGTCGCAGTGGTAGGATGCTGCTCCGTCGCTCACACAGATGTGCTGGCAGCCGTGAGTGCCCAGAGCACACTTGTTTCGGACTGACCCACACCATGCAGGTAAGAAAATGTTTACCCATGAGTTAAACAGAACACAAAACACAAACTTCTGGAGTACAAAGCTTTGTTGGCCCCAGCCAGCACTGAGGATGAAGCCTTCAGCAGTCACCCAGAGCTACACCCAGTGTTCCCGGAAAAAGAAATGGCTTCCTTCCCCACATGGTACACCCTTGGCCTGATCTGTTACCCGGCCCTTCCTTCCCCTTTGCTCTCCTGCAGCTGTCTGAGGGGACTTCTCTTCTCTACTGCCCATTCTACTGGATGGCACCGAGTCTTGGTGGTAGTACAGAGCTTACCTTGGGCATTTCTGAAGCCTGTGAACGCTAGTTACAGATCGTCACCAAAAATAATCGACTAGGAAGGCTGTGGTGGTTCATCTTGACCGAATCTAGAATCACCGGGGCCATGTCTGTGAAGGCGTTTCTAGATCGTGTTAACTGAGGTAAGAGGAGTCACTACAGAGGTGGCGGACACTGTGCGCATAGGCTGGGGTCCAGAACTGAACTAAAAAGGGAAGGCTCGCTGAGCACCAGCATTCCTGACTCTCGGGTCCAGTGGAACCGGCTGCCTCAAGCTCCTGCTGCTGTGACTTGCCCACCATTATGGACTGTACCCTGGAACTGTGAACAGAATAAACCCTTCTTCCTGTTGTTTTTGTTGGGCATTTTGTCATACCAGGGAGGCAAATCACTAAAACAGACATCACTGTGTGCAGGCTACGTTTGATGCTACACACACACACACACACACACACACACACACACACACACACACACACACACGCAAAGGACTATGTTGCCCAAAGACCAACCACTGATACCTTATGATGTGGGACAAAAAACACTAATAGACACTAATGTTCTCTCTCTCTCTCTCCCTCCCTCCCTCCCTCCATCCATCCATCCATCCCTCTCTCTCTTTCTCATAGAGAAAAAGAAAAAATAATAGCTTAATAAGATTAATGATGATATATTCAATTAAATCCTGAAGTACTTTCTTTTATCACATAAATAGTATATCAGAGATTAAGACAGCTTGCCCAAACTTAAGTGGAGAACAGAGGGAAAAAAACACACCGGTCCTGTGTCCAGTGGCCTAGGACAAGTGAAAATAGCTTAGTGAACCCACAAAGGCTCCTGGGAGACACAGATCCTTTCTCTGCCATTACAAGGGCCAAAAGCACTGTCCTTGTTCCTAGTCTTGTGCTGATCATAGTCCTCCTGCTTCTGTCTCTGTAGCAGCTGGGATTAGAAGCCATGTCTGGCCTGATTTCACTTCTTAAAGAGGCCAAGAGCCAGACATGGTGGTACACATGCACTCAATATATATACAGTGAGTAACCCCGGCACTTAGGGTTACTGCAGGGCCAGCCTGGGCTGCGGGAGACTCTGTCTCAAAAAAATAAAATAAATAAAGGGATCCAGTGATGTGCCATTTCCCTTCATATATCTAGTTCCCCGAGGAAGAGGAGCAGACGGATCAAATCTGAAAAGCACTAATGTACCAACCTCAGCAGCACCTCAGGAGCAAGAATGCCCCTCCAAATGGAGGGCTTTGATGTGTACAAATGCTTCCCTGTTCCACCACTGAGTTTAAATCAAATTAATGAGGATTAATGGTCCCGGCAGGGGCTCGTTAGCCAAGTCACAAGGCCCTGAGTCACTGAAGATTGATCGGCTAGAACCGGTCAAGAATGTCCCCGCTTCCAACACCTTGGAAGGTCTGTGTGGCTCTAAATCAAGCCCTTACAAAGCCTCCTTTGCTAAAAAAAGATTCCAGCTTAAAGATCAACACTACAGAAAAGTCTCGGGCCAAGTTTTAACTGGAAAAAGATCAGTTCAGCCTATCACACCAAATAATTACCGCCCAGCTGACTTCCTCTATTTGCTTAAAAAGTCCCCAGTGTACAGGGTTCTAAAATTTTTCCTGGATGGAGACCCCATACATCATTAGCTTTGCTCATATCCCCCATTCCCTACTCATTTCCCAGTAATTTTCTGAAGTGATCTATGTTTGTAAAAGCTAGTGAGCTCACCAACCCCCCTGGGCAACTAAATGTGTAAGCTTGGCATGCGTCTAAACGTGTAAGCTAGTCAGATTCCTGAGCCCGAGTCTTTCTGACCCCCCCTCCCCGCCCCCAAAAGAACCTCTCTCCTGGTGAATTACATGTTGATTTCACCACCATAGAAAGAGTCAAACAGGGAAGGATTTGTTGAATGGACTTTACCTGAACATGTTTTCTTATCTGCATTCAGAGCGTAGCCCTCAAAGCACTCACAGTGATGGGACCCGGCTCCGTCATTCACACATATGTGCTGGCAACCGTGTGTACCCGAAGCACATTGGTCCTGAGCTGCCAGACAAAGGTAGGTCCAAGAGTGAAAATTGAAAATTAAAAGTCGAAGCGTCTTTTACTACCCATAGATAGAAACATGCGGAAAAACAGCCAGAAATAAATGAGAAGGAAACCGGCTGGAGGCTAGGCGAAGCTGTCAGCGTTATTTGCTCTAACTAGAAATTAACAGAGTTAATAAAATCCTTCACACATGATAATTATTACCCGACATTAGACTCAGTTCTTCTTCCAATATCGTCAATGTTGAGGTTTTCTTTATAACCCAAGCATCTCATTAATACTTAATGCATTCCTTTTAGGTTTACAGTACTTATTCCAACCCAAAAATAAACCAGCCAGTTATGCAGCTAATTGCACTAGATCCAGAGGGAAGGGGGGATCAGAGTTTGGAGAAGTTCTATTTTAGCATTCGTTTCATAAATAAGGTAAAAGAGTCCCAGAAGGCCAACTAATTTAGGGCAGGTATATTTATTCAATGTACTTCTCTGTGAGAGCTAGATGAATAGACAACAGCTGGTTAGATAGATAAATAGATAATACGTACAGAAAGACAGATATACAGTAGACATGCATATTTGGGTTTGTTGTTGTTGTTGTTATTGTTGTTGAGACAGGGTCTTACTATGTAGCCAAGGCTAGCATGAAATCTTCAGTCTCCTGAATGCTAAAGTTGCAGGCATGGATCACCACACGCAGAAAGAAGGGAAGAGGCTTGTACTGACATATTGTAAACTAGTGTGGTGGGGGGGAATTGAGACAGAGTCTCATCTATCGCCCAAACAGACCTGGAATTTGCAGTGACCCTCCTGCCTCTGCCACACAAGTGCTGGGGTTATATCCAGGAGCTGCCATACCCAGCTTTAATCTATTTTTTTTAACTTTTAAATGTTTACTTTTAGGGCAAGTTCAGGCTTTTGAAAAACTTACTTCCTCTATTTCCAAATGCTAACAGTTTAGGTAAGTCGATTGTGATAACCAAAAACATAGGTACAGCATGATTTCTTAATCTCCACTCAATGTTCCCAATTCTTCTCCTAATGTCCATTGTCTGGTCCAGGATCCAATCCAAGATCCCACATGATATGAAGTCATCATATTCTGAGACCTCTCATGAGTCTACCTTTGTTTTTATGACTTTAACACAATTGAGAAGTACTGAAAACATTGTGGACTAAGCATCTCTTCCTTTGGGTCTGCCTGAGGTTTCCTCATGGTTCTAAATTTTTAGCAATAATATGCCAAATGTGCTGCCACATCACATGAGACTCTCAGGGATGGAGGGCAGTCTCAATCCAGATGGTGTCTCTCAAAGACAGGGAATGTGAGAAGAGCAGACGGCTCCTGCGGCTGCTCAAACATACCTGAGTCTCTAATATACTAGATGCACATAATGGGATTCCAGCACACCAGAGACCCACAGAACGGCACCAAGCCCAGGGCGTCGCCTGCTTCCTGCCCTTTGTCCACAGACACACTGCCAGGACACAATGTCCCCTGTGTACACCCTCACATGACTGGGGTTGCAAGCCATTCAGGATGGCTGGATAATAGCACAATGTATCCTTAGCTGATTGGATGATATATGTGTATATGTGCCAGTGAACTTCCCCATTAAACTAGAGCTGCATCCCATGCTTGTGTCCAGAGGCTGTTTCCTAGGTAACTCATCATGACTCTGCAGTCCTCACCCTCCCAAACCGCCAGAGCAACGCCCCACGAGTGAGGTCACGTCTAGTGATGTAAACGTTGATATCTCATTACTTGATAAGGTATCTGCCAGGTTTCCCACTACAGAGTTACTTTCTCTCTCAGTCTCTCTCTCTCTCTCTCTCTCTCTCTCTCTCTCTCTCTCTCTCTCTCCCCCCCCCCATTTCTGATTTCTCATACAGAATTTAGAAACAGAAAATCTAGCTGGGCAGAGGTGGTACACGCCTTTAATGTCTGAGTTCAAGGCCAGTCTGGTCTACAGAGAGAGTTCCAGGACAACCAGGGCTACACAGAGAAACCCTGTCTCAAAAAAAAAAAAAAAAAGAAAGAAAGAGAGAGAAGAGAGAGAAGAAAAGAAAAGAAGGAAGGAAGGAAGGAAGGAAGGAAGGAAGGAAGGAAGGAAGGAAGGAAGGAAGAGAAAGAGAAAATCCCCAGGGTGCCAAAAGTGGCACACAGCCCACTCACCTGCACAAGACACCCTGTCTGCCTTCAAGGTGTAACCTTCATAGCACTCGCAGTGGTAGGAGCCATTTCTGTCGTTCACACAGATCTGTTCACACCCGTGAGTGCCGAGGGCACACTTGTCAACAGCTGTCAGAAGATAAGCATGGAAAATGTGGACACAGGGAAAGGAGGAGGTAAACAAACCCTTACCAGTCACATTATCACACACACACACACACACACACACACACACACGCACGCACGCACGCACGCACGCACGCACGCACGCACGCACTAACAGAGGGAGTGGGCACAGACACTGATAGAATTGGGATCCTACTCTCTGGTCCTGTTCCTTCACCAACAGACCCACTGATACATACACCCCTTCCTTCTTCACATCTCAATTTCCTTATCTAGAAAATTAGCCGTTTGAACTAAATGGTGTCTGTTTCCATCACCAAAACTCTCCTAGAATTGAAGAGAAAAAATCTAATTCCTATTCTTCATTGACTCTGTGTGGTGTTTAGATACCACTGAGCATGGCCTTCAGGATTTCTCTCTACTTCTAGTATCCACAAGTGTGGACAGTCATAGGGAGGAATTGGGATGCTTGGATCTAATGAAATAAAACCCAGGAAAAATGTCAAATCTCCTAAAGGATCAAAAGCTTTGGATCCTGGGGGAAAGTCAATTCACTAGCTAAGAAGACTTCCAAAGGACCCAAGTTCGATTCCCAGCATAGATGGCAGCTCACAACTGTCTATAACTCCAGTACCAAAGGACCCAGTGCTCTCTTCTGGTCTCTGCAGGCACTGCATGAACATAATGTACGTGCATTCCTGTGTCTATGTCTGTGTGTGTAACATTCAAATAAATGTATAAATTAATATAAATTTAAAAAATAAAAGGTGATGGTTGTGGATGCCTTTAATCCCAGCACTAGGGACGCAGAGCCAGGTGGATATCTGTGAGTTCGAGGCCAGGCTGGTCTACAGAGCGAGATCCAGGACAGGCACCAAAACTACACAGAAAAACCCTGTCTTAAAACAAACAAACAAACAAAAAGAACAAAGTATAATGACACACACATATGAAGATGCTATGATAAAATCTATTTGCATACCAACCTAAAATATTAATTTTTAGAAAAAGAAGGGACCAAAGAGACAGTGTTTATGGGGACGCACTGCTTTGGTCCAGAATCTAGCTTTGATTCCTAACAGCACAGTCAGTGGCTGGCCACCTGAACTCCAGCTCCCAGGGGATCTCTGACACCTTGAGGCTCTGTGGGTACCTGCACTCATAGGACATACCCACACACAGACACAAATGGAATTTAAATTTTATTATCTATTTATTTATCCGTTTATTCATTCATTTATTTTGGTTTGGGTTTCTGGTTTTTGGCTTTTTTTTTTTTTTTTTTTTTTTTTTTTGAGACAGGGTTTCTCTGTGTAGCCCTGGCTGTCCTGGGACTCACTCTGTAGACCAGGCTGGTCTCGAACTCAGAGATCTGCGTGCTTCTGCCTCCCAAGTGCTGAGATTAAAGGCCTCCACCACCTGGCTTTATTTATTTATTTATTTGTTTATTTATTTATTGATTGATGGAATAGTAACAAAGCCTGTGCTAGGCTACCCTAAGTAGGTTCTCACTTTTCTCTGGTGTTCTCTATCAAGGAAAGCTGCTGAACAGCGCTAAACCCACCAGAAGACACTTGGGAGAAAAGAGATTGAGGTCAAACTCTAAGAAAAACCCCACCCCTGGAGAAGAGGCATCAAATATCCCCAACACAGCCTCACCTGAACATGTTTTCCGGTCAGCGTTCAGGATGTACCCTTGGCTGCACTCACAGTGGTGCCTGCCATCACCATCACTGATGCACACATGCTGACACTGGTGTGTGCCCAGCACACACGGGTCCAGAGCTAGGCAAAGAACACACACAATGATCACATCGCGATACCCAAGAACCCTTTTAGACACACTTCCTTCTGTTCCAAAAGACACTGCCTTCAGGTTTCTTGCTGACTCCATGTTGACCTCACTATTTAAAAAAAAAAGGGGGGGTTGCTTTCTGTCTCTGCTTTTACTAAATATTTGATTTGAGATGATGCAAATCTATAAGTATAGATCTTGCTATACCATCTCACAAAAGAGAAAGGAAATTCTGAATCCGGAGGTGCTGGAATCAAACGTTTCCACTGGTCAGGCAACTTGATGTTTTATTTGGCCAAAGTGTGTACCCACAAAACAGATAATCTTGCCTCTCGACCCTAAGAGTTGTGGAGAATACTAAGGTACTGTCAAGAGTGCAATGAGCTAGTGGGCCCAGGGTAGCTGAAACCTTGCTTGCAACAGTTCCACATTTTGTGCCTAAAGGGAACCGGACCACAAGCACGCCTATCAGCCCGGAACCGACTCCCACGTGGGCCGTGAGACGTGCTTGAGCATGCAAATAGTGCAAGGCCGTCCAGCCAAGAGCCTCCCTCCGCACACCCATCACGTGTCCAAGGCCCAGACATCTACTTGGGTTCTCAGTATCTGCAAAGACAATGGGTTCAAATTATAAACACAAAGGGATAAAAAGAAAAGCATGAGATGACGTCAGCTAAATCACATCGCCACCTTTTTTGCTCCTGGAAACATTTATATTTCATTGGAATGACGCCCCCCCTCCACAAGCACACCCAGTGACGTGTTTTAAAAGATGAATCAATGAATTTAGTCATTTCTACAAAACCAAGGCCTGTTAGTGGAGACTAGCACTCCTGTAGCAGGTAACCCAGCCTCCAGTGCCCTTGGCAACAGGACAAGGCTAATATTTTCCCAAGGAGTGCCTTTCGTGCAATGATCTTTCCAGCCCGTTGACTACAACAAGCTGCCCCTCAGTCATTTTTTCCAGAGAGGACATCCCCCTGCCTCCTCCCCCCCGCATCCCCCCCCCCCCGTACCACCCCCAGAACAAGCAGGTCTTTTGTAAGAGAGGAAAAAGATTGCCACTCACCACTATTACTTTACAGCCTTGGAGGCCACCCCCAGTTGCTAACTTTAAGACCCAACTGTAGCCACAGACCAGAGCCCTGACGGAAGAGCTCTCAGCCACAGCTCGAGGGGGTTTTCTGGGAAAAAGAAAGAAAGCCACTTTCTTTCTAGAACCTATTAAATGCCAAGTAGCTGCCATCGTAGCCAATGGTGTCTTGTGAACGCCCAGTGTCCTGGGATACAGAAGACAAGGGGATCTCAGCCAGGTCTGGCTGAGATGAGGCCAAGGTTTCATCTACCATTTCCCGACCCACTGATGATCCAGGGTTCCACATTCGTTTAGCTAGAAAGTCTCATTGATACTTGCAACTGGAATCACTGGCGCACTTGCCTGTCTTTTCCACCAACTTCATAACGGTATCTGAAGGCTGGGAGGAGCTACCTTTGACTTTGTACGTGGTGGTCAACATGAGTAGACACAGAATGTACCTGGCACGAAGTGTCTACATTTAAGAATTCACCTAAATTGGAACAGTGCCCATACTTGCTTCAACCATTCCGCAGAAGCTTTTCAAACAATCGTCTCCAAATGATTTTTTAATGTGATTTCCACAAACCAGAATTCTATTTTTCTGAAGTTTTTTTTTTTTTTATAGCTTTCTGTTTTCTTTTTCTTTTTCATGACATGGTCTCATGTAACCCAGGCTGACCTCAAACTCAAGATGTAGCTGAGGCTAGCTTTGAACTCTACCTCTCAAGAGCGGGGGTTATAGGTGTTACCATCACACCCAGCTCACATCCTGATCAGGAAAAACAAACAAACAAAACAAACAAACAAAAAACTTCCAGATTCATGTTGTTGCATCTGATTAATTCATGAAAAATAACTCTAATAAAATTAGCATGTTCGTATTCAAACTCCATTTGAAAGGAAGAAGAGAAGATTAACAGAATGATTTGCTTTTAATCTGTTTCTTGAGTCTAAGTGAATCAGAAACCCAGCCCTCCTCGTCTCTAATCCAATTATTTCACCCAAGAATAAGCAGAGAGAGAGAGAGAGTCGAATCTGAAAATGAGCTTTCATTACATGCACATGGACAGTGACGTTGGGATCCTCCCAACGTCCTCCCAGGGGCAGACGCCACTCCAGTGTCTCCAGGAGAACAAGAGAGGCACTGTTAAATCTAGAGATGTAAAGCGCAAGAAAACATTTGGAGGCAAGGGGAGGAATGTTAACTGTGGAGAAGAGGGGACTGAAGAGATGTCTTGAGTTTGGGTGTTTGGGGTTTGGGTTTTATTTCTGACCCCATCAGGGAGCAGTGGGACTGTTTATTCTGGTTATTTCCAGAACTTAACATGTCTAACGCAAACATAAAGGTTTTATGAGCAAACCAAGTTACATATAGTACAGCCTTGTACTTCTAAACCAACACCATGTGTTTAGGTAGGTTTAAAAAAAAAAAAAAAGCATGGTTTGTGTTTAATTCTTCCATAAAATTTCCATCCCCTCCCCAAAAAAAATGAATATACTGCTTTTTCCAGGGGCCTGGAACATTGGCTCAGCAGTTAAGAGCACATACTTCTCTTGCAGAAGGCCCAAGTTTGGTTCCCATTGGCCATCTGGCCAGCTTATAACTGCCTACAACTCCAGCTCCAGAGGATTTGAGGCCTCATCTACTACCCACACTCATGTGCACATACCCACACACATATACATAACTTAAAAAAAATAAATCTTTAAAAGCCAATTTCCAAGTACACAGTGCATGAATTATAATATCCTTGCTAGTTGGAAGTTAAGACTTACCAACCGCCGGGCGATGGTGGCGCCCGCTTTTAATCCCAGCACTCGGGAGGCAGAGGCAGGTGGGTCTCTGTGAGTTCCAGGCCAGCCTGGTCTACAGAGCGAGATCCAGGAAAGGTGCCAGAACTACACAGAGAAACCCTGTCTCAGAAAAAAAAATAAAATAAAAATAAATAAATAAATAAGACTTACCACAGAAAGTTTCCTGGAATCTAGCAGAGAGCTTCTCAATGACTCCATAGGTCTCCACATAGAACACATGCTCCTGCAGGGGCTTGCTAGCCATCATCTTGAGGGACTCCATATCGGCCCGGTCCACACCCACAGCATACAGCTCAATGCCAGATGCCCGGGCCCGGGCAGCCACCTCGTTCACTTCATCCTGGGGTCTCCCATCAGTCACAATAATAGCTACCTTGGGGATGTTAGACATGGGGCCCCGAGCTCCTGCCTCCGCAGTGAAGGCTTCCTCCATCGCTGTCTGGATAGCCAGCCCCGACATCGTGCCTGTGGACAAGGGTGTGATCCGAGCCACAGCCTGTTTCAGGGCCTGCTTGTCTGAGTAGGTGTTGAGCTGGAACTCTATCTTCACAGTGCTGGCATAATTCACCACAGCCACCCTCGTGTCGGCTGCCCCGATGTCCAGAGTGTCAATGATTCGGGACACAAAGGTCTTCACTTTGGTGAATTCCAGAGGCCTGACGCTACGAGAACTATCAATGATAAACACCAAGTCCAGAGGCCGGCTCTTGCAAACACCTGCAAGGAAGGATATGGGCAACACAAAGGCTAAGCAGAGGTCAGACCACGATCAGAAATGGGACGGCTCTCACTCCCAGAGAACTTTGGGATTCTGAGAAGTCAGGCCTGGCAGCATCCCCCAATTCCAGCAGTACCATTGCCTGCTCCCTTCCTGGAGGCCATGCTTGCTCTAAGCATTGAGAACACCCAGGCCTTCAGAATCCCGTAGTGAGAATTCACATGGAAATGTGACTCTTCCCAACATTTTGCTTGGAGACTTATTCCGCTACTTAAAGTTCTGTTCCTGAGAGTCTTTGTAACTCCTGGTACTGAGGGGATCCCGGCCCTTCCTTGGCACTTGGCTGAGACAACGGGGTGATAACTTCATCTAATACACATCTACTGCACTTCCATCTTTGGGAGTGGATCTTGTTTTAAGGATCAGAGATCATGACCTGGTACCTCTCCCACTCCCCCAAACTTTCTTGGCCACTACTCTTTGCATTTTTTCAACTGTCACTTGCCTATACATCTGCCACAATGGCAGAGAAGAAGAATGCTCACCTTCAAAGCTCTTATATCCTTTCTTGCACCCTCCAGTAACTCAACACGTGCTCATTACCACTTACTCTTTCCTAGTTTTCATTGATTCCTCTAACCCAATTTACACAGCCCTCTCATGTCCCCCAAATCCAAGCCACTGTGAAGACTAGATGGGAGAGAATCCAGTTATCACATCTCTTTTTCAATCCATTCTCCACTTCCAACCAACATACACAAGCATGTGTACACACATACATACACACACACACACACACACAGACAGACACACACTCACACACACACACACACACACACACACACACACACACAACACAGCCCTAGATGGAAATGAGGTCCTTAGGAGGTGTCTGTCATGGCTCCTCCTTTCCTAATAAAAGGACAGATTGATGCTATTTTCTCAGTCAGTACGTAGATCCAAAGCACATTCTTAGCACTGAGTGGTGGTGTCAGCTGTAGTCAGAGCACTTAGGAGGCTAAGGAAGAGGAAGGCAAGTTCAAGATACACAGTGAGGCACTCTCAGAAACACAAGAGAAATACATTTTTGAAAAACAAATCATTTAGACTAAGTCATTTCTAAGAGGAAAGATGGTCTGGAATAGGGAGCTTTGCCCCTGTCATGGTTGGGTTTTATTTGTTGTTTCTTTTTTGAGGGCTGGAGATCAAACTTAGAACCTTGTGTACTAGGCAAGTATCTACCACTGAGCTACATCCCCAGCCCTTCGGTTATTTATTTATCTGTCTGTCTATCTATTTATTGTTTCTTTGAGAGAGGATCTCCTGTAGCCTTGGTTGGCCTCTAACTCACTACATAGCCGAGGATGACCTTGAGGACACTGTCCTCCTGCCTCCGATTTCCAAGTGCCTAAGATTACAGGCATGTACCACCACACACAGCCTTTCAGTTTTGTTTTCAAAAATTGGAATTTTAACCACTTGATTTTATCTTATCAGCTGGATGTACTCTGTTAATAAAACAACACCCTATTTTGAAAGGCACTGTAGACATCCCAGAATGGTAACACACGGATTCTGTGAACTGGGCAGTACAGAGGTTGCATCACACACATCTGGTGGAAGTTTGGGAGGAGCAAACCCTGAAAAGCAGTGTGGTAAGCCTGGCCTCCATGACCTGAGCCCCAAGGCCTTTCCAGTACACGGCAGCTGCTCCTACTGAGGCAACGTTTTCCACCACAAAAATTAACATCATCTCATGTGCCCAGCCAATGTCTGCATGTTGACTTTGAGTCACCACCCAAAAGATGCCGTATGTCATGTATTTGGTTAAGTCAAGAGGAATTACACATTTTTTTAAAAGCAATTCCACAATTTCCTTTAAGATTTCCAGGGATCAAGAGCAAGGAAGAGGACCTGTGTGAAATATCTTACCTGGACACAGGTCTGTATATTTTTGCACTACTGGAATGGAAGGAAAAAGCACCGTGGTTCAAGCCTTGTAACTCAACAATTACACTAACACCCAAGTGGGTGTCTCTCCAACCCAGTGGGTTTTTATAACTCAACATGCCTCATTTTATCCTTCTCCATTTGGATTTTCTGAAGTGTGTGTGTGTGTGTGTGTGTGTGTGTGAAAGCTCTGAGGTGTAGTGGGTAGAACAATAACACCCCCAGAATATGTTCCAGTCCTTATTCCAGGGACTGATACATATGCTGCTAAGCATGGCAAGAGACTGCAGCTGTGATCAGAGGCCTTTGGATGCAGAGGTTACCCTAGATCTTTCAGATGGATTCAACAGAATTACAAAGGTCCCTAAAAGTGCAAGAGGTTCACTGAAAAGGAGACCCAGTGACCAAGACGTGGGATGGGCTCTAGCTGCTGTTGCTCGGTTTTGAAGAGGGAGGCCAAAGCAGAGCCAAGGACTGCAGTAGCCTCTGAGAGGCTGGCAAGGTTGGCAAGCACTTCTCCCTGGTACCTCCCTCCCCACAGGACAGGGATGCAGCCCTGCCAACACGTTGGTATTTGCCTAGGGAGAACAGCGTCAGCCTCCAACCTACAGAACTATAAGATAATATTGGGGTTGGGGATTTAGCTCAGTGGTAGAGTGCTTGCCTAGGAAGCACAAGGCCCTGAGTTCGATCCTCAGCTCCAAAAAAAAAAAAAGAAGAAGATAAATAATACTTTGTGTTGAGTTAAGCCACTAAATTTATAGTTATTTGTTTTGAAGGCAACAGAAAAGTAATACAGGAATCTTGGCCAGGGTGGCAACAATTAATTCCACGACCATGCACCTCTTTTCTTATCCCTACTCCCTCAGCAAAGGTACAAACCGTTTTTGAGTCTTGCTCTTACTTCTTATATCAGCAGTTTGATTCTCGAGAAAAAAGAAAGTGGGGCTGGGAGTTTAACTCAGGTGGAAGGGCGTTTGCCTGGCCCTGGGTTCAATCCCGAGTACCACAGAAACAGGGTGAGGTGGCACGTGCCTGTAGCCTGCCATCCCAGCAGAAGTTCAAGGTCATCCTTGGCTGCATAGTGAGTTTGAGGCCAGCCTGGGCTACATAAGACAGAGTGGGGAGAGAGGGAGAGAGGAAGGGAGGGAGAAGAGGGGGAGAGAGAGAGAGAGAGAGAGAGAGAGAGAGAGAGAGAGAGAGAGAGAGAGAGAGAGAGAGACTCCACAATTTTGCCCATCTTTGCCAGTCAGCAGTAAAAGCCAACAATAAAGCTTACCAAGTCCTGGTTGCTAGAGTGATTTGGAGGAGTAGAATGTGGTGTTTATTAAGGGATTTCTGCCCAAGATCAGGTCTGGAGGTCAGGCTGTGAAGGACCATGGTCACTGTGTGCAAAATCTAGCCTCCTCTCCCAGTCCTATCCCCCATGGAGGAGAGTAGAGGTAAAGTTCGTTTCCAGAGAAAAGGCTTTCCCCTCGACCCCAGCCTGGAGCAACCAACCAGTTGAATGAACTTAACCCCCATGAGCCCTGCTTGCCCCCCCCCCCCCCCCCCCCCCCCCGCCTAAGTGGTAATGAATGCTCTTCCCATTCTAAATCTGGAATTTCAAGTCACGGATGATGGAAGAGTTTCCTGAGCCAATTCTCAGCATATCCAGCAAGTCACAGGAGGGGACAGATGATTCAAATCGGCCTGACAGCATCCCTGGCCAGATGAGCCTGGCCACCTAGAACATGATTTGCTACAGTCTCTCTTTCAAGCCAAGACCAGACAGGCTAGAGCTGGATATTTGGGTAAGGAAGAGACAACCTTCTGTAAGAGGTATGGAGAGCATACTGCACAGTAGAAGGAGTCCTTGCTTGGCTTCTTAGGACTCCACATTTCAGTAGGGGACCTGATGCTAATCCTGCGTCATTTCACTATGCTAAGCCTTAGGGTCCCTCTATGTGTTGTGAGGGGTCATGAAAGGACGCCTATCAGCTTCGCTGAGCTCTGTAGATTTCCTCTGCTCAGAGCAAAATTAGTGGCCAAGGGGGAAAATGGAATTGTTCAACGAAGACCAGACCTGCCTGGGTCTTTGGCGATCTGACAGAGCATGGGTTGGAATGGCCGGGAGGTGGGGGGCAGTCAACTTAAGTAGAATTACTCAGTCGTGGGCAGAACCGAGTATAGCACCAATATAGTTACAGGACATGACAGTTTTGTCTTCCTTCCTAATCCCACCCCACCACCCCACTTCCCCATCCTCCACTAAGCCATCCCTTCTTCCAGATCTTGGGTTCCTTCTAGACCCTTTCTTCCATAGGGAGAAAGGCATACACGGTGAATGCAAAAATAGATGGAAATTTCCAGATAACTACAGAGTGTCAAGAAGGGTTTGCTCTCCCTAACCAAGAGATCCGAGCCAAGTACAGCTGGGAGCCCCCATCTTATTCCCTGGCTGGAACTCCTGCAGATGCGCGATGCCCCCTTCCCAAATCACAGGTAAGTTTGAACTTCGGGATACCAAATACTATCATGGTCGTGCGCATGATATTACACCCCCAACCCTTACCCCCGCCCTTTGGCTGTCTGATCCTTAGGTTCTGCGCAGGACTGCCAGAAAAAGGACGCCTCCCTCCTTCAGCATCCCGCTTGGAGGCTGGGATGAAGGAACATTCGGTGGATGTGCTACGCTGCCTGCGTTCAGGGGTCCCCGCCCCTCTTCCCACCTCCAGCCGGGGCTACGTCTCCCTCTCCTGCCAAGCGGTCCCTAGTCCGCCCTACTGTACCTGCACCGCGGGCCCCGGAATAAGGCGTACGGGCGGGAGACGCCCGAGCAGGAAGATGCCCGGGGCTGCCCCCGGGGATACGTGTCCCCAGCCTTCGGACGCTCGCCCGGGCCAATGGTCCAGGAGCGGCGGGGGGCGGCAGCAGCAGCAGCAGCAGCAGCGGCCAGAGCAGCAGCAGAAGTCCCGGGAGGTGGCGCGCAGGGGCTGGGAGCAACATGATGGGCTAGGCGACCAGCCGGGGTCTGTGAGCGGCGAGGTGGCTGGGGCATGCAAGGTCAGGCGCCGGCGTGGGGCCGCGCTTTGGCAGCCAATTTAAAGGTCCCGCTCATGAGGCTCCGCCCCGCCCCGCCCCCTGGAGGGCCATGCCACCGGGGACCCTGGAACCGCCAAAGGTCAACAAGAAGCCCTGTCTGCGCATTCCAGTGGTAGGAGCGGAATGTCTGGGGCTAGGCGGCCAGCGGCACGGTGGTCACCGCCCGCCTAGTCCGGTGGGCTCGGCTGGGTGCCTCCTGGATGACTGCCTCCTTGTAAAACCCGGCTGGGGTTGGGGGGACGCCTGCTCCACCCTCTTGTGCCAGCCAGGTCTGTGCCCCAGGTCCTATTTGACAACCCCCTGGGTTCTGTGCCAGCTCAGCTGCAGGTGAGCCTGACTCCCGACTGAGAGCGAGAGTCACACACAACACACCTTTCTCCAGCCAAGAAAGTCAAATTTTGCTGTTAATTTTTTTTTTTCAGGAAAGGCCTCACAGATTCTATTCATCATGAATAGGATGCTTTCTTCCCAATTTCAATATATCTGTAAACATTTGAACTTATAGTACCAGGAATAGTAAATCAAACAGACACTTCCCCCCAGAGAGCCTCCAGTGTACTGGAAGAACACCCTTCTTCTTCTACACCGGCTTCCTCTCTGGAACAGCGAGCAGCAGGCATCACAGGGCTGGAAACTGCTCAGGGGACCCTCAAGTCACTGCGAGAGAGAAGATACACAGATAGTGTACTGCTAAGGGGAAGTGGTGGATTAGAAAAGTGGCCCGTGTGAGTAGGAAGGCTTCTAAAAGCAGAGGAGGAGGGATGACCCGGGTCTTCAGACATGGCAGCTCATGAGCATGAATGAGTCCCAACAGATCCAATCTAGTCTTTCTGCTGATAACTGTTACCCTTCTACTATCCACCTACATTGTAACCTAACAATCACTCCAAGAGATTGAAGTAGCCCCGTGCCCTCTGGATGAATGGATACACAGAAGATATGTATCTATGTCTTGGGGTTACAACTGTTGCAACGAAACACCATGACCAAAGCAATGTGGGGAGGAGAGAATTTATTTACGGCTAGTGCTTCTATGTCTCTGTTCATCGTTGAAGGAAGTCAGGACAGGAATTCAAATAGGGCAGGAACCTGGAGACATAGGCTGATGCAGAAGCCATGAAGGAGTGCTGTATACTAGCTTACTTCTCATGGCTTGCTCAGTCTGCTTTCTTACAGAACCCAGAGCCACCTGCCCAGGGATGGCACCACCCACTATGGGCTGGGTCTTCCCCCATCAATCACTAATTAAGAAAATATCCGACAGGCTTGCCTACAGCCTGATCTTACAGAGGCATTTTCTCAGGGGACACCCCCTTCCCCTGAAGACTCTAGCTGTGTCAAGTTGACATAAAACTAGCCAGCACACTGAATACATGAATACTAGTAAGTCTTCAAAATGAAATTCTAATGCAGGTTACAACATGGATGAACCTTGAGGACATGTTGCAAGGTGAAATAAGCCAGTCACAAGGAGGCACGTTTGGACCGATTCTGTTTGGATGGGATATCTAAAGTAGTCAAAACCTGTTTGCATTGAAACAGTAGAATGGTAGCTCCTGAGAGACAGGGAAGGCAGGCAGTGGGAGTCGTCTAATGAGTATAAAATTTCAGGGTTGCAAAAGGAGAAGTTGTGGAATCTGATCCCACAGTACCATGAACACACTACTGTAGTTTGAATGTACATTCTTCAAGTCTAAGAGTTGGGAACTTAATCCTCAAGGTCCTGTATTGACAGGATTTAAGGGTAGATCGTTTAGGAAAGTAATTATGCCTGAAGGAAGCCATCAGGGGAAAGCGCCATGATGACATTAGTTGGCTTTATGAGAAGAGTCGGTCTGGGGAGACGGTACTAGTGGGTGACGTTCTTGCCACACAAGTGTAAGGACCTGAGTTTTGAACCCCAGAATTCACACAGAGCTGGGTTCCATAGCGCATATCTGTAATCCCAGCAGTCCTATGGTGGGACGATACATCCATAGGCAACAAAGACAGTCCTCCTCAAACAAGGTAACATACTAGAGGTTGTTCTTTGACCTCTGCAAACAGTGATGTAACAAACCCATGCTTCACTTACACACATGAACACACACACACACACACACACACACACACACACACACACACACACGAAGGAAAAGAAGTGGCTGGGATGTAGCTCTGTTAGTAGAGTATTTGCTTAGCATGCATGAAGCCCTGGGTTTGATCCCCAGCACCGAATAGACCAGGCAGGGTGATGTAATCCCAGCACTTCCGGAGGCAGGAAGACCGGAAGTTTAAATGTCATCCTCTACTACATGCCAAGTTCAAAGCCAGCAGGATGTCTCAAGGGGGTGGGGGCAGTAGATGAAGAGATGAGCCCACTTGTTGTGCCCTGCCATGGGATGCTTTCTGGAGTATAGGCACCAGGAACACAAGGACAAAGCCGGAGTTGTTCACTACCCAATCTCCAGAGAGTGAACCTTGTCGCACGAAGGCTCTTGGTCAAAGATAGGACTGAAATGTCAAGAGATACAGGCTCCCAGACCTGGCTGGTGTTTAGACTCACTGTGGCAGGGAGGTCAACAGGCATGGTAGACTGTCTGCAGAAGAAACAGCCTGGCCCGGCTTATTCTAAGAGGAAAGGCTTCTCTGTGCTCCATTTCACTGACAACAGACTGCTGTGTGCTAGGCATCAGCTGCACACAGTAGCTTTCCTTAATCTTCCCCAGCAAGGCTGGTTCCTCAGCCACCACCAGGCCACCACTGGGTAAAGCAGGATAATGGTCTGTTTTATAGATGCCTGTGAGCAACTATAAAAAAACAACAACAAAAAAAAAAAACTGAATTATTTACCCAAGACTAAGGGATAAATTATGGGTGTCTTTTCTTTAAAAAAATATTTAATTTGTATTGGTTTTTGTTGTTGTTTTGCTTTTAGATCTTTTTTGAGATAGGGTCTATGTGGCCCTGGCTAGCCTGGAACTAGCTATGTTGATCAGGCTGGGCTTGAACTCACAGAGATCTGCCTGTCTCTGCCTCCAAAGCACTGAGACTAAAGGCATGTGCCACCATCCCTGGCTAAGGTTTGTTTATTTTTATTTTATGTATGTGGGTATTTTTCGTGTGTGTGTGTGTGTGTGTGTGTGTGTGTGTGTGTGTGTGTGTGTGTGTGTGTGTGTACTTTGTGTATGTGTACCACCAGAGCATCTAGTACCCACCCAGGAAAGATGAGAACATCAGATCCCTCTGAACTGGATGGAGTTACTTACTAATAATGGTGAGCCTCCACTTAGGTGCCGAGAACTGAACTCTAGTCCTCTGCAAGAGCAGTACGCACTCATAAATGCTGAGCCATCTTTCCAGACTACTCCCTACTTCCCTGATTCATAATGTACCAACTATATTAGAGCTATTATCTACTAGCAGACTTCAGCTACTGCCCTCTATTCCTAAGTCCCAAATCTGTGAGTTTGGAAGTCTCCAGTTAAAGGTCACAAAAGCACTTTCAGCTCAACACATCCAACAGTGAACGAACTCCAGATCTTCTGTGGTAATCTTCTCCTGTAACCACCATGTCCTGGCCACTCAGGCATGACACAAACCTTGACATCCTCTGGTCCCTCTGGTATTAGATAAGTTGCCACATCTTCTAGCCACATCTCCAGCTTAATCCAACTCTCAAGAATGATTTCAGTCACCCCATGGGAAATAAATCCTTATTTTTCCAGCCAGACAGGATGCCTGAAGGAGGGGTCATGGAGAACAGACAACACATTTAAAGAAATAACGGCTAAAGAATTTCCATACGTGATGAAAGCCACAAACATACAGATCTGAGGCCCTCAATGAACTCCAGGCACAGGAAACATTTAAGACCACAAAGCCAACCTTAAGGAATACTATAAAGAAATTGATCAAAATCAGTGCTATGAAATAAACTTTTGAATTGCCCGAGGAGGGGGGTCAGGGAGAATGTTCCATACAGAGTGGACCCAAAGTCAGTAAATTTCTCTCTAGAAACAATGTGTACAAGAAGACAGTGAGGTGGCAGCATCTTTTATACCCTGCAGGAATAGCTTTAGAATGCAAAGGTAGAAGACAGACACAGCAAGACATATAAAAGCCAAAAGAAAAAAAAAATCCATCAGCAGAATCACCTGTGAAAACATGTCAAAAGACCTCTCCAGCAAAGGAAAAATACTACCAGATGGGAAAGGAATGCACAGTGCTGCAAAGGTTAACTAGATGGACACCCACATCATTTTTATGATTAATCTCCTCTTTCCAAGATAATTAACTATTTAGCTAGAAATAAAAGGCACAGGAGATCAGAGGTGGGAGGAATCTGTGATGATACTTGCAGTCTGAGTTACTTACCAAAGGCACAGGAGCCATCGATGGGTCAGCCACGAATATAAATGAGGCTTCTGGGGCCCTGAACGATGACAGCTCGATTCAAAGCTCCTTCCTCACAGGCAAGAAACAAAGTAATCCTTTCTTTGGTTTCCAGGTCAAATACTTTTCTTCTCCCTCCTGGCCATTCCCCAGCCATGGCATGCTGTCTCACACACCTCCAGATACTATTTGCAGAGTGATCTGTAGGCAGCCAGCCCTCCTGTCCGTGACCTCAACGGAGCCTCAGAACAACTAAGGGGAGCACATAGGTGAGGATTTCCACCTTCCTGGTTTTACAAAAGCGGGAAATGAAAAGCCTCTCATTCGAAACACACTTCACAGGGTCAGAGTGGACGACCTAGTGAAGACAGATTTTAGTCTTCAGACCCCAAACCCTGTGCTCATCCTTCCCCCCCACAAGCTGTCTCCTTCATGTGCTTAGAATCCCACATCTTTGGGCGACATTCCTTTTGAGTCTCAATTATTTTCTCAAAACCCAGAGCATGACTTTTCTAGAAAACAAAGCAATCTTAGAAAACAAAGGTGCAGCTTTGTCTTTAGGTAAGCTCCCAGGCTAGTCTGTAAGGTTGTCTTTTAAAGCAGTTGTTCTCAACCTGTGGGTCGAGACCCCTTTGGGGTTGAACGATCCTTTTACAGGGGTCTCCTATCTGATATCCTGCGTATCAGGTATTTACATTACGATTCATAACAGTAGCGAAATTACAGTTATGAAGTAGCAATGAAAATAATTTTATGGTCGGGGGGGGGGATCACCACAACATGAGGAACTGTATGAAAGGGTTGCAGCGTTAGGAAGGTTGAGAAGCATTGCTTTAAAGCAAAAGGAGTTTTGGAAATAGCACAGCATCCTTTGCCTACAGGGCACACTGAAACAATTAGGTTCAGAACAAAATAACTTCTATGATGACTGTGGACCTATGAGTCACAGATGGCAAAAGGATCGTTGCTTCCTCCAGCAGAGGAGAGAAGAATGTATAACTAGCAATGGAAAGGCCTTTGGTCTTGTGTTCCGTGAACATTAAATGTCAGTGTAGTATATGCGTGGGTACATTCCTAATCTATTTTTTTTATAATTTATTTTTATTTTATGTGCATTGGTGTTTTGCCTGCATGTGTATCTGTGTGAGGGTACCTGATCCCCTAGAACTGGAGCTGCAGACAGTTGTGAGCTGCCATGTGGGTGCTGGGAATTGAACCCACATCCTCTGGAAGAGCAAAGAGCAGACAGTGCTCACAACCGAGCCATCTCTTCAGTCCCCATTTTTTGGGTGTTTTTTGTTTGTTTTGTTTTGTTTTGTTTTGTTTTCTTTCGTTTTGAGACAGGGTTTCTTTATGTAGTCACAGCTGTCCTGGAAATAATAGACAAGGCTGACCTTGAACTCACAGAGATCTGTCTGCCTCTGACTTCCGAGTGTTGGGATTAAAGGCATGCATCATCACTGCCCAGCCATTCCCAATCTATTTAGAAAACAATCTATCAGCAGAGACAATTTTTGTTTTTGTTTTTGTTTGTTTTTGGTATTTTCGGGACAGGGTTTCTCTGTGTAGTTTTGGTGCCTGTCCTGGATCTTGCTCTGTATACCAGGCTGGCCTCGAACTCACAGAGATCCGCCTGGCTCTGCCTCCCAAGTGCTGGGATTAAAGGCATGCACCACTGATGCCTGGTGAGATAATTGTTTTTATTTATTAATCATTTACTTCCCTCCACCCTCAGCTTTGACTATGATAAGTGTTGTGGACAAAAAGGTGGGACAAAAAGTTTCTACATGTGCAAATTGTTTGCTACTAAGGACCCAGGGGCAAGATGGCATGAGCTGTAAAGGAGTTGGGTCCCAGGTGCTGAAAGAGGAGAAAGAGGGCAGGTCAATTAAAAAAAAAAAAAGCTTCTTTAACAAAAATCAGTTTGCCAAACAACAGAAACAATGTCCAATTTACAGTTTACCTAACTCGCTACAAATGGCTTGAACACCACCCACTTTATAGAATCTACCTCACTTGCTAAATAGCTACTAAGTGATATGTTGTGGAATATTGTTTTAAGATGTGTTATATTTGTTCTGCTGTGGAACATTTGTTTTAGTGATGCAAAGATGTGTTACATTCCTTTAGGTTGCATTTATTTAACTCTGTGAAGCTGTGTTACTGTGCCAGTCTAAAACACTTGATTGGTCTAATAAAATGCTGAACGGCCAATAGCAAGGCAGGAGAGGGATAGGTGGGGCTGGCAGGCAGAGAGAATAAATAGGAGGAGAAGTCTGGGACGAGAAGACCAAGGAGCAAGAAAAAGGAGAAGGAGAGGAGGATGTCAGGGGCCAAACACCCAGCTACACAGCAAGCCACGGAGTAAGAAGTATGGAATAGAGAGAGATAAAAGGCCAGAGGCAAAAAGTAGATGGGATAATTTAAGAAAAGTTGGCTAGAATAAGTCAAGCTAAGGATGGGCATTCATAAGAAAGAATAAATCTCTGTGTATTTATTTGGGAGCTGGGTGGTGGGCGGGCCCCGAAGAGCAAAGAGCACAAATTTGTCTTAAACACGACAGTGCATCTAACTGCTTCCACTCAGTACTCTGTCGGCCTTTGTGCTGAGCACTTTACACACTGTGCTCCTCTCAGGGAACCGCTGTGTCTCACAGAGAAGCTAGGAAGTCTGGCCATGTTCGGCCAGGAAACCAGGAGCGGGATGAAGATTTAAAATCGCACTTCTGACTGACACCTGGTATTGCAGGAAGTCCTCATCACAGCCAGCCTTAGAGTAGCTACTGGCTTCTGGTTATGGGCAAGGCACTATGTGGAAGGTATGTCTCCTCTCTTGCTCTCTTTCTCTCTCTCTCTCTCTCTCTCTCTCTCTCTCTCTCTCTCTCTCTCTCTCTCTCTCTCTCTCTCTCTCTCTCATTGGTGTTGATGAAACAGTGTCTCGTGTAGCCCCAGGTGACTTCCAGCTCACTATGTAGCTGAGGATGACCTTGAACTTCTGATCCTTCTGCCTCCACCTCCAGAATGCAGGCATGTGCCACTATTCCCTCTTGATGTGTGGCTGGGACCAACTCCAGGCCTTTGTGCATCCTGGGCAAGCATTCTACCAACTAAACCACATCCCCAGCCCTTTTCTTGTTTGTCGTCATTGGTGTTTACAACTCTGTGAGGTTTTTAGAACTGCCACCCAGGTGATGAAATAGATTTAGAGAAGGATGGGAAGTCATTTCATGACTCATCTGTTCAGGATGCCCTAGAAATTCCCTGGTCTAGTGAGAATCACAGTGATATCACAGTTGGCCCAATGCCTCCCTGAGCTTTCCCGCACTCCCCTCACGTTATCTTTCTAGACACCACAAACATGCTCTTGCAGGCCCCCTGCCTGTGATGTGCATCCTCTCACATCTTTAGCTCTTCCACACCATTTTCTAAGTGATGCCTTTTTAAATGGCACTTAAAACTGTACCCCCTACATCCCATCTCCAGCCTGGGTTTCTCCAAAGCTGTATCACTAACATGTCTTTTTAAGCACCCGCCCCACACGATTTTTATTTTCCTTTCCATTACATCTCCTGCACCTGAACAAAGTGTGTGCTCCTAATGTTCAAATGTTTGCACAAGGTCACACAACCAGGAATTAATGAGCGCATCAGATAACCCCTAAAGCCACCCCTCCATTACTCCAAACGTGTAAAGGGCCCTAGGAAGAAAGCTGTTTGGGGAAAGAGTTCCACCCAATGTTTGGGCCTTCTGCAGAGTCTAGAACCACATTTACACAAGCAAGAAAAAATTGAGATGGCAAGGCAAGCAGGCTAAGATATGGGCAGAAAGTTCTAGAAGGGACTCAATAGAACAGAGACAAATCTTACTGCGCTGCTCCAAAAGCAGAGATTTGTTTGTAGTTTTGTTTTGTTGTTTACACTATTGTCAGACTTTCTTTGGCGTGCCAGCTCCCAATAATGACGCAGAGACTTTTAATTATGAAAGCTTGGCCTTAGCTTAGGCTTGTTCCCAACTAGATCTTAAAACTTAAATTAACCCACTTACATTAATCTACTTTCTGCTGCGTGGCTTGTTACCTCTCCTCAGTACCATGTCCGAATTCCTCTGCATCGGGCTGGCAAATCTCCTGCATCAGACTCTCCCAGAGTTCCTATCTCTGTTCCAAAGTCCCACCTATCCTCTCCTGCCTAGCTATTGGCTGTTCAGCTCTTTATTAAACCAATCAGAAGGTGCCTTAGGCAGGTGAGAAGGACAGAGACACTTCTTTATATAGTATACAAAAAGATTATCCCAAATGACACCTCATTAGAGATCACCCTCCTTTTTATGTATACATTGTCAACTGCACACTCCTCACTGTTTGTGCTTTATGCTCATCGGTAACTGTGGCCCACTCCCTCCAGCTCCTTCAAACCACTCATTCACCCCTGGGTTCTACAGAGTTGGCTCTCGGGTGCCCAGGTGAGTGGGATTATGCAGCTATCTTCCTGTGACTGGTTTTCTAGCTGTTATCACAGAATCCCCTTTCGGTTAAAGGCTTGTATCTAGGCATGCATACATCTTTTTCCATCCGTCTGCAGATATTTTTCACATACTGGTTTTTATGAATTGTTGGGACCAGAAGGGCTTGATTCTCTGGGACCCTGATTTCACTGTTTTTCTATTAATGGCAGAAAGTAGGATTTCTTAGCCACTTCTAATGTTTTGGGCCCTCCATCTTCTTCATAGCTGCTGCATCATGCTAGATGTCCACAAATAGCTGGGTATATCCAGAGGCTTGGTATGATCTTAGCCCTAACAAAAGGAGAGTCTAGCTAATATTTAGATATTGTCATGCATAATCTTCAACAGAGAACAGAATTAGCAACAGTAACAAGGACCTTTGAGAGGGCCTGAGGCAGCTTATCTTTTCCAAGACACAGTTTTTCTGTGTAGCCCTGGCTGTCCTGGAACTCTCTCTGTAGACCAGGCTGACCTCAAACTCAAAGATCCCCCTTCCTCTGCATTCCGAGTGCTGAGATTAAAAGTGCGAGCCATCACTGCCCTGGCTCAGAAGCCATCCTTCATATACTGAAAGGTTCTAAAGTTAGGTATCAGAAATATGTTGTCTCCTACTGAACACTGAGTATATTCCCAGTTACACTTCCTACAAGTTTAGGATTTTTTTTTCTTTCATATGCTACAATAGGCTCTGATTTTTCACAAGTGAATGTACAGACAATTCTCTGTTCCCAGAAATATGTGTAAATACCCATGTGTCTACATGAACCAAACCACCACTGCTCTGATAAGATGGAAAGAGAAAACCTCCCAAGGCAAAATTTAACTGCAGTTCCAAATTAGTTTGCTGATTCTCCATCCCCTTTTAAAAGCTGTGTGCAGGGTTGGGGATTTAGCTCAGTGGTAGAGCGCTTGCCTAGCAAACGCCAAGTCCCTGGGTTCTGTCCTCAGCTCTGGAAAAAAAAAAAAGCTGTGTGCATTTGAGGTGTACTTATTTTCAGTTAGCATACCCATCAGCCTTGACAGATACCTGTGTCCATGTGTGCACACAGTACCTAAAAACCACTTACATATTTTGTAGCACTATCTATGATGTGCACAAAATCCCCAAAGTCACATAAAATTTGGTTTCTTCCTTAGGGTGAACTAGTGTACACTAATCTGAATTCTTTGTCATAAGCATTGTGGTGGTTTGATAGAAAATGGCCCCCAAAGGGAGTGGCACTATTAGGAGGTGTGGCTTTGTTGGAGTGGGTGTGGCCTTGTTGAAGGAAGTGTGTCACTATGGAAGTGTGTCATTGTGGGCTTTGAGGTCTCATGTATGCCCAAGTCACATCCAGTGTCTCAGATCACTTCCTGTTGCCTGTGAGTTAAGATGTTAGCAGCCCTCAGCTTCTTCTCTAGCACCATGTCTGCCTGCATGCTGCCTTGCTTCCCACCATAATGATAATGAACTAAACCTCTGAATTGTAAGCAAGTCACAGTTTCTTTTAAATGAGTTGCCATGGTCATGGTGTCTCTTAACAGCAATAGAAACCCTAAGACAAGCACATTGGCCTGATTACAATATAAAAACATGGGTTGCTACAGTTAACACAATGTTTCTATCAAGCCATCATCAGTAAGTACTAAGAAATTTCGGGGGTGGGGGCGGGGGTGGTGATACTTTATTTGTGCTGAAATGTGATGTTTTATTTGTATGTTAATAAAGTTTGCCTGGAGATCAGGGGTCATAACGAGCCATAAAACAGAAGTCAGGTGGTAGTGGCACACGCCCTTAATCCAATCACATGGCAAGCAGAGTCTCTGTGTGGTCAAGAACACAACCAAGTGTGGTGACACGAGCCTTTAATCCCAGTACCAACCATAGAGACCTGGAGGTCTGTATAGACAGGCAGTGATGAGGAAGTGATGTGGCTGGGCTTAAAGCCAATGGGAAGGCAGAACAGGAAGGCAATAAAAGCACAGGTCAGACAGGAAGAGGTCTCTCTCTGGGGAAGACAGCTGGTGGTAGGCTAAGGCTAGTCGTGGCTATTCGCTATTTCTCTGATCTCTTTGGCGATTACCCCTGTATTTGGCTCTGTGTTTCTTATTTAATAAGACTGTTTAGAAATTCATCTACAGGAGGGAATGGCTGAGTCATCAAGTGTGTTTTGTAGCATGAGAACCTGAGTTTTATCTCTAGCATTCATGTAAAAAACCAGTCTTGGTGGCACCAACCTATAATCTGTCTGTGCTAGGTAGTGGAGATAGGATCATCCTTGAGGCTTGCTGGCCAGGCCGACTACCACACACCAGTGAGCTGCTTCAGGTTTAGAGACCCTGCCGCAGAATAGGAGAGTGAGGAAGACAGCTGATCTCCATCTCTGGCCTCATGCACATATGGGTGCACACACAAGACACGTCTGTCCTGTGACTCCTAAGAACTATATTTTGAGATCACTGTAGCCCAAGCTGGCTGAGCACTCACAATGTAGCCTAGGTGGCCCTGACCAGCCCCCACCCCCAGGCTGGAATGAGAGGCATGAGTCACCATGCCCAACTTCACCAGGTCTCCAAATTGTCTTCTCAAATTCAGTCCCAGCCGCCTGAACAGTTAAGCATGTTTCAGCTGAAAGAAAGACACATACAATGGTGGTCCAAGAATCTAAGGAACCCAGGTGTAGTTGTATAGGCCAGTATTTGGACAGTTCAGGCCAGCCTAGGCTACAAAATAACGAGACTCTTAAAAACAAAAAATCACTATCAAAGGAGGTGGGGAAAAGTCACTGAAGTGTTGTGCCACAGACACCAAGTCACATTGCAACAGATTATCACACGTGCGCAGTATTGCTGGTGTGGAGCCCACCGTCATACAGAAGTATAGCACACAGTTACGCGTGGTATAAAACTTAATAAGCAATTGCTATTTCTATATTTACTGTTTTAACAGTGCATGCATTCCTCACTAAAAAGTTGCATTGGCAGTTAGCTATGTCTCGCAACTACCAGTTCAATAACCTTGGCTAAATGAGTTGAAGACCAGCCTGGGCTACAGGAGATCATATCAAAAATCCCCCATCAAGGCGCAGTTACATGCACTTTTCATCTAGTCGCACTGAGGCACCACACCCACGCAAGCCTGCTGGCTATTAAGACTTTCCCTTTTCTTTCCAACCAAAGCCTGGGCATGCTTTCCCAGACATTCTAGGCTTGCTGACTTTCACTCCATTCCTTCCCACCACATAGGCTGCTCACGGTCATCATGCCTTCCCTTCTTTCCCATCTTCCTCCTCTGGGCAGCTGCAAGATTTATAGCTTGCTCGCCCTGTTTTCTCTCAAACTCTAATGGTTCTATTTCCAGATTCCAAAGCTACCTGAAAGGAACCTCACACTGCAATCCCAGTGCATCAGCTATTGGAGGGCCTGAAATAGAATCCTGGGCTAATCACCCTCAAGTCGATCCTTGGAGACCAAAATGCGGGGAGGGAGGGGGACGACACTGAACCACCCAACAAGCCAGGCATGCGCAGACACTCTTGAGTGCCTACTGAGGGATTCTAAGGGATTTTAACTGGACATCTTCGAATGTCCCGTCTTTCTCTTTGAAATTCTAGGCTGCTGTATAAACTCCTACTGATCCTGTACAGCAGAATCCCGCCCTCTCCCTCTCTCAAAGGGCCCCACCTCACTTCTCTGACTCCTTTCTTCATTCCTCCATCATCCTTCTATCCAGGAGCCAGTTCAGGACTTCTCACCATGTAAGAAAACAAATACAAATTTTAACACGAGGACACTACCCAACACTTCTCCAAACACACCCGTCACTAAGGAAGAGGATGAGTACCCACCACAGCAGAAAAGGTTAGGCACGTTTAAGAACGACAACAGTAAAATTTGAGAGGTTTATTAAAGCATCTTATCACAAAGATGGAAACATACAAATTAGAAGCATGCAACCACCATCTTCCATGGACAAGTCAAAATGCTATTACGTTTCCTGTTTCAGAGAGCTGGAAACTGCAGATCTTACATCCAACTCATCCATTCTAAACACTGTATTCACTCTCCTGAAAATATCCAGGGCATCAAACATCTGAAACACAAACCATTATACAAAGAAAGTGCAAAGTTAAAAAAGAAAATATGGAGACTACCCCTCCCCTCCCTCCCCCTCAGTTAAAGACTAACAATGGCACTTTGCTCTTGCTTAACCTAGATTGTCTTCCAAGAGTCTCTAAAATGTGATACTTAACAAAAGGTTTTCATAAATGTCCAAAAGCTCCTTAGTGTTTGAAAATAAATGCTCAGACAAGACAGTGCACTTTATATCAAACAAGTCTTGAGAGCCCCGCGTTGCAGCTTTCTGTAAAATGAACAAGACAAGAAGCTGGTATAGGGTTTATTGACAAGGCAGAACGTCCTAGGCAGGCAGGTAAGGAGGCGGCGGCTCTTTCTCAGGCATCTTCACGGCCATTTCATAGGTTGGCAAAACGTACTGAAGAGAGAAAAGAATTCCATCAGGCAACGACTCTTTACATTCTTTCTAGAATAATCAGCTTTCAGACTGTCCTAAGTAGGAGCCCACAGCCCTGAGAAGACTGAACTGTTAGCTCAACAGTTCCTGAGAACACAGACATCTGAGCAGCCTGAACTCCACACGCAGTGACACACTGACTCAAGATCAGGATCGCGGGGCTGGAGAGATGGCTCAGAGGTTAAGAGCACTGGCTGCTCTTCCAAAGGTTCTGAGTTCAATTCCCAGCAACCACATGGTGGCTCACAACCATCTGTAATGACATCTGGTGCCCTCTTTGGTCTGCAGGGATGTGTGCAGGCAGAACATTGTATACATAATAAATAAATAAATAAATAAATCTTTAAAAAAAAAAAAAAAAAAAAAGATCAGGATCGCTAGAACTGGATGGATGGGATGTGTGATGGCTTGAAAAAGAATGATCCCCACCCACAGGCTCATATATTTGAATGCTTCACCACTGCGGAGTGAACTCTTTGACAGGACTAGAAGAATTAGGAGGAACAGCCTTATTGACTGGGAGTCAAAAGCCCATGCCAGGCCTAGTCTGTCTCTCTCTTTTTCTCTCAGCTACTTCTCCAGCATCACGCCTGCCTGCCACCATGCCCCACACCCCCCATGATGATAACACACTAAGCCTCTGAAACTGTAAACGAACCCCAATTAAATGCTTAAAAAAAAAAAAAAAAGAGTTGCCTTGGTCATGGAGTCTCTTCATAGCAACAGGACAGTGACCAAGACAGGACAGAGGAATGACTGAGATGGATGGGATGGAAGGGGAGGGGATAGGAGGGAACAGGAGGGAGGGAGGGAATGGGAAGGAGGGAGAGAGGGATGGAAGGATGGAGGGTGGGAGGGAGAGATGGATGGATTGCAGAAATAGAATTCTTCCTGTGGACTAACCTGGAAGATGGACTAACACACTATGCATATTAAAAAAGAACACAAAGGGTTTCCTGGCAGGCGGCCAATAAAGCTCCAGTGCTAACTGTATACTTCAAGGGCTGAGGATCTGGGGGAGGCTGCCAGTGTCCCAAGTTTCATGATAATCACCAAAGGACAATGACCTCTATCCTCCCCTTTGGGATAATAGACAAACTTTTCTAAAGCCCACTCTAGCCGAAGAGCCTCCAAGTGACAGGCTGTCTCTGTATGGGCCGTATGTACCCTATGTGCTAACAACCTGGGAAGACAGAGGAGCGGGAAAGAAGGTTCTGAGAGGTGGGCTCAGCACTCAGACTCCATCACAACCGTCACACACGGACCCCTTCTCCTAGCTTACCTGACCAGAAACGACGCTTGTGAGGACCACTAACAAATCAACCTAACAGTTAAGCTAGGCCAACAGTGCAAAGAGCTCGTGCGCACAAGACTCCCAGTGAGAAATGCTAAATCTTACACATGCATGGGTTCAAGCTATCCATGTCCCAAGCCACAGCTATGGGACATTGCAGACACTCAAGCCCCACGTTCACTTCTGGAGGTGTCAGTAAGAGTAAGGGACAGTTGGCTGTGTGACGGTAGCTGACCTGTGGAGGCGCTTCAAAGGCAGGGTACACGGCAATCTCCGGCACGTTCCTGTTGTTGATGTACTTGTAGCAGTTCCAAACACAGTTGATTAGGTAAGCCTGAAAGGAGAACAGAGCTCAGCAGGTGGCTCTGGGGGCAGAGGACCTCCATCCCCTCTGCACTGCCTGTGGAGAAGAAACCCAGGACCAGAGGACCTCCATCCCCTCTGCACTGTCTGTGGAGAAGGAACCCAGGACCAGAGGACCTCCATCCCCTCTGCACTGTCTGTGGAGAAGGAACCCAGGACCAGAGGACCTCCATCCCCTCTGTACTGTCTGTGGAGAAGGAACCCAGGACCAGAGGACCTCCATCCCCTCTGTACTGTCTGTGGAGAAGGAACCCAGGACCAGAGGACCTCCATCCCCTCTGCACTGCCTGTGGAGAAGAAACCCAGGACCAGAGGACCTCCATCCCCTCTGCACTGTCTGTGGAGAAGGAACCCAGGACCAGAGGACCTCCATCCCTTCTGTACTGTCTGTGGAGAAGGAACCCAGGACCAGAGGACCTCCATCCCCTCTGTACTGTCTGTGGAGAAGAAACCCAGGACCAGAGGACCTCCATCCCCTCTGCACTGTCTGTGGAGAAGGAACCCAGAACCAGAGGACCTCCATCCCCTCTGTACTGTCTGTGGAGAAGGAACCCAGAACCAGAGGACCTCCATCCCCTCTGCACTGCCTGTGGAGAAGAAACCCAGGACCAGAGGACCTCCATCCCCTCTGTACTGCCTGTGGAGAAGGAACCCAGAACCAGAGGACCTCCATCCCCTCTGTACTGTCTGTGGAGAAGGAACCCAGGACCAGAGGACCTCCATCCCTTCTGTACTGTCTGTGGAGAAGGAACCCAGGACCAGAGGACCTCCATCCCTTCTGTACTGTCTGTGGAGAAGGAACCCAGGACCAGAGGACCTCCATCCCTTCTGCACTGTCTGTGGAGAAGGAACCCAGGACCAGAGGACCTCCATCCCTTCTGTACTGTCTGTGGAGAAGGAACCCAGGACCAGAGGACCTCCATCCCCTCTGTACTGTCTGTGGAGAAGAAACCCAGGACCAGAGGACCTCCATCCCCTCTGTACTGTCTGTGGAGAAGGAACCCAGGACCAGCAGGCTCACTCCCAACTGGCTTTCACTTAAACATCACAAGTCTCTCTCAGAGATTCTAGCTGGAGACTTAAGTCTGTCAGCCAGCACACTGGAGGAAATTCCAGTGCTCCCAATGTTTGGAATTGTAATGGATTTCCACTACAAACCACGAAGCACTTTTGAAAACATACAAGTGCCAACCACTCAGGGGACCCATCCCTTACCAGGAAGTCCTCTCTACCACTTGGCCAGAAATGACCCCACCACTACAAATCCTACCTCACCTGTGACCCCTAAGGAGACAGACAGACAGGGAAAAGGGTTACTGGGCAGTCTAACCAGTCCTCCTCCCCCCCCCCCCCCCCCCGCCGGCCCAGTGACTCACAAGCTCCATACCTTAAAAATGATGAAGACCACAAAGAACACAAGCACAATGAACAGCAGGCAGCTGGAGTCCAGAGCCAGGAGGTCATCTTTGTAGGGGAAATCAGGCTGTTAAAACACAAACACACAATGACAACTCCACCGTGATCATCTCCGGGAGTGACAGGCTACTGCAAAGTTACACACAGGAACCAACACAGCATGTCTGAGGCCCTTCTCACCAACAGACACACTCATTACTTTAGATGTACCTGTTTAATAGCTAGGTTAACTAACAAACAAGTCTATCTGAGCTAATATTCTCTTTAGTGGCCACTATTTTCCATCTTCCTGGCCTTTGACAAAATGTAACCACCTGTAGGGCACCCCAGCCTTGTCCTGGGTCAGTAAATGAGAAGGAGCAAAGATTGCTCAAGTTCCTGGGCCATTTAGTCTTCCATGGAGGAAGTAACAACTTTTCTAGGAGTCAAATACTGGTCTCAACTCTGCATTTGATGGGTAAAAAGGAGACATGCCACAGTCTACAGGCCAGGCAAGGAAGGGGACAAGATTTACTGCTGACACACTGGCTGTAACGGGAAGGGTCAAGCGCATTCATCTGACTCTGGACAAGGCAGTGAGTTTGGTGTCGGGAGAAGGGCACTGGAAGGGAAGTGAGGGCTGAACACAGGCCAGCAGAGAAGTACCCTCTAACTGAAAAGACTAAGCCAACCGAATAGAGGGGAAACAGCAGGGTCTGTAAAAGGGCAGGGGGGTTGCTGTTTGATGTTCTTACCTACACAGCTGTCCTTAAGCTTTCAGCGTTCAATGGGAACGCTGACACAAACAGACTGTCACACACACCATGTGACAACACACAGGGGACTGTATACGCCCAGAACTTTAGACTCTACTCGGAAGGGGGGGGGGCTCCCTGGGATATTTCAGCTAGGTGACAGATTAGAGAACGACACTAGGAAGCCCCCAATCCCAGGTGACCAGGCCCACTGCCGGAGCGGGCCACCTCCCTCTCTCTAGCCTCCACAGATGGATCCTTCCCTCTTGGCTATCTCATGCTGTTCCTGCCTCAAGGACTCTCATTTCTCTGAACTCCTTTGCTGATTCTATCTCAATTCCTAATCAAGTCCCTCAGCAGCGTTCAAATCTCACATTCACCCTCAGGTCTACAACCCAAGGGTTACCCACTCAGAGAGCTGCCCATAATTAATTACATGTCACTAAACGTCAACTTTCTGACCCTTCGCTAGAAAATCTCCATGACGTCCCCTGAACCCAGCACCTAAGGAGCCATCAATAAATGTTTTTGGAGTAAAAGATTTATTTGATGGCATTCAAACTGGACCAGACAGCTAGACATGCGCAGAAAAGGCTCTTGAAGACAACACTTGGAAACACACTAGAGAGGCACCCCACCAGCTTTCCCCAAACTCTTCCACAAAGCCCTCCTTGACCACTTCAGTGTGGAATATCCCCTGCCCCTCTACCCCATTATATGGCATTAATCTAAGTTTTTTCTTAACTTAGACTGCCAAGAGGGCAGGTCATTTGTTGTCTAATAAAGTGTCTTCTTATATCTTGACTCCTCAATACATGTTGGTTCCCCAAAGAGGAAAGTTCTTTTTACAGCTGCAGCATTCACCAAAGGTGTTTAGCACAGGGCTAGGATACAGTGGACACACAGACACAGCAGGGCTAGGATACAGTGGACACACAGACACAGCAGGACTAGGATACAGTGGACACACAGACACAGCAGGGCTAGGATACAGTGGACACACAGACACAGCAGGGCTAGGATACAGTGGACACACAGACACAGCAGGGCTAGGATACAGTGGACACACAGACACAGCAGGGCTAGGATACAGTGGACACACAGACACATGCTACCCTTCTGATAAAAATGAAATACCAATCCCTTAATAAGCACCAAATACAGTCACATATTCTACTGAAACACAGTAGCTCAACTATCTCTTCCACACTAACTCTCTTTACGGGCTTTTAGTACTGGGCTGTCCAAATGGGATGGTACAACAATCATCTATTTCTGTCTTACGATTTTAACATAGAAGTGAGTTTAAGATACTGTAAAAGGCAAAGGCAGTTAAAAATGGTTCCTAAGCTTGCCTCGGGACTGCAACGAAAGTATTTTACTTCGGTGGAAAAGTTTAAATGGCACACACACTTACTAGCTGATCCAGATATTCCTTGATTCTTGGCAAGTAAGTGAGAGAGCTGACGGCCACCAGACAACTGAGAACGAAGTCAAAAAGCCGGTAGCAGAAGAAGGGAATCAGCCAGCCCACTTGGTACTGCAGCAGAAGAAAAGCCACGTTCAGTACACGCACAGGCCACTGCCCTTGGGAAAGGTCAAATGAGGATATGTGGAATACGAACGACTTACAGATATCGCTCCATACACCAGCATTGAACTGATTATAAACATAAGGACGGAGACGGCAAAAAGAACGCAGGCGTTATCTAAGAAAACAAGAACAGAAATCTAAGTCAGCAACATGTGCAATGAAAGAAATGAAACTCTGGGTGATAAAATGATGGTTTTTTTTTTGTTTTTTTGTTTTTTTTTTTTTTTTTGGAAAATGATGTTTTAAAATGTATACATATAAATGTTTAAAGTAACTATAACTGCTTTCAAAACTGGCTCTCAAAAGACCTAAAAGGCCAAGAAGAGAAGAAACTCTAAGCCTTGGCATTTTAAGAAATCGAGACGTTTACACATGTTAAACTGATGCAACAATTCACTGACTTTGTTTAGGATGGAACATGAACCACGTAACACTGTAGAAAAACTGGTCCCTTGTGCCTCTACATGTCAGAGTGCAAAGAGACAATTAAAACCCAACATGGCAAGTTGAAACACAGACAGAAGCAATGAAAACACTATGAAAGAATTCACACAAGCTGGCTTTGTAAGGTGAGGAAAAGTTGTTGTTTGCTTAAAAGACAGATGAGCTACACACAGAAAACTACAGATGTATCTCGTGCTTTGATCAGAATAGAACCTGAAATTCAATGTTCTCCATTAATCCCACTCCAGCATCTCAAACCTTTGACCCACGTCCTTCAGTTTGCCTTCTCTCCCCACACAGGTCTATTCCACTCAACTTCTCCTCAGTGTGTATCAATCACACATTCACTGTTTCCTTCAGAACACACCCAAAAAATCCCCAACAATATTAAACCACACTTGACTGGGTGAGTTTCTTCACAACCTGTACTTGATCCCATGACTCTGGACAGACACTAATAAACTAAAGAGAGAGGGGGAACATGGAGAGATGGCTCGGCTTGCTGCTCTTACAGAGGACCCAAGTACAGTTCCCAGCACCCATGTCGGGCCGCTCACAATCGCCCGTAACTCCAGTTCCAGGGAATGGGAAGCCTCTGGCTCCCAAGCACCTGCACTCACATGCACATACTCCTATGCACACACGGAACTGAAAGCTTAAAAAGAAACTAAAGGGCAACAAACATGAAGAAAAACCACTAAACACACTACTGGATGTGTGTACACATTATCTTATCACCGCGCACCATAAACACAGTCGGCATTTAATATTAATGGCAGTATCTATCAGCTCAGAGTACCCCCACTGTTAAGAATTTAAAAGTTCTTCCTACTGAAGGGTTAAACTACAAAGCAAGACCGACCCTGACTCAAAACACAGAGGGTATTGATAAGACTCTAAAATTTTATTTATTATTTGGAAATGGGGGGGCGCATAAAAACAAACTACTTTGGAAAAATATGCTCAAAGGCTAGTTCTTGTCACTCAGAGTCAATATCACAAGGATGTATTTAAAAGAATCAGATCAGAAGACTTCTCGTTTTTTTAAAAAATACATTATAAATGCCCATCAGCTGTTTTCATTCCACTGTGCATTACAGCCACAGAATTGTTAATTACTTAACAACCACCACAAAAAGGACACAGATGAGAACAAGGGAAAGGGCTCAGCACTTCAAAGGGTCGCTGCTCTTACAGGGCAGCTAGAGTTGGTCCCCAGCATCCACATGGTAACTTACAAACTCCAGTTCACATCACCTTTTTCTGGCCTCTGCAGACACTGTACATACATGGTGCACATACATACATGCAGGCAAAACACTCACAAATAAAGCAAAACAATCGTTTCAAAAAGATACAAATCTTCAACCTTGGATCACAGGTGATCACAAATGTAAAGAAGCTCTGAACATCATATTAAAAGCTAATAAAATTTTAAATCCCGGAATTAAGATCTATAGTATTATAAACACACTTATGATCTGGGAACACTTTTCTGAACTGAAATATAACAACTAAGCATGTAGAAATTATATCCAAACCCTGGGGCATAATTTTGTGTAAGTATTGAATTTATGATGTAACTTATAATAATATAAACTCCACCAGAACTGTTTTATACCTGCATTTTACAGAATAACTGGTAATAAAAAATAACTGCTATCAGGAAATAAATGGGTTTAAAAGGACAATTTCTATGACTGTTCTAGGGCTAGTTTCTTTTTAAAGGTGGTGTTACGTCTCTCTCCACATAAATAAGAGAACTGTACATTGTATTTTATACTCTACTGTAATAGTCCATTTGTTCTAACACAAACTTCTGACCCTGGCTACATGTGGCAGCAAGCCCTCGAAAGTCTCAAGCCAGTTTTATTTCCCATTTCCTCCCTCTCTGGTCTCTACAGTCAAGGCATACGTACAACCATACATGTCTCCAAAACCTAGTAGGCTATTACATCTTCTGTCCAGATGCTCCACTGTAATTCTTGCTGACTGCCTTGTTCCTGTCTCAACAAGTAGCTTAAATAACCTTTAACTTGTTACTTACTATGCAATTATTTAACCTTCTGAAGTATAACTGAAGCATAATTTCATCAACCTTCCTCTAACATTCACAGATAGACTACAATTGGCTTTATATATAAAAACTGGCAATGATATCCTTTGAAGTAAAACTTACCAGCCATTCTCTCAGATGAGTAGTAATTACCAATGACTTCATACTGAATGTTGACAGCTGGCATGGAGTTTGGATGAGTCACCTCCACAGTCAGCAAAATTGCCATCAACAGGTTGACCACCTAAGAAAGACAAGAGCTGTACATGAACTTCTACTCAGGGAACAGTCTTCAGAGTCTCCAGACACTGTGCTATATTGAATACGTTTCACCTATGGTAACAAGGTTATGAGACAGGAGACACTCATAAATCATTCAATTACCATGGTGAGAACAGTTAAAGGCCACAGCATAGGTAGAGATGCCTAACCCTGTGATAATGCCGGAAAAACTAGAATAAAATGCACACACAGTAAAATTAGGGCATCATCACAAACTTCATGTCCAGAGACACATATTTCTTCACACACCAACATGTAGATGCCTGCAATTCCCCCAAAGCACCCCCGTGCGCTTGGTTCAAGTTGAAAAGATTCCCTAAAGGGATGATGGTGCCCTCTTTCTCCCCGCATTGGTCTTAATTCTACCTTCCGAGTCAATGTGTTCCTCTAATACCCACAGCAGCCTTCAAACGTGGAGACTAAACATTCAGTCCTCAAACCACTCCTCCACCTCCTCTCCAGCATGGTTCAGCTCCCTGCCTCCTTCCCCTTTGCGTGTGCTCCAGCGTAACTGACAAGTCCCCAACCTGGCTCACCAATTCCAAAGGCTTTGTACATTTTTGCAATGTCACACAAGAGTAACCCTATACAACACCTAATTGTTTTTCTATACTTAATTCAATAAGCTCCCTTGCAACAGATTCAGAGGCTAGGGGCATGGCCTTCAATGAACCTGTAACGAAATTTATATGATTACATTCCTGCCCACCAAGATTTTCTAGATTTTGAGATCCCACAGACTGATTTTCTCTGGTGTCTTCATTCTGAAATGTGATCATCATGAAATAATTAACAGTCTCCATGGAAGACACACACACACACACACACACACACACACACACACACACACACACACACACACACCTAAGGAATATCGTGGGTCTCTGCCAAACATCTTGCTGAAATCCCATCATTTACCATGAGTTTCCCTATCCTATCAGGAATACAAACCCCACTTTAACATTATGCAGCGCTCTGGCTGTGATCCCTGCACTCTCTCAGGACATATGGCCTTAAGTGTCAGAAACAGTCCTGGTGAAGATTCAATATGGAAACCAGTAAGGTATAATGACAAGATGAACTCCATAACCAAAGGTCACAGATTCTGCCCTCTGCCCTCTTCCTCCTCCTTCTCCTCCTCCTCCTCAAGAAGTCCCAACATTTGACACTCCCAAGTTTTCTAGAAACAGTACCTGAAACTACTCTCCCCTGTCCACCCTAAATGATGGATGAATGATAACACCCAAGAAAGGTATTTTCTTTATATCAGGCCAAGCTTTCAAACATTTGGCAGAAAAGCAGATCCAGTTTTATCATCAAGTTAGATATGTTATCTTGTGTTGGGAAATCAGTATGAAATCCATTCAGCAAACTCTTGCTTGCTGAACATAATTATCACCCGAGTAAAAAAGCTTAGCATGGCACAGAAAAATATTCATGTTAACAGGCAAATGAAGGAAATGAAATACCAAAACTACTTAGGGAGGTTAAATAAATAAATAAATATATATATATATATATATATATATATATGAGAATGTATGTGTGTACGTAATTGTATACATGCTGCAGTCCATAAGTCCAAAGTATTTTTATCATATGCATGACTTTTTAAAAAAAATTCATCTTTTCTTCTATAAAAACGTCACAGAATTTTCCACTGTCTGCCTGTTCACTTCACTGTGGGTCATACTTTGAATATGTCGGTGATTGATCTAGAGAACCAGTACTTGCAATCCTAAGCGCTTACCACTGAATACCTACTCTGTGCTCATATGCGGATCCTGGTAACTTATATTAAATTCAGTTGATAGTTCTAAGTTCCCTGAGGAATTTTTCAAGAAATTAAAACTAACTGTAACCTTATAGCTTAAAAAGCCTTTAAAATACTCTACTACACACAAAGTCTTCCAAATATCCATGACCTTTCCCCACTGTCTTCAGGAAATAGAGGCTTGTAAACTGAGTGACATGGCCAGGAAGAACACAGCACACGTGCCAACAACAGAGGCAAAGCACCAATGACTGGAGGAGGCGCAGACTTCAAAAGCCTCTGCACACCTCACGTGAGCAAATAAGCAGTGGGAAACAACAGAGTGCCTTTTATTTGGTAGAAAGCAACAAGGGAAGTCCAGGGAAGCACTCAGGCCCAGGGCGGCCGTTCCTCTGTACTTCAGTCACCCCCACCCCAAAAGACTCAAGGACTTGGGGGGGGGGGGTATTTTTCTTAAACAATAGACAGCATTTGTACATCTTTATGGAGTACAAAGGTATGTTTTAGTGCACTTAGACACCATGTGTTGGTCAACTCCAGACATATCATGCCATAACCTTCAAACATTTGTTTGCAGCTGGGCGGTGGTGGCACACGCCTTTAATCCCAGTACTTGGGAGGCAGAGTCAGGTGGATCACTGTGAGTTCCAGGCCAGCCTGGTCTTCAGAGTGAGATCCAGGCCAGGAACCAAAACTACTCAGAGAAACCCTGTCTCGGACAAACAAAAAAATTTGTTTGTGATGAGAACTCTCTCATAACTGATGCAATATTGACAGCTGTCATTCTCCTCCTTGCAAGAGAATACTCATTTTACTCTTACCTTGCTGCTTACCATCCCCTCCCCTTGCCTTTCAGTCTCTAGTAACCACTAGCCTGTAGGTCTATAAACGAAGCTATTTTGTAATCGGCAGGTAAAATCCTGTACCTGCCTTTCTGTAGATGACTTACGTCAGTTGTACCCATGCTGCTGCAAGTGAGTTCTGTTTATTACTGCTAATAGTACCCACTGTGAACACAGACCCCGTCTTCCTTCTCCGTGGTTATCAATGGGCACCTCAGCTGACTCCCTTGTCTACTGTCCACAACGCTGCAATAGGTCTCCTTGATACACTGATTTCCTTTTCTGTGGGGAAGTACCCACCACTGCCATTTCTGGGTTTCAGGGCAGCTCTTTTAAACTGAGGGGCCTCCACACTGTTTTTCCAAAAGTGGCTATACTACATCCATATGGTGCAGGTGTTCCTCTTTCTCCAGGTCCTTGTCAACATGCCACTCTCCGTCTGGTTGACAGGCATTCACTCACTGGGGTGAGACATTCAGAGTTTTTTCATGTGCTTGTTGGTCTTGTTGATCTTTTTACCTCTTTTGAGAATGTCTATTCAATTTATTTCCCCATTTTAAATTTGATTATTTGCTTTTGCTGGTGAGTTCTTGGTATACTTTAGGTATTAATCTCTTGTGAGGAAGTTTCCAAGTATCTTCTGCCATTCTTATAGGTTGCCTGTTCACCATTCTGATTCTTTTGCAGTGAAGATGTCTTTTAGTTTGATGCAATCCTGTATGTGTGTTTGGTTGACTAAGCATTTACATTCTTGCCCAGACTATCCTGGTTTGCTGTGTGTGTGTGTGTGTGTGTGTGTGTGTGTGTGTGTGTGTGTGTGTGTGTGTGTGTTTTCACTTTTGGTCAACTTGGCATAGGTACAGTCATCTGGAAAGAGGGACTCTCACTTGAGAAAATGCCTCATAAGATTTTCCTGCAGGCAAGTTTGAAGTTCACTTTCATTTTCTTGATTAATAACTGATGTGGGAGCGCCCAGCTCACTGGACAGGTGGTCCTGATAGGCATTAGAAAGCAGGCTGAGCAAGCAGGAAGCAGAGCTCCTCCTTGGCCTCTCCTGCAGAGCCTCTGCTCCGGCAGTTCCTCTAGGTCCCCGCACTGGTTGAGTTCCTGCCCTGACCTGCCCTTTCTGATGGCCTTCCTACGTGGAAGTGAAAGCAAACCAAACGCTTCCCTCCCTAAGAAGTTGCTTCACCACTCAGCGCCCCGCCTGCGTTCCCTCCTAGTAGGTTTAGTTTCAAGTTTTATACTCATGTATTTTGTAATACTCAAGCTGCCTTTACATATGAGAGAGCAGGGTCTGGTTTCCTTCCTCTAGAAGTGTGGACGTGCAGTTTGCCCAGCACTATTCACTGAGGAGAATGCTTGTGCAGAGGTATATTTCTGGCACCTCTGTTGAAAATCACTTGGCTGCTGAGAGTGTGGCTATTTTTCGGTTCTCCAGTCTGTCCAACGGTCCTCACATCTATTTTTGTAGCAGGGCTGGCTATGCCAGCTTGATATTGTGACACTGGACAGTGTGACACTTCCAGCCTTGCCTTTTTACTCAAGACTTCTTTGGGACAGTCTTTGGTGGTTCCATTCAACTTTTAGGAACTGTTTTCTCGTACTAATGGCAAGACGAGTACCTTCGTTTACAGATCCCTTCTGTAGTATGGCATCTAACAATGCTAATTCTGACTCACGACTACAGGCTGTCTTTGCATCTGTTGTGACTGGTGGAAGTCTTTCATCGGTGCTTTCTTCTCACTGTGCATTCCTTCACCCCCTGGACAAGCAGGGCTGGTGTTCTGTTTTGCTATGACAAGCCTGAGTGCTTTCTTAACTTCTCTCTCACATGGTTCGCTACTGACATGTAAACACACTTCTATTTTTGAGGTTGTCTTACTACTCCACAACTCTCAAGTTTCTTAATTCTGAGCAGGTTTTCAGTCTTCGGGATTCTCTACACATCTGATTGTGTCATCTGTAAATAGAGAGCCCTGACCTCCTCCTTTCCTACCTGTAAGCTCAGCTGTTTCCCTTGGCAAACTGCTCTGGCTAGGACTTTCAACCGTGAAAGTTGAACGGAAGTGTTAAAAGGAGGTGCTGTTCCTTGGTTCCTGATCTTAGAGAAGAGCTGCTTAGGTATGGTGCTAGCTGTCAGTATTGTACGGTCTTTACTGTGCTGCATACCCACTGTAAGATTAAATATTTGTCAACTATTCCATTTCTAGATGTCTGGCCTGCATGCCTGTCACTGCACTGTATGTCTGATCCCTGGGGAAGCAAGCAGAGGGTGTCTGACCCCTGCAACTGGGGTTTGACAGTTGTGAGTCACCACACGGGCGCCGGGAATTGAACTCTTAA